ATGATCACTCTGGGGGTCAAAAGTCCCAAAGGACTGCCTGTTTTCTGGCTTTTGTTTCTGTTTATAATTCTCATCTGAAATAATTAGACTAGGGTTTTTATGAACTAGGCTTTTATGAACCCAGGGAGATGGGTGACAAACTTGATTATTTCAAGCTGAGCTTGAAAGCTTATTCATGTGACAAAGAAAACTATAATGATGGTATAAACATGAACCCTGCAATAGACCAATTAAGGTTCCTTGGACACCTGTGGGGCTCATGGTTCGCCAAGAGTGCTTCTGGAGCATCCCCATGGTTGACACCAAACAGAACGGACTGAAGTGTGGAGCTTCAGCCATGGCAAGTGATGAAGAGTAGCTATGGCCTTAATAATTGCACCTTAGATTTCCTTGACATAGGGTCAGATCCTTTATTGCTGAGACAGGTGACAAGCTCATTATGCATAATGAACACGTAGGAATCAAGGCCTCGAAGCATTACGCCCATGTGGGATTTTGAATAAAACTAGTGCCATTGCACTTAACATGAGTGTATTCAATTAAACCTTAAAGAGTTTGATGAGGTAAGATAGAGAGCAAACAAGATGGGGGAAAACACACCCTAAATGTTATTTAAAAATAAACAGTTGTAAAATATGCCCAATACAACCTGAATTTAAAGACATTAATACGCTGAGAAACATTTATCCCCAAAATGTACTTTACTTAACACAATAAAATACAAAGTTGTAAAATAGCCAGCATCTTTACTTACACCCGGAAGCTTAGTGTGGTCACACAATACACACACTTCTGAGGAACTTAAATCTTATTTACCCCTCATTTAGTGAAGCCTCCCACGTTATTAGTATTCACTTTTGACGAATTCATGGAGCAAACAACTAACTCCTCCGGTTGTACCACATCGCTCACTACTGGATCTGAACTTGCAGTTTTTTTTCCCACTTAGATTTTCTTAGACGTAGCTTTGGTCTTATAAGCTTGTCTTATCTTTCAGGCAAAGTTTTGCTGTGCTGGGTCTACTTATCTGGATGAGTTTTCTCTGTGTTCACTTGGTTCTTCATCCAATTTAACCAAATCGATCAGTGACTCTAGCATGATTTTGTTGAGTAAAACGTTGGAGTTTTAGCTCCAGGTGTGCCACACAATAAAAATGATGGCACTCATTTGTCCTGTTGCCTGAGACTTTTAGTAGTTGAACAAATTTAACATAATTAATACTACCTTTACCAGCCAACTAACAAATCAACACTATTCAACGTTGTAAGACACTTTGAATTATGTAGGCATACAAGATACAAATTCAATTCTCTTCTGCATCTCCTCTTCTTCAAAGCCTGCATAATCTATGTGAGCAGAGATGGTACAAAAGGGGGATGGTACAAAAATGCGTCAACACTCAAATATTAAGAAATAACGCTGGGAAACCGTAACAGTGTGTCTTCAGAAGGTGGATACAGACAAATGTGCAAAATAACTTAAGAACAAAAGCAATGGACAAATCTGCAAAACTCTTCTGAGTATCCATTAAAACAACTTCAGCAAAACACTTAACTGAGAAATTACCAACCCCAGTGTATTATTAGTCTTAGGAAAATAAAAATGGTACTTTAAAAAAAAAAAAAAAAAAAGGTGTTCCTAATCGTACTTTTGTAAATAGTGATGTATTCTAGAAAAATATAAACATTATACAAATCTAATTGTAAAATTTTAAGTACACTGAACAATATAGAGTTTAGACATTGTGTAGTTTTATAAATTGTCTACTTCTTGTGATAAGCTAAATCTTTTTTCTTGTCTGTTGAAAGACTATCTGTCCTGTCTAAAAGGTAGGATAATTATTTAGCTGTCTTCATATTGATCACTAAAATATGAAAGTGGTGTATAAACAGTTATGAATAGTTAATCTGCATGTTAACTAAGTGTATAAGTACATATATATCCACTAAAGAAATAAAATCAAAACAGTCAACAAACCAAAGGGTACTGTGCCTGTTTCATAAAGATGCTTAATATGAGGAAAAACATAAATTAACAAAACAAATTAACAAAAATTACCTACAAAAATTATCTACAAAAGTAAAAAAAAAAAAGTGCAAAGGCAAGAGTCTGATTTAGTTGTCCACTAAACTGTTCGTAGCCTTGTATTTCTGTTAGTTTGTTCAGTTCTTCTGAACAAATTGCTTTAAACACCATCTTGTGGACATATGGAGGTATATCACAGGTTCCCAACAGATGAGAGAGACTGCAGAAAGGCTAAATCTTACCTAACTCATAAAACAGATTCATAAAAATTACTTTATAAGCCAAATATCAAATGATAATTTTCACAGACAACATATTTTAATATAATTGCTTAAGTTCTTTAAGTGACTAAAATTTTAAAGTTTAAACAATATCACAAAATAGGGAAATAAACTTACAGGGTTACTTTGATCGCAAAGTGAAAAGTTTAAAAGGTTAAAACTTGCTGTGTTTGTGTTATGGTTAGAAGTAATGGTTAATGTCTTCAGTTGGAAAGAACAATGAACAAATTCATGAATTATTCTTCTGTTTTTCTTTGGATTCCAAAGGCCATAAATATTAATTGAAGTCATACTTTAATCTTGGCATAGAAAGACTTCTATCTGGAAGTGTTTTGAGCTTGGTATAAAATGTAAGATTGGAATTCAAACATACTTGTATATGGAAATCACAGTTTTAATATTAATCGTCATCATGAGCCATAATTATTTTGTATTTAAACACGTATGTTGTTTTCTGGAGTGCAAACGAGATAATTCATGAAATTGAATAATTCTTCTCCCCTGCTTTGAACATCGTTAACACCTATGTGGAAATAAACACGTTTTGGAATGGAATAAAATGGTACAAGGGATTTGGCAACCATTAAGTCATTTAGAGGAAAATTTCCCACCCTACTTTGGGGCCCAAATAATTTACTTTTTTTTAATTAAAGGAACTGGGCAATTGCCAAATCTCAACTTCATTTGGTGTTAAATTAGGTGGATCCAGCACTTCTTGCTGCCCTTTGTTGCATATCATGTGTACAGAGCTGAGGCAGGAAGAAGTATCTGAAGGTAAATAATAGAGTAGGGTGAGAAAGGCTTGTACCATGTACCATGACATAACTAGAAACAGGACATAGCCCTGTTTCTCTAGTTATGTCAAATTTAGTCATATTTCCCAGTTACAAAAAAATGAGTTTATGTCATTGTGACAAGTCCACTTTGTAATATGCATCACTCGTCCCATCAAATTACCTGAATAAATCCAAATCCTTGAAATAAGAATTAACAAGTCAAGCATTAATGTATTTAGAAAGATTTCTAAATATATAATTTGTAAGAAAGAATGCATGACATATTTCGTAGAATAAAAATGAACAGTTAATAAAACAAGAAAATGAATTGTCTTTGTATGTCTATGAAAGGAACAACTCAAAAACCAAAAAACAAAAAAAAAAGTTGATTACCATCAGCAAAAAAGTCCATGAAAACATTAAAATGATAAAATAAATATTTTTAAATTAGCATAGAGGCAAAAAGATAAACAACCTATTAATATGAAAAAATAATCTTTGAAAACATATAAAATGTTTAGCTTTATGACAAATTCAAGTAAATTAATATGAGTGGCAGATAAGTTGTAAGCGTTTAGAAATTCAACAGATTAAAAGCTCAAGATATACACATAGCACCGAATTTTAGATCTATGTACACTTTTTCGGGATAAATTACCATTTTACTAAGAAAACACATATGTATGTTCCAATTGTGTAAGTTTAAAACACAGCACCATTGTAGGTATTGCACAAGAAAGAAAATGAAAAAAAAATGTCAAAACGCTTACAATAAATAAAATAACCTTGGAAAATTAAATAAATAAACTTGGAATTGAAATATACAGTATAATTCAATATGAAATACCTAAAATGTTGTAGGTATGCACAGCCATTGTAGACAGTACCTGACCAGCAGTTCATTAATCTATAATGAAAAACCGGTTCAAATCACGGATGCATTGGAACAAACCCTGCCTTAAATTAGGCATGTTCCTCAGACACAACTCTGTTCACAGCTTTTTCCAACTTCAGTGGGCTAGCCTTTCTAAACTCATTTTTCAGTTAACAGACAAAAGCAATCATCCCATCCTGTTTTAGCCAAATTGAAATCTGCACTGCTCCTTGAAGAGGAGTGAGTCCTGATTGCTGTGGCCGGCAGGCTCTTGCGGCATGTTCTCACATCTGTGGGACCCACCGTCTAACTTCTGCAACATCCTCATGCCCAGTTATTCTGGAGAATCAGTGCCTGCCAACCAACAGTTCCTCAATGAATGTACAGCTCATCAATAGACTGTTTAGTCATTTGATGATCACTGTATTTTTGCTTCTTTTCAGAGGACATGGTTTTTGGAGTGGGTGTGAACTCTTTGGTCTGAGCACTAGTTGCATACTCCGTCCTATGGTTTTCCTTTGTTGAGCTGTACCTCTTGCTGCAGCTTCTGGAGAAATACAATTCTCCTTAAGAGCTTTCGGGTTTCACCTTCTTAATATGCATTTGCTGACACTACACATCCATCTTTTAGGACAAGTGAGTCCATTCGTTACGTATCCCATCCTTTGTTCTGATGGTGGCTTCTTGTCTTAAAGTCTGAGGGTGATGAGGTCATAAGGATGATGGATACAAGGGCCCAAAGATCTTGCTAGGCCATTGAGGCTTTAAGAGTACCGAAGACAGCTTGGTGGCTTCACCACCAAGCACCTTGTAGGGAAAACAGCTTTCTGTTTACCAAAATGAGAAACTGAGTGAGGGGACCACAGAGTATTAGGCTTTCTTTGCAGAACTCATACACAACTGGAATTTGATACTCCCTTTTCATGTACCACTTATTCATGCCAGTGCTGATTGCTTTGAATTGAGATCATTATACAGAATTAACAAAATCATCTCAGTAGTTGGCTATGCTGGGTGTTTGGGCTCCCTGATAAAACAGTTTCCTGTGGTTTTTCTTTTTTTTTTTTTTGACAACAGAAGTTGTAAAATGAAGTTCTTATTGCCTATTTTTCTGCATAAGTAGGATAGATGTAGATGGTACAAAAATTCTTAAGTTATAAAAAGTAGTCAAAAAACATTCAACAGGAGCAATGCACTATATCAAAAAAGTTGACAAAATGTTTAGCAATGATAGTAAATTTAAACACCAAGAAAACTTAAAGTCTGAAACTTTAAAATTCAGAAATCAAAGGCCAACCACATGTTGATGAGTCTACAAAATGGATATCATCATCAGTCTACTAAGTCACAAGATGCAATTTCCTTTTGAAGAAGAACTAACGATAAGATTTACTTGCATATTTCATATAAAACTCTGAGTAAAAATCATAGCAATTGTAAAGCAAAACATATGGAATGAATTTGGGAAAAATCAAAAAATGCTGATTTGCAATTGCTATAGGAATAGGATTCAAATGGTTGCTTTTAATGTCTGGCTTACTCCAAAAAAAAAAAAAAAAAAAAAAGCAACCCACAGATGATGAGGGTTTGATGGTATTAAGATAGCTCCAATGGCAAGGAGGTGTCACCAGGAACCAAGTCTTCTTCAGGTGTGTTCATTTCCCACCTGTCCGCTGATGGGCCTGAGACACAGGATAGAGGCAGTCTTCTGGGTTACATCTTCCACTGGGTCCTGGGGGGCCCTGGGGGCCTGGGGCACCTGGTGAGCCTGGCAAACCCAGAGCTAATGACATTAAAAAAAAAATCACAATGCAGATCACATATGGCCCTTCCTCTCTCCCACCCTCTAGCCAACATGGATCACTCGACTTGACATATAAGCACCCTAGGGGGAAGCATGGTTCTCATTTTTAAAGGCTTGCTTGTGTTGTGAAGATAATATCACTCTTACCTGAAGTCCCAGGAAGACCTGGACTCCCTGGCAGCCCAATTCCAGGTTCACCTCTTTCTCCCTTCTGTCCTCTGTAGCCTACGTGAGAAATATACAAAAAAGAGACACACCAAAAGGGTTCTATGGCAACACAGCACACACAAGAACCATTTTCTGAGTCTGTGATAATTATGTGATACATTTGCCTAACATAAATAGTATATTAGCTAACTGTTTTTGCATTAACCACATATTAAACTTACATATCAAATAGATTAGGTATAATAGGGCAATGAGGATCTTAAAAAACATGCAATTGCTATAAAAAGTTCCAACTAGTCAAACTTTTTTTTTTTTTTTTTTTGAGACAGAGTCTTGCTCTGTCACCCAGGCTGGAGTGCAGTGGCACTATTATCTTGGCTCACGGCAACCTCCACCTCCTGGGTTCAAGTGATTCTCCTGCCTCAGCCTGCTGAGTCGCTGGAATTACGGGCACTCACCACCACTCCTGCCTAATTTTTTTGTATTTTTAGTAGAGACAGGGTTTTGCCATGTTGGCTAGGCTACTCTCGAACTCCTGACCTCAGGTGATCTGCCCGCCTTGGCCTCCCAAAATGCTGGGATTACAGGTGTGAGCCACCGCGCCCGGCCCCAACTAGTCACTTTTTTTTTTTTTTTTTTTTTTTTTCTGAGGCGGATTCTGGCTCTGTTGCCCAGGCTGGAGTGCAGTGGCCGGGATCTCAGCTCACTGCAAGCTCCGCCTACCAGGTTCATGCCATTCTCCTGTCTCAGCCTCCGGAGTATAGCTGGGACTACAGGCCCCTGCCACCACGACCAGCTAATTTTTTGTATTTTTAGTAGAGATGGGGTTTCACCGTGTTAGCCAGGGTGGTCTCAATCTCCTGACCTCGTGATCCGCCCACCTCGGCCTCCCAAAGTGCTGGGATTACAAGCGTGAGCCACCGCGCCCAGCCTAGTCAAACTCTTGATAGCGAGATTTTGGCTCTGAAAATGATACCTAAATAAATCAATCTTGCAAATAGCTATGACAAGCTGTGTGAGCCCTCTTCAGTAGGAATTCTGATTGAAGGCAAGGTATAGGCTAAATGAAAGAAGTATACAAAGAGTCTTTCTTAAAATGAGAACAAGATAATATAATAGGATTATGGACCTTATTCCAAGAAGGAAATGAAAGGAACAAATAATTCAAGATTCTAATAAATGATAGCAAGAGCATGAGTATATGTGGGTTAACTTATCTAAAAAGTCAGGTCTGTGTTCAAATAATCGACTATAAACATTACATCTGCTCTAAGTAACGTTTAAACATCCACCCCATGTTTGAATGTGGCAGTGTATAACTCCAAAGGAGCTTCAGAAAGCTAGGAAACAAGAGGAGATTGAGAGTCTCCCAAATGCACTCCATCAGCTTAAGATATTTCAACAAAAATGAATTAGGTTTAAGATCTGTCTATATTTTAAAACAAAATTATTCTTACTATTTAATATGCTTGCTATTGGCTGAGCCACAAGAGTACAGAGAAATCTGTGCTTCCAGAAGTCATTATCCCTGCTTATAAAAAGCATAAAGCATTTTTATCTGTGTTTTATACATTGGCACCCATGTAATACTTTGTCTGAATGAAATGTTCCATGCTGTAAGAGTTTCACAGTGACGGCAAATAGAGTTTTTATTTCCAACTTTTTCACACTTAAACAGCCCCTTAAAGATCACTCCTTGTCCCAAATGGACAGAGCAGCCATGCAGACTCATGTGGACACAGAGCAAAGATATCAGTAGGAGAGCATCTCAGTAGGAAACAGTAGGCTGTGACTTAGTTGTGCCTTTTCATAAAGGTGTGCTGTTACAGTAGAACATGGCAGGAGGAGAAAATGTAATGCTCCCTGTGAACAGTATATATGATCAATTATTTCCCATTATTGTTGAGAATTAGATAGCAGTTTTTAGGATTATCATTTTCACTTTGACTAGGCCATACAATGTGCACATTATTATCTGAACAACATTGGCAATGGAATCACCACACACGTATTTATTTGCTTTTTATGTATGACCTGATCATAAACATGAAACTAGTGGAAAAAAGAATATATGTTAAAAATATTTTGAAGTATATAGCAGAAATACACCCACCAGCAGGAAACCTTCAGATATTTATATTTGAAAATTGTGTTAAAGATATTCAATACAATCCTAGACCCTAGAGAGAACAGTGGCTTTGACATGTGACATAACAGCCTTAGTTGATCTATATTCAAATTTAAAATGTTTCCAGGATTTCTTTGATATAAGTGACCTTCATTTAGCATATGTGAAGAGCAGGAAAAAAATGTGTATACTTAGGGTCATTTGAAAGCACCCTCCCAAATCCATTACTTAAACATTTCTGGAGTAAAATAATATTTATTACCTGAGGTATATTTGATAATTTAACTCAGGTCCCACTATTACAGAAAAGTTATAAAATTGACCCTTGGCTATCTCAGTAAGTACTTAAGATTACAAGTTAAAGATATGAGGAATAAAGAATAATAATTTAAGATACATGAACTTTTGATTAGTAAGAGGATTAGCAAGACTGTAACACAATTCCAAATGGAGAATATATTTGCTAAAACTTACCTATTTCATTTAAATGCAGCTCTCGGATTTGCAATATAATGCAGAAATATATTATTCCACATGAATTTCAGTTCATGTGGTATTACAAATTAAGAAACTGTAATTTGTGTATTTGTATAAGGTAACATTTACCCTTCTCCTGTCAAATGTAACAATTTCTTTGCACAAATTTATCAGTTCATTAGGTTAATAATTACTTGGTATTAATAGATAAAGCGACTGAATTGCACAAGTACAGAAGAACTTTCTACTCTTGAATTTCCTGTTAAAGTCCCAAGCTCATTCATTATGAGGGCCGCCATAAAGCCGTAGGGTCTTTTTTTTTTTTTTTTTTTTTTTTTTTTAATTACTTCATAACAAACTCCTGGTAGGAATGCTAACAAGGTCAATAACAGCTTTCCCCATTTATAGAATTGAGGTTTTCATCTCTTCAGCGTGGGCCTGTCTTTAAATTTGGAAGAGGCAGGTCTATCTGCAGACACGTATTTCCATAGACAATAAGTCTACAGGATGGGCCAGGCACAGTGGCTCACACTTGTTATCCCAGCACTTTGGGAGGCCGAGGTGGGTGGATCACCTGAGGTCAGGAGTTCAAGACCAGCCTGGCCAACATGGTGAAACCCCATCTCTACAAAAAATACAAAAATTAGCTGGGCGTAGTGGCAGGCACCTGTAATCCCAGCTACTTGGGAGGCTGAGGCAGGAGAATTGCTTGAACCCAGGAGGTGGAGGTTGCAGTGAGCCGAGATTGTAGCCATTGCACTCCAGCCTGGGCAACAAGAGTGAAACTCTGACTCAAAAAAAAAAAAAAAAAGTCTACAGGAGGACAGCTTGATATAACTGTAGCTCATGTAGGAAAACAAATAAAACACCAGCAGTGTTCCTAATTGAAAGCAGCTAGAGGTACTAGTCATTGATGAAACCTGGTGCTTGGTGTAGTTTTTCAGGTGGTAGACTGTGTTTATTTCTAGTAGGAAGATTTCAGTTTTGACTCCAGAGATTTACTTCTAAAGTGGTAAATCTGTGCACCTGTATACATACCGGAAAAAGGCCAGAAAATGGATGCTATTGGCATTTTAGGAGGGATAGTTGTTTACGGCGGGCATGGTGGGGGTGGGGTTAGGGGTTGCCTCGTGCCTTACAAGTTGTTTAGCCTCGCTGGTTCTGGTCCACCAATTGATAGCAGTGCCCTTCAGTCATTCTGACACACACTCACATGTCCTCCCATATCCAAAGCCCCTAATGCTAATAAATTTGAAAGGTCGAATCTATACATCACAAGTGCTTCCTATAAACAATATGTATGATCAATTACTTTAAACGTGCACAAGTAAGAACTACTACTCCCACTACTGTCCTTTTGGAACTGATGCAGGGTGCAGGGAATGGATGTAGCTGTTTTTTCCTACTGACCCCACATGTGAGGTTCCTTCTGAAATGAGTAGGGCTTTAGGTGTGGTATCTATTCCTTGAATGGAATAGGTGATGGAGAATCAGCTGTGTTTGAGAAAAAGTTTAAGTGAAGTCTTTTCTCATAAAACTCACTTGAAAGAATAAGGTCTGTTAGGAAAATTCGCCTCTCCTGTTTATATAGGGGAACTCAGCTGAATCATGCTTCTTGGGGTCTCTTTTATTCTGATGTGGCACATTTTAGCTCATAACCGGGAGTACCAGCCATGAGGCCCTGTGCTGCAAGCCCCAGGTGGGAATGGACACCAAGGAAAGTCCTCTCAAGGCAGCAGGAAGCCAATACTCAGAACCCCATGGGATGGCTAAAATCTAAAAGCTGTTTGGAAGTGTTTTCAATTTAAAAAAGACATCAACAACCACCCCTTTGGAAACTTAGAAAAACGGCAAATGAGGTGATGCAACTCAGAATCCGAATGGTTTTTCTTTTCACTTTAAGAAGATCAGGGTGCTGAAGGCGGAGATCAGGGTGCTGAAGGCAGATCCTCAAGCTTTCATGATCAGAATCTCGGTAGGAGCGGCTCTTCCTTTTTTCAACATGAATTGTGTACCTCTCACAGTCTCACGTTGATTTTCTCACTGCTGTCTATACGTTCCTGCTTCTCAGAATAAACACAGGAAACTTTACGAAACCCCTTTATACTTTTGTCCTTTCCTAAAGATAAAATAAAGGACTCATTCCATAGTGCATATTTCTTTTTTTTTTTTTTTTTTTTTACTTTTTTTTCTCTTATACTTTAAGTTCTAGGGTACATGTGCACAATGTGCAGGTTTGTTACATATGTATACATGTGCCTTGTTGGTGTGCTGCACCCATTAACTCGTCATTTACATTAGGTATATCTCCTAATGCTGTCCCTCCCTCCTACCCCCTCCCCACAATAGGCCCCGGTGGGTGATGATCCCCTTCCTGTGTCCAAGCGATCTCATTGTTCAGTTCCCACATATGAGTGAGAACATGCGGTGTTTGGTTTTCTGTTCTTGCGATAGTTTGCTGAGAATGATGGTTTCCAACTGCATCCATGTCCCTACAAAGGACATGAACTCATCCTTTTTTATGGCTGTGTAGTATTCCATGGTGTATATGTGCCACATTTTCTTAATCCAATCTGTCACTGATGGATATTTGGGTTGATTCCAAGTCTTTGCTATTGTGAATAGTGCCACAATAAACATACGTGTGCATGTGTCTTTATAGCAGCATGACTTATAATCCTTTGGGTATATACCCAGTAATGGGATGGCTGAATCAAATGGTATTTCTAGTTCTAGATCCTTGAGGAATCGCCACACTGTTTTCCACAATGGTTGAACTAGTTTACAGTCCCACCAACAGTGTAAAAGTGTTCCTATTTCTCCACATCCTCTCCAGCACCTGTTGTTTCCTGATTTTTTAATGATTGCCATTCTAACTGGTGTGAGATGGTATCTCATTGTGGTTTTGATTTGCATTTCTCTGATGGCGAGTGATGATGAGCATTTTTTCATATGTCTGTTGGCTGTATGAATGTCTTCTTTTGAGAAATGTCTGTTCATATCCTTTGCCCACTTTTTGATGGGGTTGTTTGTTTCTTTCTTGTAAATTTGATTGAGTTCTTTATAGGTTCTGGATATTAGCCCTTTGTCAGATGAGTAGATTGCAAAAATTTTCTCCCATGCTGTAGGTTGCCTGTTCACTCTGATGGTAGTTTCTTTTGCTGTGCAAAAGCTCTTTAGTTTAATTAGATCCCATTTCTCAATTTTGTCTTTTGTTGCCATTGCTTTTGGTGTTTTAGACATGAAGTCCTTGCCCATGCCTCCATAGTGCATATTTCAAACCAACCACTTAATTTTAATTTTAAATTTCAGATTAATTTAGTTAAGCTATATTTAAGATAATAAATATTGTCAAGTTGTCATAAGTGGAACAAAGGTTTTTGCCAATATAAGCAACGTTTGGTTTCAAAAACTTTAGAAGACACATGAAAAATTATTTAAAGTTCAAAAGTTACCATCCATGAGCTCTATTAGCAGAAAGGTTCTAAAATTTTTTAAAAATGTATTTCGGAACCAAATGGATTTCTTCCCTGACAATCACTGAAAACAAAACAAAACAAAATGTCTCTTCTAGAAATTTCGGAGGAGCCACCATCAGACAGGATGGATGAGTGGCAGAACACACTGTGTCATATTCAGAAGCCACCTTTTCTTCCCAACCTATGTTGCATTTCTGACTTCAACTCTTTCTTAAACTCAATCATGCTGTGTCATTAAAAGGACTAATTCAGACAATAGCACCTGAGGTTTGCATGGTCACTGGTGATTTTAAATGCATTTTTTTCTTTCCTTTTTGAAAAAAAAAAAAACCACTCAAATTGAGCAGAGCAAAGCTTGTAAGTTACATGTATAACTTCATCTTCTGAGTGCGTCACACCTATTTATCTACTAGAGAAAAATCCTTCAATTTCTTGTGCACTCCTGTAGAGGCACCAAAAATTAAACAGCAGCCTCTCATTCTCTTTCTTTTCAGTGAGATTTCTGTGCCTTTAAACAGGATTATCAGTACAGCATGCCTACTGTACTTACATTCTTTAAAAACAAATATTTTTAAGAAACAAATATTCCTTAAAAATCAATTCTATGTTTTGCCAGTTTTATTTATTTTTTTGCTAAATTTTAGGCAAATCTAACAAATACTGAAAAGGAAGTATTATGGAAAGGTTAAGGAGACATCTACTAAGTTGTAGTCAAGATATGTCTGTTGTCAGAAACCCAATGCGGAGACAAAAGTTTTGACAATTTTAGTAAACCTTTGTTCACAAAGAAACTGGAAATCATGTGGGGATATCTTCCAAATTCAAGAATTGCATCCAGACGCCCTATCAGGAGTAGAAGTAGTCTAAATCTTTGAGGCACAACAGCAGATGAAATCCATAGAAATCCTTTGCAAAAGGAAGGGCAAGTGGAGTGGTGAACAGAGGGCTTGTTTCCAAAAGTTTCACTGATACTCTGGATTTAGAATTGCCTCTGACTGACAGCCTTCCAGATGGGCCTTCACAGCACCTGTGAGGTGTCTGAAGCCAGGTGTTTGAGTGGAACAGGAGACTCAAGTTCCAGAACGGTTTTCCTTGCTCATCTCAATTTTCCATTGTTATTGTCCTCTCAAACTACCACTGTTTGAAGGATCTATCCAAAGTTTTTTTCCTATTGGTGTTAACGCTGCTTATTCTTCATGTGACTTGTGGCATTACACATTTTCAGATGAGCTTTCGAGATCTGCATGCCAGTCTCATATACTCTGACTTCAGAACAGACCCAACTAGCAAAAGATAATAATTAGCCCCCTCTACACAATAGTGTATACAAGACGGCTACTCCTCATCCTATTTTCTCTTTCCTTCATCAATCTGCCAAACTTCACTATAATCTAAAGATAATGGTGGAATATATGTATGGTTTTAAAAAACTAGAGAGATTTCAACTGTTCCTGTTTTATATTGTGCTAATTAAACGCAAAGACTTGGCAATCATGGTTATAGGTTATAAGGTTATATTAGGATACTAACAGGCACTGCTACTGGGAACTGAACAGGTGTTTCTCCTTCAGAAGAGGAAGGGCACATCAGTCACTTTGGGACACTTCAGAAAACAAGGCTCAATATTACAGAATAGCAGTAGGAAGGAAACTGGTGACAGAAAAACACTTCTTTGTGTATATATTATTTTGGACTACATTCTTATTTTAGTGTTAATTTCCTCTTTTCTTTGTACAAGTTGCTTTTGATTATTTCAAGGAAGGAAACTGAGATCCTCCATTGTTAACAATAAGAAGCAGTTTTCCTGGTCTTATCTTTCATGATACGTACTCACTGAATTTAATATTTCCGTTTCAGAATTGTTGACTTTTCTAAGCCTGGGCCTATTTGGCCACTTTGCTGGATTGCTAATCGTATTTCTAGAAAACGGCCTTGTCAGATTAATTTAGTTAAGCTATACTTAAGATAATGTCTCTTGTCAAGTTGTCATAAGTGGAACAAAATTTTTTGCCAATATAAGTTGGGTTTTAAGAACTTTAGAAATCATGCGAAAAATTCTTTAACATTCAAGTTACCATCCACAAGCTCTATTCAAAGCAGAAAGATTCTAAAATTTCTTAAAAATATATTTTAGAACTAAATAACTATTTGTAGTTGAGTCTCCTAAAACTCTTTCCCCAGTTTATTTAAGATCCTAAGATGATGGAGACTTGTTTAACTTACACCAAAAGGGGAGGCCTAAAAAATTCTAAGATTCCTAGAATAATGATATATAATTCTATCATAATAATGATATATAAACACACATTATTGCGATTATTGTTATAAGAAATATTATTATTACAATACATTTAGAATACCAGGTAACTCTCATTTGGTTTTAAATCTGAAGTAGTAATAGTTAAACATCTACTTCTAGAATGTCAAATATTATAAAGAGATTACATATGAAATGATTTTATATATTATATATATGTATATATATAATATATAAATTACATATATACATACATACTTTTTTCCTTAACTGTGACTAACATGTTACAAATACAGAAGGTTAAAAATCAATAAGCCAATATTACATTTGAAGACTTACCTTGGGGTCCAGGGTCTCCTGGTGGCCCAGGCAACCCATCCTTTCCTGGTGGCCCAGGCCTCCCATGAGCTTGGGCAGCCAACATTGCTGCTGGCAGCTTAAGCTGGGATAGGAATACAGCCATCCTCTCTTCGTGTATAGAAGAAAAAAATAATATATCATGGAACAGAAATATTTTATGTCAAAAAATTTCAAAATACATGAAATCAAATAAACAAAAAGATTTAATTTTTAATTTAAGCACATCTAATTTACCAACTGGTCTGACTGCTGAGTTTTTTGATTACACAAATAAAATCAATTGCACAAAGTTGTTTGTGTATAGATGTAGACCAGCTGTGTCACTCAGAAAGTCTGAGAATTTTCAGTGCTTCTGAGATGTGACCAACTAGCGGACAGAACGCTAGCATCGAATCTAACCTGTGGTAATGACATGTGGAGAGAGTTTAGGTTCACATTAAAAAATGATTTCCTAATAACTTTAAGGCACTTTCCAGCAAGGTTGGGAACGTATGTGTGGTGATTTAAAATATATTCACGAATTCTTTGACACTGTCTTCCAAAGTTGGAGTTTAATTCTCCTATTTTTGAATGGGGGCTAGACTTTTCATTTCTAGTGAAAAGAAAAAGGCCGAATCAACAGTGGGCAACTAGAGAGATGAGGTCATAAAAGACATCGTGGCTTCCTAGTTGCTTTCTCTCTTAGATCACTCATTGCAGGAAGGCAGCTGACATGGAGTGACAGCACCCAAGAAGTCCTGTGGAGAGGCCCACATGGGGAAGAACTGATGCTACTTGCCAGTGGCCACGTGCATGAACTTGGAAGCAGATCATCCAGCCCTAGACATCCTGACTGCAATTTCATGAGAGATCCTAACCAGATCCATACAATTAAGCAACACTTCAAGTCCCTGACCCCAAAAAATGTGAGATAATAAACGTTTATAATGTAAAATGTAAGATAAATGTTTTAAGCCACCAAAGTTTGGAGGTATTTTCTTATGCAGCAACAGATAACTAAAAAAAAAAGCATATCGAATATTTTACTACTATATAAAATTAATTTTGGTAAAATCATTAACTCATTCCAGGGCCATTATAAATATGATCTATCATTGGAGTCTTTCTTAAAATTGTTATATTTGGTATACCTCACATTAAAAAAATCTAATATATGAACAACTAGATTTCAAACAGAAAACTTGAAGAGGCTCTATCCTTGCCATGATAAGAAGTTAACCACGTTGTTTTTGCTTTTTCTTTTTGCATAACTTCTTCAAAAATCTCTTAGTAATTTAAATGGTTTTATTTTGAAATAATTTACACATAGTTTTTCAAAGATACATGTGTGTCGTAAGAAATGAATATTTAATTTAAAAACTTCACTCTGGGTTTGCTGCAGACAAATCTTCCGGAAAAGTTTTTTTTTACTGAGGAAATTAGTATTTATTTTGTAAGTAAAGACCAAATGACAGACCACAACATAGTAAAAACTATAGCCGTCGGTTAGAAAACACGAAGCCCAAATCATATAGATCCAGTAAAGAGTTACTTCCACGTTCTCCAGTCTTTTCACTCAGTTTAGTTGATTTAATTGAATTGCAAAGGCATACTTAAACAGATATGTATCTTTTATTTTATGTAAATTTTAAAATAAAGAGTAAATTACTTCTGAGGAAAATCTGTTTTCCCATGAGTTTTCAATTAAAACAATCCTTTAAAAACAATGTAGGCCCATACTGGTTAAGAAAGAAAAAGAATTATTTTTTCATATAGAATTATTAAGGGAAAAGCCCCAATAGATACAAAGCATTGACTGTCATTATCCAAAAAGCAATCACCTACATTCACATTCTCATGTCACAAAGCAAGCAGAATGGAAACATACCACAACCTGCACAGGACTAGAATCTCTGGCTGTAGACTGAAGGATGAATGGGAGGCCAACAGGGATCTAATGGATGCTGGTCCCAAGGAGTGATATGAAATCACCTGCCCTCCAGTATTACTACCTCACTATCTACCTGGGATGTTTGGTTGATATTAATACATCTTATTCCAGTAACTAATAGATAAAACAAATAGGTAATTAATATATATTTTTAGTTTTACAAATCATCATATTGAATGTACATATAATATCTTTATTACATCAAATTATGAACTTGGGGCCTTATAATAAATATGGAATTCAATAATCACAGTTTGAAACTTTGCATAATATTTGTTGTTCTGCACTTCAAAGGAGAGATGTATTTCAGTACAATTTTTCTTAATTTGAAACATGTCTCTTTAAATACCTTCAATGTTGAAACACAAATATTCACAGTACTAATTTTTCTTCTTTAATATATGAATTGAATTTAGAAGTACTTTGGTGGTTTTTAATATTTTTAGCAAAACAGAAAATTATTTTTACTACTTCTAGCTGTAAATTATCTGGCTTTGAGATACACTGAGAAACAGTCATTTAGCATAAGGGTAATTACCTCTTCTGAACCCTACCCTAATGCTCTATAATTTACAATAATATGTTTCAGAGCATCCAAATGAATTGTAAAGGCCTTTATTCTTAATTGCTTTTCCTCTGTTTTCAGGGATCTTCAGTCAATTAAACTGTTTTTGGCTATGCTTTCTAATGAGGCAGGAAATTGAAGAGTTCAGATATAAGCATGCATAAACCAAACACACATTTGCCATCTGCCAAGGCAAAGCCACAGCAGTCACTCTAACAAATGAGACCAAAGCTTGGCTTCTTTGGAGAATGGGCTCCTTACTATAATATAGACATTAATATTAATGTGATGATAAACTACGTGTTTTAGAGGAGGAAGGAACACACACATGTCATCTGGCCCCTGTCTACTATTTCACAGATAAAATTTGTAAATATTTCAAAGACAGAAATTAATCTTCTCCGAATGCCCATGGAAATGTCTGATTATCCATTTTCTTGGTATAACTTCAATTTATTTCATTTTGCTACCCCATTATGGAAACAGAGAGCAGTTAATGAGTATTTCCCTTGGGAAATCAGTCATATTGTTACATATCAGCATTCAGGTTAAATAACTTTTACTTATAGGCTTCACAATCTATTTTGTAAATCTCTTTTTGGTTCCATTATTTCAGGGCTTTTCCATAAATGTCTCCTAAATGTGGAAATCAAAATTAAATACAGTTTCTTCCTAAAGGGCAAAAATATCAGAAGAGTAATTTCCTGTGATATTTTTATAATGATATTCTAGTTTCATTTTTAACTGTTAATTCAACAGTATCTTTTGGTGGATTCATATTTATTTTGTGGTTCACTATGACCCAAAGGTGGTTACTACTTCATTTGTCTCTGTCTCAATCATTTGTCACTTTTATGAGTATGTTGCTTTGAAATATCATGGGTAAAGATGGTGGATTAAACACATGGATCTGCTTTAACTACCTCCTGAATCCTAGCAAAACAATCCTCTTAAAGGCATAAACAGACAAGAATGGGGGAGCATATGAAAGGAGACAATAGCAGCACAATTTTGGAAGTTGAGAACCAGATGGTTGAGTGATACATTACTTAGCAAACTCAAGACAACTAAACTCTTAGACTAGAAGTAGAGGAATAACTTGATCTAAACTACAAAATCCTCAGAAGGCTTAGAATTGGCAGTACAAGTTACCTCTGGAAATGGGGGTGAAAGAGGGGAACTAAAATAAGGAGCACAGATTGAAAGCCTGTTTTAGTAGTTGTTGAAATTCCTTTCTCTATAAAGCTGGGCAGGTGCCTGTCCCCATCCCTAGCAAGATGCTGAAGGTTTATTATTATCTGAAAAGGGTAGTAGTCTGCCTCTGCACTGAGGAGCCCAGGCTCCATTGAGACTCAGGCTTCCAAACTGAAAATCTGAAGCAGCTGAGCTCGCAGCCAGGCAGGAAGTGAAATGTCTCCCCGGGGGAATCTGACCAGACTGAGAGGAAAGAGTTAAAGACACTGAAATTAAGGGTCCTTCACTTAAAAAGTCCAACTTGGCTACCCTGAGTGAAACTCGAGGTTGGTAAGCCACACTGTTCACTCACAGCTTTCAACAGGTTTTTAAAACCCTGCTCTTACGTATGCAGACATCCAAGGATTACTGGACACTGAGGAAATCCTATAAACTGAAAAACAGAGTTGTAACCAAAAAAACAGAAAGAAGCAAATTGGAAGAAACAGAGACTATGTGGTGGAAAATATGTTTTTTAACTCTTTATATATATATATATATAAAATCAATGATGTATATTTATCAGATGATGTGTATATAAATAAGTACATATACAAACATGTATATATAAATGAATATCTTAGTTGTAGAGAGGTAAGAAAAGATGTTACAACCTTGGAATAAGAAAACAGGATCACACATATTTACACACATTCATATATATATGCATTATATATATATGAAATACATGTATGAAAAATCAAGAAAACATAGGTAAGGGGATTTTCAGAACACTGAAAATCTGGAGGCAGAAACATAGTTCAGGAATACTTAGCCTTAATCTTTCTTTTCTCCCACAGCTGGAGGTGTGGGCTTGTTGGCCCCATGTCTGACTCAAGAACCGAGAGAGCCAGATGTTAGTACACATTTCTGCATAGGTTGGTAAATTCTTCCTGCATGTTGATGTAAATTCGCAAGCATAATAGGACAGTGTAATAGCAAGAATTAAACTTCTCAGATCTGGCAAGACCCTCCTTTGTGTGGGCAGCATCACTGGCAGCTGGAAAGCCCTCCTAAAGCCAAATGCTAAGCTGAGACACATGGATGATATCTGTCCTTGTCCTGTGTGGTCACTTTAGTAGCAAAAGGACTTGACTTGTTGGACAATCAAATTGGGAATTTAATTGAACTTCGGAAAGGATATATATTCGTGCATAGTGATCAATCTGGAACCTAGACATGGGATTGGTGAAAAGACATCTCTTTCCGCCACAGTTAGGTTTGGGAAGGGGCACTAGGATGTTGAAGGGAGGTTAGGTGGTCTGGAAAATAGCTCAAGGTGTGAGATTTGTAGGGTGTTGTATCAGTGGAGTCACCTGGGAAGCCCCAAAGGGGGTTAAAAAGCCACAAGAGGAGGGTTCAAAGTTCGGGTCATCCTGGTCTAGGGTTTCACTAGAGGGTGTAATCTGGACACTTGGGATGATAAAGTTGGAGAGCAGGATCTTCCAAGGACTCCCTCAAGCCCGGGCTGACAGTCTGCGACTTGCCACTGGGAGAGAATGGCTCTTGAGGCTGCAGATGTGCAGGGGTGCGTGGAGCAGAGATAGCATTAGCTGTTGTTGACACTGTCTCTTGTGAAACCACTAAGAAAAAGGGAGGGAGACAGGTGCTACTTAAGTGTAGCAGTTAGCTGCCTGTACTACTTAACTGTAACTGCTTTAACATGTGAAAATTAATCTTTGCTTTTAGAGAAAAAGCTTTCTGAAAATGGTAACTGTGACCTTGGGGCTCTATGATTTGTGAAAATGGAGTTTTCTTTTTTCTTTTTTGTAAATGGTGTTCAGAAGCCATGGAAAAGGTGATTTCTAAGTGGAAAATTAAATGGAGTAAATCGACATGATCTTGGGACAAATTAACTTAAATGGTAAATAACTACATTCTGGGTTTCAGGCACAGTTTTGTTTGGGAGGACAGTTTTGCTGGACTAGTGTCAAGAGAGATAAAAGGAGAGGGATATCACACATGGAGTCTCAGAGTTTAGAAGTCTCAGAAAATAGTTTCCTTATGGGCCACTTTAAAATATTGTCTTGAGGCTAAGACACCTGTGGTTTCTGAGGGACTACTAGCTCTGGTGGGGATCCAGCCACTCGCCTGGACCTGGCCAGGCTGGAAGAGACAGAGAGGCAGTAGGAGAGATGGGTGTGAAGCCAGAGACCTGGGGAAGACTCTGCACCTGTCAGCTTCCAGGCAGGTGGGCTCTGACAGAGGAAGGAGGGGCAGGAACTCAGAGAGGAAGGATTCAGACTCAGAGGAGGAGCTTCTCAGAAAGCAGAAGCCTGGTGAGCCTGCCCCAAGACAGATGGAGAGTGGCCCAACTCCCCTGACCTGCCTCCTCAGAAGACTGATAGCCCTTCTTGAGAGAAGCCACAGAATGGCCTGGGAGTGGGCAGCACGGAGCCTTCCCAGGAGGAAGTAGAAGTGTCTCTTCCGCTGAATGCACAGGGCAGGCTGCCAGGGGCCACACCTTCATCCAGTGTCTGATGGACTTGTAAAACGAACACCTTCTTTATCTCAACATGTCACTTTTTTTTTTTTTTTTTTCTGAAAACGCTAGGTTATATTTTCTGACTTTTTTTTTTTTGAGGCAGAGTCTCGCTCTGTCCCCCTGGCTGGAGTGCAGTAGCGCGATCTCGGCTCACTGCAAGCTCCGCCTCCCGGGTTCCCGCCATTCTCCTGCCTCAGCCTCCGGAGTAGCTGGGACTACAGGCGCCCGCCACCGTGCCCAGCTAATTTTTTGTATTTTTAGTAGAGACAGGGTTTCACCATGGTCTCGATCTCCTGACCTTGTGATCCGCCCGCCTCGGCCTCCCAAAGTGCTGGGATTACAGGCATGAGCCACCGCACCCGGCCTATTTTCTGACATTCTTAATCAGCTTCCAAAAAATGGGTTAATTACTGACTATTAAATATATGATTTTATCTAAAGCCTCTTAAGAGATTGAAGTTCAGGATTAAAGCTCCCTGAGATAAAAGATAAATAAAGACACTAGAGCCCATAGAGATTAAGAGTTAAAGGAAAACTTTAGATTGCAATTCAAAAACACATATATGCTGGCATTTCTCTTTTCATGGTTGAGGTCAACTAAACGCATGGATACTATCTGAGATCCTAGATGTCCTCTCCCCAGGACTGCCTTTCATGGACATGCTACCTATGCAGTCACATAGGGCCCCATGTTTAGTTTATGGCTTTACTGTTGCTGTCTTAAAATTCTTAATCATTTTTTAACAAGTGCACCAGCATTTTCACTGTGCACTGAACACTGCAAATTATGTAGCCATGAGTATGTTCTTCAGTATTCCACTGAAGAGCCTGAGATGTCTTTTTTCAAACAGTTGTCTTTTTTCAAACTTGCTGAGGGGGAAATGAGTGTTTGGATTGCAAAGTTTAGAGTATAGTCCATAATGTTTGATTCAAGGGTAAAAAGAAAGAAAGAAAGAGAGAGAGAGAGAGAGAGAGAGAGAGAGAGAAGGAAGGAAGGAAGGAAAGAAAGAAAGAGGAAGGAAGGACGGAAGGAAGGAAGGAAGGAAAGAAGGAAGGAAGGAAGGAAGGAAAGAAGGAAGGGAGAAAAGACTTCCAAATATAAGGGCAACATTAAAATTACTGGTAGTTCAACAAAAGAGTGGACAAATGTATTAGTAAACTGTCATATCAGAGCATGATAAAGATACTTAGTAAAGATCAAGATAAATTAAAATCAACAGCATACATTCTTGACCTTTAAAAAACATTTTTTGCCAACATGGTGAAACCCTGTCTCTACTAAAAATACAAAAATTAGCCAGGTTTGGTGACGGGTGCCTGTAATCCCAGCTATTCAGGAGGCTAAGGCAGGAGAATCGCTTGAACCCAGGAGGCAGAGGTTGAAGTGGGCCGAGATCATGTCAATGCACTCCAGCCTGGGTGACAGAATGAGACTCCATCTCAAAAAACAAACAAACAACAACAACAACAAAATTTTTTTTCTCTTTTGTCATTAAAGTAGCTACAAGTCCCAGTGTTATTCCACTGTATTTCCAGTTCTCATATAAAACAAGACAATGTGCTTCCAAGCACCAAGATTTCAGTCTCTACTGCTAATTATTATTTAAAATAATCAAGACTCCTTGGAGAAGAGCTGATTCCATGTTTGAAGCAATGGACTCAAGATCGACTTGGGGCATCTTATAATCTTATTCCTTAAAAAATTCAACAATCTATTTTTGGCTTGTGGATGCTAAGCAAAGGAAGTAAGAACCATGAGAGCTAACATGGATTTATTTGTTAAATCTTACAGTTCCGAAGAGTGATTTTGATTTTAGCAAACCATTTGTCAAACTCACGTGATACTGTCAATTCCTTGCAAATAGGAAAAGAAATGTAGGGTGAGTTTTAGGACAACGAAATGGATTCAGAGCTCACTAAATAACAGATTAGAAGATGATTTACAAGTGGACAGAAAGAATCCTGTGGCATTTAGAAAGACCTAATCCTTGACTCTTGGCTTTTTTAGTCAACATTTCTATCAACAACTAGAATGATGGCATGCTTATGAAATTTAGCATGACACAAAGTTATAGGGTCAGCCAACCTGCTCTACAAGAGACAACATTCCAAAAGACATCTTCAGGTTGGAACAAGATATGAACACAAATGATTTGAAATTAATAAGAGGAAACATAAGATCACACACTTAGATTTAAAAAATAAACACACAGTCCATAATGATAAACACCTCATTTAAAAATATTTTAACAAGGAAGATCCAGGGCTGTTAGTTAACTGAAAACTCAAAATGCATCAACAGAATAATACGGATGCCTTTTTCAAAAAACCAATACATCTTAGGATGAATTATTGAAGTATCTAGAGCAGGGGTCAGAACTTTCTCTGCAAGGGCCAGATAGTAAATATTTAAGCCTTTATGGACCATATTATCACAATTGCTCAGTCCTGTTGCTGTAGCGGGATAACAGCCAGAGAAAAGAGGTAAAGGAATGTGCATACTTTATTTATGGAAACAAATTCAAATTTCAGATAATTTTCACATATCATGAAATATTCTTTTGATTTTTAAAAACCATTTTAAAATATAACTCATTCCCACCGCTCCCCACCAAAAAGCAAAAACCATTCTCAGTTTGTAGGCTGTACAAAGCAGGTGGCAATGGTTTTGGCTAGGGGGTTCAGTTTGCTGACTTTGGTCTAAATGAAAAGACACTACTCTGCATTGGTCAAAATATTCCTTGGTAAATGAGAGTCATTTATAAATTAAATGTTTCCCAGGGGTGATAATAGTGGAGGAGCTAGACACATTTACTTCATAAAAGAGAAAACTAAGGACAAGTATGAGGGATATGGAAAAATACTCAAAGGGCTGTCATGTGAGTACAAGCAGGTACTTTACCTGTGTTGTTTTACAGAGCAGGTATAATGAAAGGAAGTTCCAGGGAGGCAAAAGTTAACTTTGTGTAAAGAACAATTTTCATCAAATGGCTGTCCCATCATAAAATGGGCTGCCCCTTAAGGTTTTTGTGGCATGGCCGTCTTTCGAGAATGTTGCTGGAGGGATTCCCCATGGTAGATGGGAGGTGGGAATCAGTGAAAAATTCAAAAATGTTATTAAGAAAATCTAACCTTCAAAAATCCTTAGGACCTCTTGATTAATATACTTCTTTATTTCTTCAAATGAAACTGCATCAGCCTGAAGAAGGAAGAAAAAAGGTCTGTTAAAATAGAGCATAGCACAAATGGATAAAGAATAGAAATATTGGGTTGGAACTTCTGTAGAGATCCATTTATCAAGAAAAATGCTTTCGGCAGTTGACTATATTGGGCAATAAATATGTGTTGCTTTGACCAAATTCTGGGAAGAAGCTGAAGTGCCTAATTGCTTTAAGAGCCATGGGCTGGAATCATAATCAGTGGTATCAACAGGTTTCCTATTAAATGGAGACACATGGCTTTATACAGTTAGGGAAGACATTCCTATTACTTCATTTTATAAGGTTAAATAATCTAAAAAGTGTAATCATGATGTTAGTAGTCTAACTACAATTTAACTTCTAAGCAATCCCTGGATGGAAAAGTCAATGTCTAACTGATACAATGTATTTTCAACAGAAGACAACCTGGAACAGAACTGCAAGCATGCTGGATTATTTTCAAAAATGTTGTATTCATGGGATAAAAGCAAGCTTTACCCATTTCATCATAAAGTTTATTCTGTAACTTACACATTGCAAGTATATAGGTATTAAGTAATTTTCTTTTCTTAATTGGGATCTGGTAAAAGGAAGCAGGCAAATAATGTCAGCTGAATTTTCCACCTGTTGAAGTAAATTCACATGCATTTGACAAAGAATCTAACATTTATAACAGTAATGTTTTACTATAGTACCTTGATATTTTTAAAAGAGTTATTATTTTTTTCTTGATGGTTAGAATTTCAAAGTATTTTATTGCTCTTTATAGTTGGTGATTATTACCCAGGGGTGTATGTGTGGCATTAAAGACAATATGTTGAAGACTGGAGGTTGTGACAAAGGCAATAAGCCCCACTGCCAACTATCCACTTTGAAATATATACATGAAGAAAGACCCTAACAGAAGATGGTCAGATGAGAGAGTTGGAAGCTCTATGGAAAATCGCCACACAATATGAATTTAAGAATGAAGCAGAGCCTAATTAGATAGTGAGCCTTAATTTATAAACATTCCTGGGTAGGTTCCTCATCACTTTTCACTGAAAATTCCTCTATCCTGTCTGTGTGTAGATATGTGATAACAATATTGTTGTGGGGTTCCCTAACACAATGGTGCTAGTTCATTTGTAACAACAAACTGACTTAGAAAGCCAAAAAATAAAAATAAAAACAATCCAATGTGATGGGCTTATAAAGTGATGATTCCTGTAGGACAGAATAATTCCAATAATGTTATATTTCATTAATGAACTTTAGTTAATGCATCTAATACCAATTACTGACACAACGCCGAGAGCTGAAGTTACACAGGCTTTATTGAAGTAGAGTTTCAGGAGAGTGGGCAGAAATAAAGTATGAAAACTGTGTGAAAACTCAGTTTTGCTTTATATCTGGTATTGGTCGATTATCTGAGGAGAATGTGTCTTTAACTGCCCTACTTCACTTCAGGACCCTCCTTTCTTCCTAACATGGATATTTTCAGATTAAATTCCTCTGCAGAATAGCCACTCACCACTCCTCTTGAGGATTAATAAAGATATGGGCTTCCTTCACTAAACACTCTTGGCCTAAGTGGTTTCTACTTCAAAGCACTACTCATGGCAGATTTGTTGTTCTGATATTCAACAAAATAGAGTATGAAATGGACATGTTTCATAGCAATATGAAACAGGCATATGTGGTTTCTGTGTAGTGTAAGGAGACATTAGAGATAGTACCTGTATTTAAAAGCACGGTTTTGAAACCATCCAGACCTGGGTCTGATCCACTTAATAAATCTGTGACCTTGGGCAAGTCAATGCTCATTTTATGCGTTTATAAAAGTGGGCTGAAAAGGACACCAATCCTTCCAGAATGATTATGAAGATCAAATGAGGTAATGTATAGTAAGTGCTTAGTAGAGGATCTGGCACATAACTTTAAATGACAGCTATTGTTGCCCTCACAGGGACCAGTTTAGGTTTGTTTTATTTATTTGAAAGGCATTATCATTGCTTTCATTGTAAAAGGGATACATGGTCAGCACAAGTCACAAGCCCTAAGCTCTTAGCACTACTTACCGGAATGCCAGGGATGCCAGGAGAGCCTGGAGGGCCTTGGTGGCCAGGGGATCCCATTGAGCCCTTGTTTCCTGGTGGACCGATAGGACCGATGGCCCCCTTCATGCCTGTAAGGCCTGGTTTTCCCCGTTCACCTTGTGGGCCTCTGTCTCCTGGAATCCCCTGATCACCCTGTTAAGGAAAAAAAAAAACAATAAAGAATAATCTCTTCTAGCATTAGCTACAGTTGAGAGCAAAAGTTCTGGATTCATACTGGCACTTATTAGCTGTTGGGCCTTGGATAAATAACTTAAACTCTCTGTGTCCTAGCCTCTCCCCCTACAAAGAGGCATATTAATAGTATCCATTAAATAGGGCTATTTTCATAACTAAATGAATTCACCCAAGTAAAGTGCTCAGAACAATGCCTGGCACCTTGGCAGTACTTAATATACAAAAGATAGTGAGAATGTTAGTTGTACTTGGTTGCCCATCTAGGATGACGGCAGTTTTGAGAGTCAATACCAGCTATCACTTGAGGTCTGGGTCTCCTTTGCAATGATAAAGGAATATTGCCAAGAGGATCTCATTACTGAGACTTTTCACTTAAAAAAACTTCAGGACACTCAAAATCTCTCCTAAATCATGTGCTCTCCCACCCGTGGCTTTCCCGTTTGTTTGGTCTTTATTAGACGCTTCAGGTTTGTTTTCTGTATTTGTGCTTTACACTTGTATGCATGTGCATGTGTGTGCATGTTTGTGTGTGTGTGCACGTGAGTGTGAGCCCTGTGCCCTAAATATATACCCACAGGAAGGTGAGAAGGGAGAGCCATTGAAAAGATCAAAGCAGGTGACTGGGGGGAGGATGTCACTGAGATCATTTACTTGATAGTATAAATGAACTATAGAAGAATCAGTTGGGCTGGGCACGGTGGCTCACGCCTGTAATCACAGCACTTTGGGAGGCTGAGGCGGACAAATCACCTGAGGTCAGGAGTTCGAGACCAGCCTGACCAACATGGAGAAATCCCGTCTCTACTAAAAATACAAAAAAATTAGCCAGGCGTGGTGGCACATGTCTGTAATCCCAGCTACTCAGGAGGCTGAGGCAGGAGAATCGCTTGAACCCAGGAGGTGGAGGTTGCGGTGAGCCGAGATCACACCATTGCACTCCAGCCTGGGCAACAAGAGCAAAACTCTGTCTTAAAAAAAAAAAAAAACAAGAATCAGTTGAACAAGATGTCATAATTAGTAAAATACTATGTTAGATGTGCCTAAATCTGATATGAAGCTTGCTTGATGCTGTTTTTTATCCTGGAATGTGTCTACTACTGTATGTGTTTGTGCAAGAGAGAATGAGAGAGAGAGAGAGAGATGGATCATGGCAGTTGCTTCAGTAATAAATTTTCAAATATTCAGTTGCATAACTCCAGGAGGTGATCCTCACACCAAATATGATGGAATGATGCTTGAAGCTGCCCTATATCTCATTATATTATTCTTTTAACTGTGACTACTCTGCAGAAGGCCAAACTCTATTTCTCTTGACTTAAAAAATAAAAATAAATGAACAGTTACAGAGATTTATGTGATCATAGAATCTGATATAGAAAGAAGCCATGTAGAAAGAAATAAAAGCAGTTGGGCCCAGTATCAATGCTACTGTCTTAGTTATAAAAATATATCTGCATACAGGTCTCACTCCAGCTCACATTTGGAGACATTTCTGAGATGACTAGAAAAAATATTAGCACACTTTGATCAATGATTAATATTCTGATCATGTGCAAGATAAATGCAATCTTTAACATATTAAAATTATTTTATAGGTTAGGTACAAAGATATTCGTTGTAGTGATGTTTATTATTATGACAACTAGAAGGAATCCAAATGCCCAAAAGACTAGGTAAGTGAAATAAGGTATGGTCAAAGAGTAGAATAACATACAGCAATTAAAAGGCAGATACAGATTTATATTTATAGACAAGATAATCAATATATATTATTAGGTGAAAAAAGTAACATACAAGACAGCATAAGCTCCTTTTTGGAAAAGTATATGTTTCTATTAATACATATAAATATATGTGTATATTATGTATTAGAGTGAGAGAGATGGAAATATGTCCAAATATCACAGGGCTTATCTCTGTGTAGTGGGATAAGGTAGATTTTTAAAATTTCCTTTTATTTATTTATTTATTTATTTATTTATTTTTAAATTTATTTTATTTTATTTTTGAGGCAGAGTCTCGCTCTGTCACCCAGGCTGGAGTGCAGTGGCACGATTTCGGCTTACTGCAAGCTCTGCCTCCAGGGTTCACACCATTCTCCTGCCTCAGCCTCCCAAGTAGCTGGGACTACAGGCGCCCGCCACCGTGCCCGGCTAATTTTTTGTATTTTTAGTAGAGACAGGGTTTCACCGTGTTAGCCAGGTTGGTCTCAATCTCCTGACCTCATGATCCACCCGCCTCGGCCTCCCAAAGTGCTGGGATTACAGGCATAAGCCACTGTACCCAGCCTTTTAAAATTTCCTTTTAAATTTACATCATCTATATTTTCACATTTCCTTCAGTTATTATGGATGACTTGTATAATAATAAATAAAAGTTAGCAAACTAGACACCAGAATACAAACATACGTGCCCACACTCACATACAATAGCAACCCTTAATAGAATTACACTGAGTAACAATGTTTGGGTAACTTCTTGCAGTGGCATGACTCTACTAGAAATTAATTCTATTAATTCTAGTGGAAATTAATTCTAGTAGAAATTAATTCTACTAGAAAATGTTGAGGTTCATTAAAGGAAATAAAGAGAAATTGCAATAATGACATTAACGTTCCAAACACCACAAAAACACATAACATAATTGGCATTACTAGTAACTTCACTATACTTTCAGTCACCCTTTCCATTTCTCTAACCCCTCACACTACCTTCTTTACTTAGTTTTTCTGTATGTCAGCAGCTCTCAATTGCACTGATTTTGCTTCCCAGGAGGCATTTGGTGATGTCCGGAGACACTTTTGGTTGTCACAATTGGAGGGATGGTAGTGCTACTGCATCTAGTGGATGAAGCTAAGCATTTTACAGTTCCAAAAGAACCAACCACAACAATTATCTGCCCCTGAATAATCACAGCGCTGAGGTTGAGAAACCTTACTCTAGATAAAAAGAATATGGGTGATGATTATAGTAGAGATATATGTCTGAGACACGAGGATAATAAAAGCTTTCCAAATTTAAATAGCAAAGTATACTTGGCTGTGTACAAAGGCCAACTACATAGATGTAACCGTATAACTTGCTCTGGGTCCTCTGTCATATTTAATATCTAGTAGAGATCTTGGATCACCTATACCCTAGCCTTTATAGATTTGGTGATTTGCAGGGGTCTACACACATAATTGTGTAACTCAAATGATGGGACAGTTGTAACAGACTTGAATAAAAATCACAATAGTAATATACATACACGTTCTCCTTTGGGGCCTCTGTCTCCAGGCTTACCCATGATGCCCTGAAAAAGAGATACCAACATGAAAATCACTGCTTGCCAAGATTTTTCATCAGTCTGATTGATCTAAATGTTGGTAGGTATTCTGGATGCAGTATCCATCATAATTTTTATTTTAAATTATATTTCCCATACCTGAGCACCTGGTATTCCATCTTTTCCATTTATTCCCTATAAAGGAAAAAAGGATTAATATTTCTAATCCTGCATTAACATAGTTAAACACAACAAAAGAGTAAAGTTTCAAGGACAGTTCCTTAATCATATTTCTACTGAGAGCTTGGTAAAGCAAGGTGGTAAAATGGAAAACAAATACACAGAATCAGAGAGTCCTGAGTTCAGATTCTGACTCTGTCACTTACTAGTCCCATTAACCTTTTTGGGCAATTTACTTAACCTCAATAGCATCAGCCTCTTCACTAGTGAGGAAAATAAATAACCTTAAAACTAAGAATTAAGTGAAATAACATGAAAAATGCATAGTCCTCTATAAATAGTGAACAAAGATTATTTTCCTTCTTTGTTCTTCTGTTAGGTCATCCTGAGAAGTAGGAAGGTGCCTCATGGCACAGGTGGCTGGAGTATGACATTTTTGTTACCTTTTAACAGGTTTTCCAGCACAGAGTATCATTCTCAGTAAATGGTCTCAGTTGCTGCTGGGGAAATTTCATAACATGGCCAGAGTATGATCCTACTATGAAATAAACTGTCAGAGAACAATTGTTATTTTTCAGTCAGAAATATGAAAGAAAAGCAAGAAATGTATAATCATGGTTTTTGGCAGTATTAAATAGTTACTTTTTATTAGAAAACTGGAAGTTTCTTGAACTTTAATAGGGAGTTCTAGAAGTGATAATGAAGCCTAGTCCTGCTTAAAGATTTTAAGACTGAGAGAACTATTGGCTGGGAGATATAAGAAGGAAAAGTATTTGAGGTCAAATCAAATACCCAGGGCCCAACAGCAGGTGTGTTTTTGAGATCTGATTTGAAGAGGAAGATCAAGGTGAGGAATATGATTTCTTAGCCAGCAGGCAATTGCATGGACAAGCTCCTCTAAAAGCCCGAGGGACTTTTATTGTGCTGGAATGGATTCTGTGGGATGGAACTGCAAAGAACTGCGTGTTTTCACTGCTATAAATTACGCTGAAATCTGTCACAGTTGACAACCCAACCACAGTTCGCCAACCTTTCTGAACCATCCTGGGAATTATTGAGAGTACGTTAACTAAGAACTTGTTACCTGAAGTGTATGGTTCAAAGAATTTATTACATTCAGACACACGAGGAACAAAGATAAAGCTGATTAAGGAGAGGATATGAAAGAAACAGCTGTGTCACTTGAATAAAAGAAGATAAATCTAGTGTAAAAATGTAGTTCATGTTTTTGGTAACAATATAAGAAAAGAAGTAACCCTATAACCTGTTTTTTGTCTCCAGTAATTTATCAAACACTATCATGAGTGTTCTCTTTTGTATAGGAAGGTGTTACTTTCTATCCGCAGGGAAGCCCTGCTGTCAGAGATTTTTACAATAACTCACATGTATTTGCTCCTCTCTACCCTCATCTCATTCATCTGGCAGAGCCCCATTTCTGAGTACATCCAACTTTCTGCCTACCTCACGTCTGCATCTGAGCAGTGGACTGGCTGAAGAAAACCACGTATCTTTGCTCCTGAATGTACGACAGCAGATTGCAAGCAGCCCCCTCAGCATTACCAGGTCATCCTACTGTATTTCTCAATTTGACTCCTCTTCTATCTTTCCAAAAGTACTCTTTCACACATTTTCCTGTCTCTTCCAACCTCCATCATCACCTCCCCACTCCTCACACTTGGACGACCTCCATTCTTCTTTCACTAATAAACAAAAGAGACCCCTCTCACCATCCCTCCACCAGTTGCATCAATCTTCATGGATTTGCACCCCAACTTTGGCACCCCCACGCCCCACAGTTAGGAAGGGTGACATGCCCCTGTTCCCAGTTAAGACCATTCCCACTTGTGAGGATACCAGTTCTACTCAAAGTAGTCTTCACTCTCCTGTGTCATCAAATTTTTCTCTCTCAACTGGATCATTCTTACCAAGATACTAAAATGCAGTGATCTCTCCCACCAATGACCTCCACATTTCTAATGCAGTAGAGAATTGTCAGCCCTCATGTTACTTATCTGTTTGTTGATCACTCCTTTCTCCTTTCTCTTAAAACTGTTCACTTGACATCCAGGAAACCTCACTTGCCTGATTTTCTTCCGGTCTCTCTGGCTGCAGTTTCTTAGCTTTCTTTGTTGGGTCCTCTTCCTAACAGTTGAAGTGCTCTCTTCCCTTACTATCCACAGTGACTCTACTTTTCCAGGCTCAGGTTTAGATACCCTAATTGGTCTCCCCAATCCTGGCCTCTCCTAAATATTCACTGTGTACTTGACATCTCCACCTGAATATCTACTAGTGCTTCCACATGAACACATTCAAAACAGAACTCTTGGCTCTCCCTCCCAACCCCACCTACTTACCTTCAGTCTGCCCCATTTCACCAAACAGCAGCACTCTCACACTGTTGCTCAGACTCTACACCACAGCTGTGATTGGTCTCTTTCCCCTACACTTTGCTAGATTAGTCTACCAGCAAGTTTTCTTGCTTGCTGTCTCTCCCTTCAATGTACATCCTAAGTTCCTCTACTCATGGCTGTTCCCACTGTCATTACTTCTTGTGGAGACAATGGAGATGTTTTCTTACTGCTCTTTCTTCCTCTACCCTGCTCCCTACAGCCTACTCTCCACACAATGTCAGAGTGATCCTGAAAATGTTCAATCATTTTCATTCTTTGCTACAAAAGCTCCAGTGGATTTCCATCATATTTCAAATGAAATCCCAACTTCATTCCCTGGCTTGGAAGTTCTTCATGGTCTGGCCACTGCCTACATCTCCCTCCGTATGTTTCCCACTCTTCCTTCACTTTGTTCATTCCTGACTTCATGCCTTTTGATGAGGTCCTTGACCTCATCAGGCTCATTTCTCTCCCAGCCATTTCTTTTTCCTCAGACAATGGTCCCCTGACCTTCCCATGGCTTGACTTCTCACTTTATGCAGGTTTCTGCTCAAATTGCAGGCAAATCTTCTCTGAGCTCACTATTTGAACAATATTCCAGAGCTTTATTTTACTTATACCTTCCTCTACTTGAAACTGTGTGTGTGTGTGTGTGTGTGTGTGTGTTGTTTTTATCCGTTTTCCTATACTAGAATGCAAAAGCTATGAGTTGTTAGCACCTAGATCAGTGCCTAGCATGTAGGAGGTGTTCAAGAAATATCTGGTGATGAACGAATTGCTTTTTGCATAATCTCCTAGGGACTCAATGGCAGGCTTTAATGATATGCCTTGCAGGGGATGGGAATGATGAGGTAAGAGGGGGCAGTGAATTAAACTAATATTATTGAGTACCTCCCATAGCCAGGCACTGGATATGCTTTCCATATGTCATGGCACTTAAGTGACTCATAAAATCCTTTGAGCCATAATTCAGACCCAGATCTTCCTGACTCTAAATTGCATTTTCTTCATGTTGTCTTCTGTGGGGAAATGGTGGTCACCAACCCTGAAGGTTTCACAGAGGTGCCGAACTGTCCTCTTGAATTCTGTGCTGCTTGTTCACCTCGCCTTCTTTCCCGTACACACCACAGCAAATAAATCAGCAGTGACCTTCTATAAAGCATAACTCTGAGAGTGAGGTGTGTCTTATTCATCTTAGATCCCCTCGCTAAGGGCCCACACATTCTCAGCAAACAGCAGTGACTAGATGAATTTATGTGGGACTGAATTAGTCAGAATGATTATTACAATGTCACATCAATACCACAGATCAGTAACCAAGAGCTCTTTTAGGACACAAGGGGATGAGACATTCACCAGTAGTGATTTATGAAAGTGTAAGAAAACAAGGCCTGTATACAAAGGAGGAAATTTGAGAAAATAACTTCTACTTTAGGATTTGGCTTAACATACAGGTATTATATCTATAAGTCTTTGCTTTCTTTATACTTTAGGACGTGACGGGCCATTATATTTTCTTTAAGTCTGTTGAAAACATTAGGCTTAAAAAATGAGTCAGATTTCCTGACACTTAAAACTCTCACCATTTTCAACACTGTTTAAGACACAAAGACACCACACACAGATCTAGGGAACTCAATGAGAACCTCCGCCCATGCCATCAAAAATCCATCTGCACAATCTTCTTAGTTCTTGGAAACTGCTTATTCAAATCTCAGAATTTCTGAGGTGGTAGATGAGCAGATAATGTTAGAGCATTTCTCTAAGTAGCATATTTCAAGTAGTAAGAAGTACTTACTGGCTTTCCTGAGGGTCCTTCTGGTCCAGGGAAACCTATATCTCCAACAGGTCCTCTCTCACCCTATAAACACATCCACAGACAAAAATTAATTGCCAAGAAATGTTTTAAAACTGCACGCAAGTACAACACAAGTACAACCGTCACGAAAGTAACTGCCAACTCACCGGTTCCCCTGGAACTCCTGGAGGCCCTGGGGCTCCAGGTTTCCCCTGGCAAGGCAATTGAAGAGAAATGTTAGGAGTCAAATTGCTGAACGACACCATATGCTTCTCTTCCCCCAACCCCAATTGAGTTTAAAGTGCTCCCAAGGATGATGCTCTCCAGTGGCATTTCTAGCCAGGTGTGGTGGCTCACGTCTGGAATCCCAGCACTTTGGGATGCCGAGGTGAGTGGATCACTTGAGGTCAGGAGTTCGAGACTAGCCTGGTCAACATGGTGAAACCCTGTCTCTACTAAAAATATTACAAAAATTACCCAGGCATGGGGGCACGTGTCTGTAATCCCAGCTACTCGGGAGCCTGAGGCAGGAGAATCACTTGAACCTGGGAGGCAGAGGTTGCAGTGAACTGAGATCATGCCATTGCACTCCAGCCTGGGTGACAGAGTGAGACTCCGTCTCAATACATAAATAAATAAAGTGGCATTTCTAAGAGGACAGAGTCTGGGGAACATATAGTCAACTCCACAGGCCGTAAGTTTCAGACTGGGGTGCAGTTCTTTGAATACATATTTGTGTGGATGGTGGAGAGTAGGAGAGGAGAATATTTTTGAAAATACTAGCCCAAAGTATCATCACTATTGGAAATCCCTCTTGTGCTTATTTTCCTGGCAGCTCCTCTTTACTTTGGGAGTGGAGAAATGCGCACAAAGCATCAAAGAAGTTTTTTTCTAGGCTTTGAGTTTCACAAGAGAGTTTTTAAGTTCATACTAAGACAACCTGAAAAAATCATGTTTGATTTGAAAAGCCATGTTTTGTTCGCAGGAAAAGAAACAGATTAGTTTGTGTCACTACACCGTGGCTTGGACGACTGGTCGTGGAGCAGACAGACCACAGGAAGGGATGAGAGGGGCAGATGGTCCAGTGGAGACTGAAAGTACACAAGGCCCAAATGTGCAGGCGAGGCTTGTGGGGTTGCCTCTGAGAAGGAACCACCTCCTGTCCCTTGGACCTAATGTGACTGGGAAAGACGGAAGACGTGGGATGTAGGTGTGGGCTGAGACCTGAGAAAGCCAAGTAGGTTTTGGAGAAATATGAAAAGAAATGGGCTTTTTCCGACTTGCTGCTTAGAATTCTGGAAGAAGATCCCTCCATAGGTACAGATACGGTGCTAAGTGGCAAAGCTAGGCAGACAGAGAATTAGAGAGAGCATCCCTGGGTCCCCATAGCTTGTGTGTGCTGAAGTTGTTGGGGGCCTGAGTGGGAAGATGTGTTAGAGCTGAGAAGGCCAATGTCCTGAAGATTCTTACTGTGGGACATGGCGGGTATGGAGGGCTCGGGCATTGGGATCTGAGACGAAGAGATCAGGGACATTGATAGAAGTCATCCCTAAGGTCAGGTAGGACCAGCGGAGAACTCAGAGCATCCAGGGGAGAACGTGCTAACCGGAAGCCCCACCACCCCACCACCAGCACTCACAGGCACTTCCTCCTGCAAACCACATGCTATCCTCAAAGAAAGGCAAAGAAAGAAGCTCTAGGGGAAATCCCTGGTTAGCCCTGAAAATACTGGAAAGGGATAGACTGGTCTGTTCTAGAAGAGCAGGATTGGGTCCCCTTGGTAATCAGCTGAGTGACCAGTGTGTCTGCGTGGGCAGGCCCCAGCCTTGCTTCAACTAGAACAATCACCATTTTTCAAAAAAATTTTTTATCATGGTAAAATATACATAACCTAAAGTTTACCCTCTAAACCATTTTTAAGTGTACACTTAAGTGGCACTAAGTACATTCACACTGTCATCTAGCCATCACCATAGTCTATTTCTAGATTCTTTTAATGATTTTATCTTCTGAGTCATAGAAGGGCCAGTTATAAAAATCAAATATGCATCTTTAACTGAACGTATTTGTAGTATGTAAAATTTTTACCCTTTCCTATTTATGTAATTGTCAGTCAATGCTTTTATTTTATATTATTTTTTGAGACAGGGTCTTGCTCTGTTGCCCAGGCTGGAGTGCAGTGACACGATCTTAGCTCACTGCAATCTTTGCCTCCCATGCTCAAGTGATCCTCCCACCTCAGCCTCCAAGCAGCAGGATTAAAGGTGCCCAGCTAATTTCTGCACTTTTTGCAGAGACAGAGTTTTGCCATGTTGCCCAGGTTGGTCTCTAACTCCTGGGCTCAAGTGTTCTGCCCAGCTTGGCCTCCCAGACGGCTAGGATTACATGTGTGAGTCCACTGTGCGTAGTCAGTTTATGTTTTGAATTATGACATATGAAAACTGCTTTTTAAGTAAATATATCAGATCTTAGACATCCAACTAAGTGGCAGGCTAGCCTCTTATCTCAATAATGCTGCCTCTTTGAAAAATATATTTGGAATTTCTCATTTGGATTGCCTGTTGCCACTGTTGCACGTCTTTTAAATACTTTCAATGGTGGCCAGTATTTTTTCCTAGAAGATAAGCTTAATTTAGGGTAATAGCAAAATGTAATTTGTAGACACACCTGGGTGAATACAATGAAAAAATTAAGCTTTATTTTGTCACAAGGAAACAAAAATTCAAATCACAGGATGTGAGTATAAGAGGAACAGGTTGTAAGGGTTCTCTAAGGACACTTCCAGAAACTGATTTCCAAATATGTTCCTGGGAATGGCTGTGACAGGGGCAGTGGTGAGGGAATAGAATTACGTGTGTAGTCAATTTTCAAGAATACTTCCTTTTATAAAAAATTTGGAAGGGCTTTTCAAAGAAGATATTTTCATGCTACTTTTACAGTCATACACATATTTGACTTGATCTATAATGGCTACGTAAGGGAATGTCATCATCTACAAAGGATGCAGATGATGGATGAGGCTCTATTTTGTGTTGTTAGACTTAGAAGTTAATGGAGTGAAGCAAAGTGGCTCTGAGTACTTTGTGGGATGGCAGGGGGTGATCAGCCGGGCTTTGGGTGGTGTTGGGTGTCAGTAGATCTCAGTGGGTGACTGTAGGTGGTGATTTTAGGGCCCTTATCTTATCTTCTTATTTTCTTGTGATACAAGCCCATGGTTTCCATTGACTTTCCTGTAATGTTATCCTGGACCTGCCCTGCAGGGGCACCTAGCAAGAGGATAAATGGCCTCTTATTCATAAAGCATGACCACAAAATTTTAATTAGAGCATCATGAATGAAGATCAGAATGATCTCTAGGGTTCAGAGAAATAATTTCAGCCTTTCCTGGAGCACTTCCTATTCATTTGAAAAGACCTTGATGAGATTAAAACGTTTGACACTAGAGAGCAACAAAAATGATTGAGAGGATTGAAGGGCTAGTTTACGAGGAAACATTAGCGGCAATAAAGCTCTGCTAATAACACCGGGCTAAGGAATAACTCAGGCAGATTGCAACTTAATACAAGGAACTTGAAGTACATGCCTGAGGATAAGAACTCTGTCTTTTGAAGACTGAGAAACCTTGAAATATGACAAGAATAGAGAAACACAATAAACTCTCCAAAGCTGTGCTCATAAATTAATGTATAGTAACTGGGTTTCCTCTCCCCTCCATGAAAGTGACTTGTGAAGAAAATAAAAGAGGACAAAAAACAAACAAAAAAAATTAAGAAATAGAGGATTTCGGAGGTGGAAAATACAGGTGGCATTATTTATGGAACTAGAATTGTTAGGAACCTAATGCCATGGGAGTTATGGTATGCTCGCCTGCCCATCTCGATCCCTGGCCACAGGTGTATCATGGAGCTAGAACCATTTACCTGTGAAAATTATGTGAAATAATCTGAACTCACCGACATCCCTGCTATTCCCGGGGGACCTGCTGGGCCTCGATCTCCCTGTTGGGATTTAAAAATATTGCTACTTTAATGACATCAATGAAGTCTTTAGTTATGAAATTAATTCTCAAATAGTAATTTGGATTTGGTAAAGCTTTCCTTTGGATCTGATAAGTGTTACTGATATTAGCTGGGGTGAAGCTAGAGTGTAGATGGAAAAATAGCAAACTGAGTGGCTAATTGCCAGCTGAACTTGTTACCGCTTTTTTATTTTCCATAAAACTAAAGTAAATAATAGTTTTAATGAAAACAAGCATAGATGTTATCATTTCTGTGACCTATTTTAATGTCCCTTTACATACTTAATAGCTAAAATCAGTCAATATTTTTATTCCACATGTTCAAAAGATAATTACTCTTACTTAAAAATTAAGCACTTTGAGTGTCTTCCAACAAGCTTTTCCTATCCTTGTCGCATTGGATGTAGAGTTAGAATAAAATGATCTACAGCTAATGATTTGTAGTTCTCATTTGGCCAATTAGAAGATCCTTTGAATTGCTCTGAACAACAGAGTGACTCAACTCCTTTTAAGAGCCAATGTGATATTTTAGATAAAGCTGACAATGCTAAAAATACTAACGACTATATATATGGGATAATAAAATGGCAATTTCACTGGGCAGAAACTGAATTTAAAAAACTTCATAACTTTACTCAGGGACATAAAAGGCTTGATTTAATGAAGAGATAGGCTTCGTTCTTGGAGAGCAAGACAATGTTGTAAAGGTGTCATTGCTAACTAAACTAATTTATAAATTTAATGCAATTCTTACAAAATTGCAGTTTGATCAAATGGTACTAAAGTTTACTTGGGATAAAAACTTGAGAGGATAAAAAAATTAAAAAAAGAATAATAAAGAGATACTAGTAATACCAACATTTAAACATATAATAAATGAAGCTATAATGGAATATTGGCATAAGATTAAGCAGCATATCAATATACTATAACAGAAATATCAGAAAGATACCAGTATTTGTAACAGGATTTTATTTAACAAATAGTTCTAATAATTGGATAATTTCTTTGAAAAAACTTTGATTCTTCTCTTTATATTATATCCCATATGAATTCCACATAGATTTATATAAAAATAAAATAATATAAACCATAAAAGAGTTCAAAGAATATATTAGTGACACTCTGATCTTGGTTGAAAATAAAAGTAAAAGTCATTTTGTGCATAAAAGCAAAACAAGAAATCATAAAGAAAAATAGTGTTAGATTTGACTACATTAAGGTTATATTTACAATAAGATTCAACATAAAAATGAAAGGCAAAGACCAACTAGGATGAAAACTCCAACACATAAGATAGAAGTAATGTCTTTAATATATGAAGCATAACCATCATCAAAAAGAAAAAAATAACTAATAGAAAAATTGGGTAAAGGACATAAACAGGCAATACACATCAATTTCCCTCTGTTCCTTTTGAATTATGAAATTTTCATTTTTAAAATTAATATATTAGAACTTTTCATTCAATGAAATATTTGCATGTCTCATGCCTCTCATTCCTTAACCACTATCCTCGAATGAACTTGCCTCTTATTTTCATAGTTACACCTGGCACTTTGTCAATAAAAATATTTTTTGCCCATCCATAATCTCAATTTCATGCATTCCAACTTTGGACCACCATTCCACATCATTGTAACTCACTCTTTGAGTACCTTGAACCCCTAAACCCTAATCCATTGATGGTACACATTTGTTATCTTTCACTCCCTGGATGGCCTCTCCCTCTTTTTTGCCTAGTTAAAATTCCATGGTTACTTGTTATAATCAATCCCTTGTGCATGCCAATAAGCCAATAAGGGTCTTGTCCCATTCTTCCTTCCAGTACTCACCTGTCAAAAGCAGAACACTGTTTAAATCCAACTCCTCTCCTATTCTGTGTCTTTACCTGAATGTCTGAACATGGCTGGAAAAGCACATGTAGTCCTGTTTTTTTTTTTTTTTTTTTTGAGGTGGAGTCTCACTCTGTTGCCCAGTCTGGAGTGCAATGGCACGATCTTGGCTCACTGCAACCTCTGCCTCCTGGGTTCAAGCAATTCTCCTGCCTCAGCCTCCTGAGTAGCCAGGATTACAGGTGCCTGCCACCATGCTTGGCTAATTTTTGGTAGAGATGGGGTTTCACCATGTTGGCCAGGCTGGTCTTGAACTCCTGACTTCAGGTGATCTGCCCGCCTCGGCCTCCCAGAGTGCTGGGTTTACAGGCGTGAGCCACTGTGCCCTGCCAGCACACGTAGTCTTGTTGACAGGTCTCACTTCTGTTCATGACCATGAACCTCAAGAGGGTCCTTAGGGCTGAGCAGTAATCACACTTCTGTGGTCCCTGAACCCTCTCTCTTTCCTAGAGGACCTTATCCCTAAATCCCCAACCTCTTTCCCTACTTTGCTCTCGGATAACGGCCTTGCTTCCTCTTTATCTGAGAAAATTTAAGCAATCAGAAAACAACTTTTGTAGACTCCATCCAATACATCTTCCCACCTATCAGCCTCTGCCCCCATACTCTGCTTTCTCCCCTTTCACTGTAGATAAACTATTCTTTCTGAAGCCAAACCCTCCATATATGCACTAGGTCCCCTCCCCTCTAGGCTACTTAAAGACATTGGTCCAGCGCTCTCTCCTCTCTCTCCAGCATCATCATCCCCATCTTCCCCTCTACTGAGTTATTCCTTTAGCATATAAGCAGTCTGATATTTCTATTATCTTCAAAATCTATCTGATAAAACCTTGACCCTACTTCCTCTAGTAGCCTCTGGCCTATTTATTTGCTATCCTTTGTAGCAAAACTCTGTGAGCATTATTTATACTGACTTGCTGTCTCTATTTTCTTTCCTTGTTCTCTCTTAAATACATTCAAGTCCAAAGTTACTCCTACAATATAGTGAAATAATAATTTCTCTGGTCAAGGTCATCCATGACCTCTACATTGCTAAATCCAATGTTCAATACTTGACCTTTCGACCTGGCCCCATCCCCATTCTACTTGACCTATCTGCAGTATTTGAGACAGGCGATCACTCCTTTGCCCTTGATTCATTATTCTCTCTTGGATTGTAGGATGCCAAGTTTTTCTCCTACCTCCCTGGTTACTTCTTAGTCTTCCTTGCTCCTTCCTCCTTTTCTTCTTGATCTCCTAATACTGGAGGGCCTCGGGGCTCAATCCTTGACTCTTTTCTCTTTCTAAAAACTCTACTGTCATTCCCTTGGTAATCTTATCTAGTCTTCCGGCTTTATGACAGCATCTCTATGCTTAGAACAGCCAAATTTATATCTCCACTTAGACTTCTTTTCCACACTCCATACTTTTATATCATACTGCCTACTCAATACCTTCACTTTGCAGTCTAACGGATATCTCCAAATTTGGTCTTATGCACAAAATTAAACTCCTGATAATTCCACCCCTTCAAAATAGGCCTTGCTCATAGCTGTCCTCATTTCAGACGATGTCCGCCCTATTTTGCAAACTGCTCAGGTCATAAAACTGAGGGTCCTCCTTGACTCCTCTTCATTCTGTAATAATCCAATCAATCTGAAAATCCCATCAGTGCTACCTTCAAAATATATCCATATCGAGGCATTCTCACTGTCTCCACTGTTTCTTCTCTGATCTGAGCCAACATCAACTGGCACCTGGATTACTGGATATCTTTTAACTGGCTTCCCAACTTCCACTCTTGCACACCCTCTGGCTGCAAGTTCCCTCATGCCACTACTCAGAGATCACTGATGACTGCATTTTACACAGAGTGAAAGATAAAGGCCTTGCAATGACTGTTAAGCCTTTTTATTAGTGTTTCTCAAACTTCCTGTGGTAAAAGAGCAATCTCTTATTTATTTTCTAATATATCATGAACAAAGATAATTCTACCATCACATGCTTGCTAGACATTTTAGACTAATTACTGGACATGTTTTTGGGTGCTTACTCTCAGTCTCCGTACTAACCTTGCCACCGAACCCATAACAAAGGGTCTGCAGACTGGCACTGGTTCTCCACTGGCTGTACATTGAGTAGCACTGCTCTACACGAGGAGTCCACTTCTCACCTCCACCCCTGCTGCTCTGACCTCATCTCCTACGACTATCCCCTCACTCCCTTCCCTGGTCTCTTTGGATACACATCAGGAAATCTTATGTCTCGGGCTCTTTAGACTTGCTGTTTCCTCTTCCTGGAACATTATTCTTCCAGACTGGAGGGGACTTGGCTTTCCCTCTCACCTCCTTCGGGTCTTTGCTCAGATACTGCCCTCCTATCCCCTCAGCACTCCTGATCCTCCTTAACCCAATCTACTTTTTGTTTTTTTCCATAGCCCCAACAATAAGATGTAATTTTAAAATGTTTATTCTTTTAGTTTCTATATCCTTTTGCTAGAACGTAAGTCCCATGAGTACATACATTTTTGTCTGTTTCGTTCCTTTATATATTCCTAACCTAAAACAGTTTTTGGCACATTAGGTGCTCAGTAAACACTTTTGAATGTTGAATAAATGAACACATTTCTAACTTCTGTGCTTACCTTTACACCTGGAAATCCTTCTAATCCTGGCAACCCCATTGCACCAGGCTCTCCCTATTAAATATGAACATAAGAAATGCAGGAGCAATAATCAAAACGTTTTTAAGCATTGGTTTCCAAAGCAAAGATATTTTTTGCTTAACTTTCCCACCCCAAACATTGATGTGTAATTTAGCAAGGAAATGATATGCCCTGTTTTTAAGCAACATATTACTGTATTTTGTGTTTGAATATAGTTTGAAAGTGAAAGCTATTCTCCAGAGAGGTATATTTTCTGATTAATCATTTTTATTTTGATTGAGAATCTAATCAGAATGAATCCCTCTGCTCAGTGATAACTCCAATTTCAACAAGAACTCGAATGAAAGACGGGGCTTTAATAAAGTTTGCCAATTTGTGAGCTACCTGGTGCTGCTAGATTTTCAGAGAATAAGAATAAACTGTTTAAGAGTAGATGAGGATGGAGCACTCAAAGCAGTGTTTATCATCTTTAAGTATTCTCTGCAGCTGGACAAGAATTGTGAATGCTTAAGAAGTTGATCCCAGGATCATTATCTCCAATAACACTAAAAGTTATTGCTCAAGTTGATAAGTCACTGGAAGGGGGTAGATTAGTGTTTTCTATTTTAAAAAATCTTTACATGTTCTAGTGTACGATCCCAGGCTAACTGGAGCCTGTAGACCCTCAAGGAACACATTGGGAGAAGCTGTGGTGAAAGAAGTTGCTAACTTTGAACAAAAAAAGCATTAGGGAAGGGGTGTTCAATATTTTGGCTTCCCTAGGCCACACTGGAAGAAAAAGAATTGTCTTCCAATAAAATACACTAACACTAATGATAGCTGATGAGCTAAAGTAATCACAAAAAAAATCTCCTAGTGTTTTAAGAAAGTTTACAAATTTGTGTTGGGCCATATTCAAAGCTTTCCTGAGCTGCGTGCAGCCCACGGGCCATGGGTTGGACAAGCTTGCACTAGGGCTTTAAGTTAAAAAAGAGATAAAGTGGGGAGTTGTTTGATGCCTTCTTGTTAATAAATTAATGTTCACTGCAAATATTTTCTTAGGACACTGGATGCTTTAGACATAATTACGAAGAAACAGAAGCTTTCAAATTGTATTCTATGTAAGTGTATTTTCACATACATAATTCTAATCTGCTTCAAAAATATTACCAAGGATATAACTTCATTATTATTTACAACATTGCCCTTATTACAGAATACTTAATGAGTGAGCATATGAATTGATATGCTTTCTATGTTTCAGAAATCTTTAAAATGCCCCCTAATATATAACTTGACAATTGGTTAAAAAAAAAGTTCAGATTCTGTTCTGCATAAAGTTCTGTAGAAGAGTCCCTAGGTTGCTGACAAAGGAAACACACTCTTTGATTCTCTTTGTTTACATTCTCAACAGTCCTTAAGACAGAGAAGGTGCTCAATCAATCAACAATTGCTTGAAAGTAGCTAATAATTAAATATTTAATTAAAGATCACTTATAAACTGAATACCAAAGGAACGAAATGGAGCACCTCAGAAGATAACAAATTCAATTAAGGGTAATATTCCTCTAGAAAGGTTTATGGAGAAGATTAGAAATAGTGAGGCAGATCTATTGTCATGGGATTTGAAGAATGTTGGAAGAGTAAATTTCCCACCTCAAAAAGACTCCTCAAGTTTTTGCTCTGTGATCTACAGTTCTATCATTCCTGGATTATTTCTCTGGCATGAACTATTATTTTTCCCTACAGGACAGATGGTGGGAGAAGATGAGAGTTGCAGGATGGTGCTGACAGAGAACCCTAAAGAGTAACTTCAAAATTTTATCTAGGATAAGCCTGAATGTGTACACTAAATGTGTATTTAATTTCATGATTGCAGTTTTCTGTTTTTGTGCTTCACTCACATAATTCACATCTCTAAAAGCAAGGAACACGCTTCCATCAGTTTTCTTTATCCTTTGTTGCAGCTAAGAAATTTGAAGACTAATCTTCAAATTCTACTCAAATAGGTCTCCATTTTTGTTGCCAGCCCCTTGTCAATGCCAGTAAATTTTAATTTATCCTTTATTATAATACTTAAAAAGTTCTTATCTTAATCTGCAGTTATTAATGCAAGAACTTCAAATAATGTTCCCAAAAAGTCAGTGAGAAGCCTAGGTACTCTTAAATGATTCAGAGAAGCTGTTTTGTGCATATGAGTATGAGAGGGAAAGACCAGGAGGACATTTTTTAATCAACAAGATGTAAGAAAATTAAAATTAGAATGAAGCATATAGTTGGTTTCAGGTAAAGACAGGGTAGACAAAGTGCATGAATAGTAAAACAAAGGACACTCTGAATTATAGAATATGATCCTAACTAGTTGAAATAATGCTTTCAGGGGACAACAATTTGGCTTTTAATATATATTTCCCAATAATAAAATCAAACAGCTCTTTAATGCATCTCTTTAAAATATGTTTTTAGACATAAAAACATTGCTTGTTATGACTTGTCCCTTTGCTGATTCAAAATTTATTCATTGAGTTTTAACAAACTGTACTATAATGAAAAGGCTTTAAATTTTTTTCACATGGCAATGGAAAGTGGTTGAACATTTATTTCAGCGTTAGGTACATTTGAGTTTCAAGTATATACCCAAAGGTTAGAAGACACACAAATGAAACATGAAGGATATGCTTGAAAAGGACATGACAGGAAAAAATGCCCAGCAATAAAGGGCATCTAATTGAATCTGGCAGAACTTTTACAGTGAGGCTCCATGGTTGAGAAAGATGCTGGGAACAATTATCGTCCTTTATGTGGGGGAGGACATGATCTCCTTCCATGCTGAGTGTAACCTCCTGATACATTCCTCCTAATAAGCAGGTTTATGACAAAACACATCTCCTGCAGAATAATTGCCTAAGACGTTTAAAGCAAATAAACAGTTCCTTCCTTTTTTGTTGGGGAGATGGCAGATATATTAAGGGATTTCTTTCCAGTAAGTATTTCTCTTCTACAATCTACTTAAAATTGAATCAATCATCAGAAGAGGGCTATTAGAAGAAAGTGTCCCATTTATCAGAGCTTTATATGTGTCTTCCTCCATCACAGGATGATTTTAAAAACATACTGATGGAAAGAGACAAACCTCAAGGGCAGTGACAACATCAGAACTAATGCATCTCAGAAATAGAGAATACATTGCTGGCATTCCTTTTGTGGCCTGCTTGTCACCACCACCATGTTAATTGATGAACACCTAAGAAGGCAGGCCATTTTGCCTGATGCTTTTCTTTCAAAATTTAACAAAGATCAATATTCTAAATGACACAAAACATGGGAACATTCATACCACTGGGCCAGGATCGCCTTTTGGGCCCTGTAAGAGAAACATGTAAAGTCATTTTTCAAATAATGACCAAAGCAAAGTTACAGAATAAGAAACACCATTGGCCAATCTGCTTTAATACATATACAAACATTAGCAAGTTTTCCTTTAATTACAGTTTGAATTTGAAGAATAAGATGAAAAAATATAACTTGATGGAAATTTCATAAAAGTGATTGCTTGGACATTGATTTAGTTCTTAGATTTGCAATGAAAAAAGTGACAGCACCATGAAAAATGCTATTTACATTTTCTCAATTTTATTATAATTGGTTTTACTTATTTTCTTCTGCTGTAAAATTGGGCTATATTTGTAACATGAAGTTTTCAGTGAACTTAAGAGGTTTTTATTGTTTGTTTTTCATTGTGGTCGTTCAGCTAAAGTGTGTTTGACGATAAACAACTATACTTACAGGAGGACCGGGTGGCCCTGGGTAACTGGGAACATTCACACCTCCCTTCAAAAGAAAATGAAAAGAAAAGGAGAAAGATGAGAAGAATTTATAGCAGTCTACAACTGGATTTTAAATAATTGCAAATATAATATAAATACCTTAATTTTATATAAACTGCTCATGCCATTTCCTTCATTAAATGGAATACCCTGAGGAAAGAGGTGAGATACAGAATTATTCTTGAAAGTTAGTACTTTGCATCTCTACATTTTATCATTTTACCAAATGATACTATTCCTATTCTATTTTTTACTTTTTTTCTAATCTATTTTACAAAGGGAGTTTAATACTCTAAGTAAAATAATACAACGTTTTGATTTTTAGCTTTTCCAAAGCAAATGCAGGGAAAGAAATGAAAAGGGAGTGTGAGCTACACCTGAAGCAGATAGACACTTTCAGTTGGGGTTTGATTAATGTTCAGGTTTGACAGATGAGACACTAATGCATTCGGAGGAAAATATTTGCTTATTAAAATTCAGTTTCTGAATTGCCAATTTAGACTAAATGTTTACAGCCTGCTGACCTGCAGGCTATAATGCCGTAGTGCTGATGAAGATGTGAATAGGGAACAATTTGGTTACTGAAAAGTAATTTTTTTCCACAGTGTCTTCATACCAAATAGAAAATTAAGGTAAATGAGGAGATGACGTTATCCACAATGCTGTGTGGATGTTTCTACAAAAATAAATTCTTTAGGACAAAAGAGAATAAGAACATCTTGAAAAAAATTGACATGTCCTAGAGTAACCAACACTTAAAGGAGAACTTATTTTATAGTTTAAAAAAATCATACATTTTAGCATTTAGGAAAAATTTGCATATGAAAATTTTAGTTAGGATCTTTTGTATTTCCTTTTAAACATTTGTATAGAATCATAGTCAAATCTGTCTTTTCCTTTCTGCAGTTTTCATATATTAGTTGAAGAGTTGAAGAAGTCACTGTTTCATTGTTTCTGTATGATGGTCGCCAGTGGTGGTCTGTGAAGACAATTTGCATGCATCTTCCAAACACTAGTGATGGAAGAAAAACGCTCCATCCATTTATTACTTCATTATTTAACTCATTCATCTGACAGTGACTGAATGTCTACTATATTTTAGTGTGCTACGTCCTGAACAGACAAAGGATATTTTTATCTGAGATTTCCAAAGGAGGTTTCCCAGGGAAGAAAACATTTAATCAGTGTTTTGAAGGATGGATGGTTTTGGAGAATTCAGAGGGAAGACAAAGATATCTTAGGCGCATTATAAAATTAGAGGTCTTTCATGAACTCATGTTATATTTGCTGTTCTGCCCACTGAGGAAGGAGTGAATTTTAGGATTTGAACCCTAAATACCTTCTGTCCTGCTTTCTTGTCAAGTGAAAAAGGTCAGTAACACAGATGAACAGATTTAGGAAACAAGTTCAGGAAATAAGAGTGCTAATCTCTTCATTTACGTGTACAAAGCATGCAACTGCATACAGACTGATAATAATCCTCATTGTCTTCAGAAAGTCACGGTCAATTCTGCCCTTTCTATGGTGAGCTTGGTTTATTAAAATATTCCAGTGACGTGGGGGGTAGGAAAGGGTGTTTGGCGTGAATCTCAGCTCGGCTCGGCTGCGATTCGAGCGTGGCCCCACATGAGGGCAGACTTGCCACGGAGAGAGGCTCCTCTCCGCTCCACCGTTTCCCTGGCGGAGCATGCATCTGTCTCAATCACAATAATAAAAACATCGATGCCTCTTGTACTTTTTGTTCACTAGGAGCTACATAAATAGAGTCTGCTTGCATCTCAGACATCATGAATGGGAATGAACACATATAGCATAATACCAGATTTTCTACCAACTCGCATCAGTGGAAAGGATCTATTTTTCTGGCCCTTCTCTTTTCTGTGAATGAAGCACACTGAGATGAAATGACTTTCCCAGGGGCCCCGGGGCAGGAACTGGAGAGTCGGAGCACAAACTCAGGTTCCTAAATCCAAGATGGGGAGACACGCAGTATGCAAATCTGAGCATTGCACACTGAGGCTGAACCAAAGGGGGAACAAATCAGGTCTCTTTAAAGCTACATTGGCTATCATTTGTATTTATACACAAAATTCAGAAGACTTTTATCTTTGAAAACATCTAAATGTAGTCTTACCTCTGAGTTATAAAAGTCTTAAGTAAACATATGAATTTTAAGTTTTAAGCCTAGAACAACTCACAGGTGGTCCAGGTGGTCCAGGTTTCCCGGGGGGTCCGTCGCTGCCCTGCAAGGGATATATAGACTAATATCAGCGGTGTAGACGTTTCTACCCCAGGTTTACAAACTATCTTCTGAAACTAATCACAGAGCCGTCTTCTGAAATCAATATGACTTGCCATGTTGTTTCAGCCTTGTAGTCTCATACAGCTGGGCTCTCTCCTTTACCAAGGAAATACATTCCTAGACCGCAGGACAGGTAAAGGCCTTTTCCCGTACCCATTCAGATTCTCACAGTGTGAGCTCTAGAAATGAAGCTTGTTTTTAGATGGAGCCAGACAACCCAGGTGCTTATGTCCTGGACTTCCAGTGCAGCTGGGGGAACTCTCCCAATGTGGAACTCTCCTACAAGCAGGCAGTGGGCTCTGAGTCAGCCCTAACTTTGAGCCTCATTTCTACCACCTTCATCTTTTGGAAACCAGAGGGGACATGAACATAATTTGATGAAAGTGAAAAAATCACAACCTGTGCTGTGTCTGCAGAAGGGAAACTTCATCTTCCATTTCCAGATATTCCATTAATATCTGACTTTACACCCTAGTCAGACACATCTCCCTGAACAGAAGCAACTGTGGTATAGCACTGTTTAAAGCAAATGGTCACTACAATATAAACAGTCTTAGTCTTACAGGAGAAGCAGACTGAAAATAGAATTTGTGAGAATGAATTCAAGTTGAAAGTTGAAAAATGTATTTCACTTTTATGTTTACAAACCATAGATGTTTATCGGTCCATAATAAGCAGAGCTATTGAAGTCCCTCTGGTGTCTCTCAGCAGTTCTTCCTATAACTCTGCTTTTCTCTTAAAATAGTAGCCTCACAAAATCTTTTAAGTCCCTCTATAGCAGAGGAAATGGCAAGACATGGTTAATTAAAAAAGAATTCAGATAGAGTAAAATTTCTACTCACCATGTCCAAGAATTTTGAGGGATTTTAGTCCATTCCCACAAATGTAATCAAGGACTTCATTCCAATACCCTCCCAATTTTTGGTAAGGAAAGTATCATAAAATCTTTTGTTTGTATGTTTATCAATAAAAATAAACTGTAAAGTTTTTCTTGCACTGCTTCTGCCTGAGAATATATAACAAAGAACAAGCACATAGTTTCTTTACTCAAACTGCTTTGATGGTGGCTATCTCTCTAAGACATGTCATATTCTGCTGACAACTGGCAGTGTCCTTCAAAGAATTATGTCATAGTTCTAATGAGTCAACAAACCAAGAAAAATATGTGCCTATTGAAAAGCCTTTTTTTCAGCCTCTGGCACCATTAAAAGTCATATCTTCACTCTCATTTGTGCCCCAAAGCTCATCTTAGTGTGGGATTCCCATTAACTTCAAAGGCAAGTCTATGACTGAATAATTTCCATAGAGAACAGAGAAAAAAGCCTGGTGGAGTTGGGCAAGCTCCTTGGGATAAAATCAGAAAAAAATGTGCGGAGACTATCTAGAATAAAGGCATTGTTTCCTTCAAAATGTGTTGAGATTCCTTTGCTCCTTGATGTCATTATGCTCCACGTTGGTCAGGGAACTCGTGTCCTGACGAGTGGGTGGAAGCTGCTTGAGTGGCTCATGTGGACTCTTGATTCTTATTTCCCCAATCTAAATAGCTAGGCTTATTCCACTTACTTGCTGGATCTGCCTGGACTAGGGCAATAGGGCCTGTTTAGATCCTAAATGGGGTAAACATGTGAAACTGTGTGGTGTCCTGTCTGAGACTCATCTATTGCTGGTCCTCCTTTCTGACTATGGCAACCCATCTGTCCAATAACTGATCTCCCCAGGAAACAAGCTATCCTGGCTCTTCAGTACATTTCCCCCATGACCATCTAGAGACAGAACTTCTAGACCATCTCTGCAGGCTCTTTGATTACTAGAATCTTGGTCCTGAGAGCCAGCCCGCTGTCTGGAGCTTTTGGAGGTGGGGCCTTTGGGAAGTGATTAGGTCATGAGGGTGGAGCCTTCATGAATAGGATTAGTGCCCTTATAAAGGAGGTCCAAGGGAGCTTGGTCACCCTTCTACTATGTGAGGACACAGCTAGTAGGAGACATCTATGAACAAGAAGGCAGACTCTGTCAGATACCGATTCTGCCAGCACCTTGATCTTGGACTTCCCACACTCCAGAACTGACAGAAATATGCATAAATGTTTGTTGTTTATAAGCCACTCTGTCTATGGTATTTTGTCATAGAAAACTGGCCCTGTGGCTGGAACTCCCTGGTACACACCACATTACTTGCATCCTTTCAGGAGGCTCCGCCACCCAATCCTTCCACATAGATGGTTGCCCAGGATCCTGAATCCAGCCTGAACTTTTGTTTTATGGTTCCAATGTTCTATTTATCCTTTCTCCTAGGAAAATATCTCCCATGTTGAGAATAACCTTTGGACTGATATTCTTCCAAGTCCACTACAAGAATAGCTACTCTCTGCCATCATTTCTACTTTCAGGCTTTGCTTGATTTTATGGCTCTCTCTGTGAAAAGTCTCATCATGCTCCCATTCCAAGCCCCAGTTTGGATGATAAGTGAGGCTTTTCCTTTGTACCTTTTCACCTTTTGCTCCTGTGGGACCAGGATGTCCAGTTCTTCCCAGTAAGCCCTGTAAAACACAAAACTAAGTTTGTTACAGAAACAACAATTAAATGGCCGAAGGGTATTGGAAGTTGGTTACTAAAACTTACACATTTTGAAGGTCATTTGATCCTAATTAAATAAGCCCTAGAAGCTTATATTTCTTCTGGCTGATACAGCAGCTGTATCCTGCTGATAAGCCCTTGGAAGGGTAAAATTTGTATTTGTGGTTGCTTTTTCACCTTGGTCAACCACATTTAATGACCTTAATTGGAACCTTTTGATACACTTAAAGTCTTGCTGTTTAAATGGCCATTTATATAACATTATGCCTTCCTAAATGAGCGATAGTTTTGGTAGGGATCAATATTTTAAATACTTCAAGGCGGCAGAATTAACAGTGTGCATATTGAGTTATATGATCTGCATTTTACCACTGAAAGATAAAATTTAATTTTAATCCTTTGGGAACAGAGTTAGCTATAATTTTCATGGTTTCTTTCACAACTCTTTGTCATCGTTTTTAATTTTAGTGAACAATTTAAAGCCAGGTTTGTTCTATATAACTGTGGTGAAAGCATAAATGACACAACTTTAATTATGGAAAATCCTTATTTCAGAACATTAAAAATATATAATTACATTCCTACTGGTGTGGTAAAGACTCTGCTGGCATAGGAACTCTAAGAAAGGATGAGGTGGAGAAGCTGAAGCATGTGCTGGGTTGCCAGATTTAGCAAATAAAAACACAATATTTGGGATGAACGTATGCTAAACAATTATTTGTTTATCTGAAATTCAAATTTAACTGCATGCACTGTATTTTATCTGGCGACTCTAGAATTAAACTCTGTTTGAATGAGAGATTGGGTTTGGCAAGTATAAAGGAAAAGAGATTCTGTTCTAGGAAAACAAGACAGTGAAAGACACGAAGGCTTTGATGGTGTGTTTGAGGGTCAGTGAAAGCCTTGACTAAAATAGAGGTATTTTAATTTACACATAGGAATAACAATAAATGAAATCCAATAATCCTTAGCCCACTTTTTTTTCCTTTAGAAAATAAATTCTCAGTTTGTGCTGCCATTTGACTATCTCTTCTAAAGGTTAGTGCCAAAAAATTATAAATAAAAAATAGAATGCTCTTTTATATGCAATTTCTATTTCAAACAGACTAGCTTAATCGCAGACTGCTTTCTGGTCTGGTGGAATTCTGATGCAAGTCCCCAGGACACTGAGTAGTCTTAAGTAATTACTAAATGAAAATCTAAGAGCTTGGATAAGGCTACTTTTCCAGGCAATAGCTGGACAATCTACATAGAGGCACAGAGAACAAAATGCAATGAAGAAAATTAATTCACCTTGCATCATCCCAGCAGATGTAAACTGTGAGTGCAATCATTTTAACAAATACTTACAGGGGGTCCCGTTGGGCCTGGAGCGCCTGGAATGCCTGGAATTCCTTGAAGACCCTAGAAAAGATAGTTCCTACCATAAAATCTGTTATATCATTGGGAAGAAGGCATTTTAGTTAATCAAATATTTTGACCATTGAACATTAAACACTTATTTAGCTAACTGAGAAACATAATGTATGTCATATGCAAATATCCTTTTTTAATTCTAATTTTCTAATTTCAAAAATATAACTTTTTCTTTAGGGGTGCAAGTGATTTTCAGTTATGTAGATAAATTGTATAATGGTGAAGTCTGTGATTTTAGTGCACCCATCACCCAAGTAGTGTACACTGTACCCAATAGGTAGTTTTTCATCCTTCACTCCTTGCCTGCACTCCTCACTTCTGGGCCTCCAGCATCCATTATATCACTCTGTATGCTTTTGCCTACTCATAGCTTAGCCTCCAATTTTAAGTAAGAATATGTGCAAATACTCAGTTTTAAACAGTAAGAAGGGTGAGATAAAATGCCATGACATGGAATCTGAAGCAAACATAATTTAATCTGGTGAGTCACAGAGCATTTCTTATTTTATAGAGCCATTCCGTCAGCAGTAGTATCTAAGAATCTCGTACTGGTAAAACATGGAAATACAAATTTCAGATTGGCAGAATGCCATTGAAGAAACACATGATTACACTACAGCTCCATTCAGCTTGGGAAAAATGGAATATGTTTTATGATATAATATTTATTTTAGCTCATCAGTTTATTACAAGGAGAAATTTAGCTCATTGGTGAATTTAAATTTGGAACCCTTTCACGGCTTAAGCACAATAATGGATAGATTTCCCCTCCCTCCCCTACTCAGATTTGTAGAATAGCACCAATTATACCGGATAGGATTTAGGATGCTGATACATTTATATATCAAGGAAGAACTGGCAAGATTAGCTAACTTATGTAATTAGTTTTGAATACTGTTAAATAAATTACATACAATTTATCATATGAAATATTTTGCAATTATTAAAATCATGTTTTAAAAAAGTTAGAAAACATGCAAAAATACAAGTCACCAGTCTTACATAGCACAGGGTCTACATTTTTAAACAATTTTAAATGTACTTCCTAAAAGATGGGAATGATACATACAGGCTTTTATTATTTTATCATGACAAATAGATAAAAGTTTTATCAGAAACTTTAGTGCTAGATGTGTGTTTTAGAATTCTGGATTATCACTTCATTTCACAGGTAACATGATATACATACTGAATGTTATGTAATACTGCTGTGGTGTTTGAAGCAGTGCCCTCTAATAAACACACACATATTTCTGTGTCAAAACACAATATTCTGACAGAGTGGGATAGACGAGCTCTGTGTGAGTTAGGCCAGATTCGGCTGCCAAATGAATTTGCTTGGGAAACAAAGCCAAACTTGGGAAACATTTCCAGGGTTTTCAGAGGCTTTGGTTTTGGAATTTATAGATGAGGAGTTGTTGATCTGATTTGGCTCTGTGTCTCTACCCAAATCTCATCTCAAACTGTAATCCCCATATGTAGAGGGAAGGAGGTGATTGGATCGTGGGGGTGGTTTTCCCCATGCTGTTCTCATGATAGTGAGTAAGTTCTCAGGAGATCCGATGGTTTTAGAAGTGTTTGGAAATTCCTCCTTTGCTCTCTCTCCTGCCACCTTGTGAAGGTGCTTGTCTCCTCTTCACCTTCTGTCATGATTGTAAGTTTCCTGAGGCCTCCCCAGCCATGCGGAACTGTGAGTCAATTAAACCTCTTTCCTTTATAAATTACCCAGTCTCAGGAAAGTTCTTTATAGCAGTGTGAAAATGGACTAATACAGTTGTGGACCATGACATTACTATTACCAGAAGTCCCTCCTGGGTAGTGGGAATAGGGAGAAATTTTATCTTTCAGTGATTTTTTGTATTTTCCTAATTTTCAATAGTGAACTGATATCGCTTCTATAATGAGAAAAAACTATTTTAAAATACCCTTTTGTTATATTAGACAACCATGTGATACATCAAGTTCTAGACTGAATGATTCCACTCTTTCAGGATTTAGTCTCCTTTACTGAGTAAAATATTTTTTCTGTATTGCTATGCCATTCTTTGTCATGATACAATTCCTTTACCTTTCACTCTTACGATATATGCATTTTCATATACTTTATAAATATTCTATGACATGGCCGTGGAAATATTACTGCATATTGATTATGAGCATTCTGTAGGCCTGTGAGCTGGATCAAGGTTCTTTGCATCAGTGGGATCAAGGACCAAGTTCTTCCAGTTTTGTCCATTCAATACCAAATGGTGTTCAGGCCTATTCATGTGATATGATATGAAGAAATGCTTAAAAATTCTACTTGAACATGCTAGAATTCCTCATGTCATATCCTCATGTCCTTGGGCCAAATCTTGTGTGTATTTGTGTTAAAGAATGTTGACATATTTTTTCTCCAAAATTTTATCAATCTTATTGGCAGTGCTGTGTGTATGTCTGTGTGTGTGTGTATGTGTGTGTGTGTGTATGTATGTGTGTGTACATGGGCATGTGTGCATGTGTAGGCTCTACATATTGGTATATGGTACTAGTTCTTTTTATTCCCCTAACATTAACTTGTATACAGGTTTATAAATCCAAGGTAATAAAACATTTCCATTAATAATGGCACCTCTAAATGACTGGAGATAATAAATGTTATACTATAAATTTCTTTACCTCAAAATACCCATTTTCCATAAAATTCTTTCTATATGTACATGCATAAAATATATGTATATATGTATTCCTTTTTTTTTTTTTTTTTTTTTTTGCTACTTTTAGTCTCAACACTGAATCAGTCCAGAGATGTTGAGTGAGTTTTTAGATAGCCTAATTTATAAGCTTGGGATTCATTAACCTTTGATGACCACATTAAACTTTAAAATAAACCTGAGTCCATAAATAAAAAATCATTCTCAGCAGCCTTTCTCTGAAAAAGCTGAAATTCTGTAGTAAAAGTAAAAGTTACTATAGATGCATAAAGGGCAATAAGATAATTTTAGAAGACAAGATGGTCATTAAAGAAGACAAATGCATATTAAAGAGTAGGACAGTCAATTTAACATACAGTGCCAAACTAACACACAAATTAAAATTTATTGCAGAGATATTCGGAGATCATTGGAGCTACGTTCTTACCCTGTTCTGATATTTCATTTTGCAAGTCCCAGATCAGTTGCTACCAAGAATATTTTCTGTTCCTATAATATCTGGCTGATGATATTTTTCATGTCTAATTTATCAATTATTACCCTAAAATATTATATGAAGACCTGCATTTCAAGCAAGAAATCACTCCATCAAAGGTTAGCATGTGTTCTATTAGCATCTTCCAAGTTGCTACCTTGAGCTGTGCAACAACGTCTGTGAAAAATGTGGAAGAAAATGTTGCTTTTCTAAGAGTAATAAACAAGCAGGCAACTCCTCTCTCTCATTTTCCAAACAGATGAAAAACATAATAATTAGAAGTCTCAAAGAGATGGGGTATCCCTCTGTATGTTTTCCACTTAGAGTAGAATAGACATTTGAGATTTTGTAAGATTAGATATTAAGTCCATACTGTTGAAATGGTATAGTTCATTGGCCAGTTGGAAATGCACATGTTTTTGGTCAAAGTTTTATTCACTTTGACAAATCAACAAATTGTAATTTCAAATAATATCTGAGACCAAGTAGAAGACGAGATTATATTCATTACTTCCCATTTGCTAGAGAGAAAACTGCACCACCTTATTCCCTCTACAAGGCCTAAAGGAGTCAATAGGTTACTTCAGATTTATTCATATTATTCATGTGATGTGAAGAAATAATGGAAAAGAATCTCCTGAACTTGCTGGAACTCCCCATGTGAAGAGCATTGTGCACAATTTTGTGAACTGTGTTAAAGAATTTATGAGGGGTACCAAAGAAAAAGCCCACTAAAGTGTGGGGAATATTAACAATGGATTTCAGTTCACTAAGAGAGAAAAGTGCCCTGCAGAATCAATGAAAATTAACTTCTAGCGACTTTAACTTAGAGTTACTTATACAAAACCTGAACTCCAATTATTTCCTGATCTTTTCGTTATTACCTTCTCAATTGCCTCTAAAGCCTACCTTTTGAGTAGAGGCAGTTCAAAGCTGTTGGACTATGAAAATCAGTTATTGTGCTTGTACTTTAGTAAAACGTTCTGTGGAACATGAGGAAGCAAAAGCACAATAATTTATTTTGAAGATAATGTTTTATTTATGGATGAAAATAAATATTGAATGTATTTGGTATTCAATTTTTAACTTGGGAAAAAATTGAACCTCAAAGTTTTCTAGATTACAAGCAATATTAATTAGAAACAATAGTACATGATAATTGCTGTAATGTAAAATATAACTCCACCTAGAAAAATAGATTTTCTTTATATAGTTATGATTTTCCACAATAACATCAAGGTTAATATATGCCAGATGGCTTACTTACTTTCATTAAGAATTATTAGTATCAAAACTGTTTAAACTAACAGCAATTCATCATTCTAATTGTTTTTTCTAAGAGTTAATGTGAATTATGTAGGAAAAAAATTATGTCCTGAGCATCACCATGGCTTAGAGTCAGAAAATTATACCATTATCTCAAAAGCACATTGGACTTGGAACCTTAGTCCAGAGGGTGACCAGCTGATGTAAACTAGAACAAGAAGTTTCTTCTGACAGATTTTTTTCTCCCAAGAATTTGAAAGCTGAGCAAAGACGCAGACAATCCAAGGTTGCTGAAGTTTAATCAGAGTTTAGTGGTACCCAGGGAAGCTCTGCTGGGTTCTCAAATGCCCTTACTCCTAGGCTGGTTGTCCAACTACTATTCCTTTAAATCTCTTAGCTACCCTGGGAGTTTTTTGAGTAAACTTTCCTTTCCCCCTTTCCTTTACTTTTATTTTGCGAGAGCTGGAATTGTTATTTGCTAAATGAAAACAGAAAAATTATAACTGACATATTAACTTTGTGCCTTAATTTCCTTGTCTCTAAAACCGGACCACTGGTAATAAACATAAACATGTCATTTAAAATGTGTCAACATTTTAAAAGCTCTAAGTGGTCTTTGTTTTTACTGGTTCTAGCATTAGATCTGAGCTATAGAAAAATTAACATTTTTACTCTGTTGAGCCACGTAAAGAGAATCATTATTAGGACTATATAATCAGAAAAGAATCTGTTACCTCATCGCCTTTCTCCCCAGGTATCCCAGGGTAGCCCCGCTCTCCTTTGCTTCCCTAAAAAGACAATACATTGAGCTAGCACATGCAATCATTTTTCTTATCTTTTGGAAATGAAAAAAATCTCTTCTAAGAACACTTGGGGCATGTAATTTGGACAGGGTCAGGGAACAAATTAATGGCAACATTTGCGAGTGGCTTTTTCGTCTCTCTCTCTCTCTCTCTCCATATATATCTATATATACATGTATGTATTTTTAAAGTTGTATATTTTCAAATATCGGGTTCCTTTTTTTCATACTGAATAGAGGGTCCCAAGGTGAAAGTGGAGAAGAGAATTTCTTACCTTTGGTCCCTCTCTGCCTGGGATTCCTGGAGGACCCCGTGGCCCTGTATCACCCTAGAGGACAGAGGAAGAACAGAACTGAGAGGATGCACTACATGTAACCTATAGGGTTCATAAACATTCAGTCAGGCTTCTCACCTTCCGGGCCATGGAATCATACTTTCCAGGCTCACCAGCGCCTCCTTCTTCTCCTTTGTTGCTTTTCAGCCCTGGGACACTGGCTTGGCAGTTGCCACAGAAATTCTAATGAGTATAAAGATAAGGTCACTGAGGGAGCCATAAAAACCATCTCTAAAGGTGAGGTTTCATGTGATGTGAAGTTCTTTTGGCACCTTTGTCAGGGATGAGTGATAAAGACAGGTCACTCTGCTTTCAGAAACTTGATTTATCCAATTTAAAAACATTAATTTTGTGAGGTAAAAACTATTTTCAAAGCTCATCAGTGATATCTGTTGATGATATTAATGAGCTTTTATTTTAAAAGCAGGTCTCCAATGACATTTAAACAGAAAATTCCAAATAAATAAGGAAAAGACATGTAAGTCAAGAACAAAAACTGAAGTTCAATTGTTTAGTAGAATGTTTTAAAAGGGAGTGGTAATAAAGTTTAGAAAACCCAGCACGATTACAGAATTCATACACCCTATAGCACAAATCATTTTAAAAACAACAACAACAACAAAAAACTGCAAAGAAAGGATTTGTCCTTGTGGGAGCAAAATTAGTTCTCCAACTACATACAGTTTACTAACATTTTGTCGGTGGAGGCACTCTAGAGAAATAATTACTTGACTGACATAGGCTTGACTCCTAGGTCAAATCCAAGTGACAATAGGAAATCTAAGTGAAATTACCTTTCCATTGCCTTCTCTGCAACCTTTAGCTGATGTGGGAAAGCTTGACTTCCAGTGTCTGAGCTCATAAGATAAACATAACTCTCATCACACAGCTAAAGAAAGAGTGTGTGTGAAAAGCTCTATATAGGCTTATTTTTAAATAAATTGTTGGAATAAGAATATGACCAAGAAAGGCACAGAATAAGGGCCACTGAGTGGGGGAGATAGTTTAACAGTTGACAGAAGGTAGGACAACCTAAGTTTCCATTCTTCCATCCTTTTCCCTAAAGGGAAGAATCTTTAAACATGAAAAAGAAGTGAAGCTTGCCATTGATAAGAAGCTGGCAAGAAAGCCCATGGCTATTCAAATTCAATATTTTTGACATAATGAATAGCACTGTAAATCTGATTTTCAAACATGGGCTCCTTGGAACACTAAATTTGCATGATACTGAAAAGCTTGCAAGGTGTGATGGTTAATAGTGAGTGTCACCTTGATCGGATTGAAGGATGCAAAGTATTGTTCCTGGGTGTGTCTGTGAGGGTGTTGCCAAAGGAGATTAACATCTGAGTTGGTGGACTGGGAGAGGCAGACCCACACTCAATATGGGTGGGCACAATCTAACCAGGTGCCAACGCAGCTAAAATAAAGCAGACAGAAGAACGTGGAAGGGGTTGACTTGCTGAGTCTTCTGGCCTTCATCTTTCTCCTGTGCTGGATGCTTCCTGCCCTCAAACATGAGACTCCATATTCTTCGCTTTGGACTCTTGGACTTACACTAGTGGTTTGCCAGAGGATTTCAGGCCTTTGGCCACAGACTGAAGGCTGTACTGTCAGCTTCCCTACTTTTGAGGTTTTGGGACTTGGACTGATCCACTATTGGCTTCCTTGTTCTTCGACTTGCAGACAGCCTATTGTGGGACTTTACCTTGTAATCACATGAGTCAATTCTCCTTAATAAACTCCCTTTCATATATACATATATACCATTAGTTCTGTCCCTCTGGAGAACCCTGATGAATACATGAGGCAAATCATCTCAAAAATGCTGGGTTACAGCAATCCCATCACTGGGTATATACCCAAAGGATTATAAATCATTCTACTATAAAGACACATGCACATGTATGTTTATTGCAGCACTGTTCACAATAGCAAAGACTTGGAACCAACCCAAAAGCCCATCAATGATAGACTGGATAAAGAAAATGTAGCACATATACACCATGGAATACTATGCAGCCATAACAAAGAATGAGTTCATGTCCTTTGCAGGGACATGGATAAAGCTGGAAACCATCATTCTCAGCAAACTAACACAAGAACAGAAAACCAAACACCACATGTTCTCATTCATAAGTGGGAGTTGAACAATAACACATGGACACAGGGAACATCACACACTAAGGGGGCCTGTTGGGGGTGGGGGCTAGGGAGGGATAGCATTAGGAGAAATACCTAATGTAGATGACGGGTTGATGGGTGGCGCAAACCACCATGGCACGTGTATACCTATGTAACAAACCTGCATGTTCTGTACATGTACCCCAGAACTTAAAGTATATAAAAACATGCTGGGTTAAACAGCTCTCTTCAGGGTGGTCTTTCTTAGAGTCTGAATATATAAAATTTCCAGATGAATTTTACCACCTGGATTATTTCACAGGGACAATGTGTTGGCACGGGAGTTAAATATATATATTTATAGAACCATTACTGATGATACCTGAAAAACTATGAAGATAAAGAGACACTTGAGAACTTAAGAGAAACAAAAGGATTTCCATATTTCAAAAAGTATGAAAAAGATAATTATCTGCAGACACAAACATGACATCTCAATATGGAGCAAAACCTTGGCACATCAATATGGAGCAACATTTTAGAAGAGATTGTTCAACTATTTTAGTAAAACATTAAAAAATGATAATCATTATGACAAATACAATTTCTAAGAGTCATTTGAAACTGACTTCATTTTCTTTGGGTTAGGGTTACCAGAATGGTAAATGTAAAATAACTGAGTTTTATTAACATTCTTGGAAAAATGTCTTAAGATTTTCTCATGGAAAGAATAAAGATGCATCAATTATTAACCAATACACAATGTCATTCAAAGAGGGATTGATATGCTGATTAATCTAAAAGGAGGCCTTTGAAGGGGCCTGTAATTATGCCAGTTCTTTTTAATACTTTAATCAAAGATATTTTTGCAAACAGAAAGCAGGATGATCAAATTGGCTAAAGACTCAAGGTAGAGAGATATAGTGTTAACGTATGGGGTAACAGGATCAGGATTTAACATGATGTTATTACATTGGCCTGACAGATCCAACCCAGAATCTAAATTCCTGTATTTGGACTTTATTCGGGGAACTACATGCCTCCCCTTGCTTCTATTGTATACAGTTTGTGGAGACTATCAGTCAAGATGTCCTGCTCTTTACGGACTCAGAACCTCAGTGAAATGACACAGAGACTGGAGCAATGGCAGAGCACGTTCATTAGAGGGACGATTCCCGGGTGAGACTGCCAATTCGTTCCACGTCTGAGAGCACTGGAACCCTGGTTCTGCTTCCTGTCAGAGCCTATTCATGGTCCTTTGATCTGTTCTGTGAGATCCCATATTCTACCAGTATATTCATTTCTGCTACAGCATACAGTTTTCTCATCCTTAAAGAACCCTAAGTATTCTGAAATGATATAACTCCTGCAATCCTGCTATTTCCAACACCACTGTCTCGTAAAGAATCTAGGACTTAATGTCTGAGGACCTATGTTCCTGTGTTAATGTTACATTTACTTGCTGTGTGACTCTGAAAAAGTTACTTAACTGCTGAGAACTTCAGGTCTGTCATCTATAGAATGGGAATGCTGCAAAAGGCTGAACTCATAAGTCTATTATGGAAATTAAATGAGATGATATAAGTAAAGTGGCATATTGACTGGCCTGTAATTTTAACTCAATAAATATAAGATTTTCCTGAAATTCTTTTTTTTTTTTTTTTTTTTTTTTTTTTGAGATGGAGTCTCTCTCTGTGGCCCAGGCTGGAGTGCAGTGGCCGGATCTCAGCTCACTGTAAGCTCCGCCTCCCGGGTTTACGCCATTCTCCTGCCTCAGCCTCCCGAGTAGCTGGGACTACAGGCGCCTGCCACCTTGCCCGGCTAGTTTTTTGTATTTTTAGTAGAGACGGCGTTTCACCGTGTAAGCCAGGATGGTCTCGATCTCCTGACCTCGTGATCCGCCCGTCTCGGCCTCCCACAGTGCTGGGATTACAGGCGTGAGCCACCGCGCCCGGCTGATTTTCCTGAAATTCTGACAAATATTCTTCCCTGGCTTATAAAACTGCTGGCTTTTGGACGTCTTAGAAACTCCTTTAATATATTTTTATATTTATATTCATATTTACACTTATGTTTATATATCTATTCTCAAAACTCTACAAATGTATATGCTAGAACTCGAGTCTTTTGAATTCAATTAAACAAATATTTCTGCCTGCTTACTACTGTGCAAATAATTGTGTGAATCACTGGGCTAAATGCTAGAAATACAAACTAAATTATATACATCTAACTATAGTCTGTGTGTCTGTGCACATACACAATGTCCATTCTTACAAAGAAAGATACAACACATTGTGTTTGAGTGTGAAGCCAAGAGCCTGATTTTCATGTGGGCTCACTCAGTCGTAGCACACCAGGCAGAAACATGCAAATATATACCCTTACATATGTGCCATTATCATCCCCCCAGTATGTTTTACTGATAAAATACAGGGAAGTGTTAGAGATTAAAAAAAGAGATAGCAAGATTAATTCCCTGAGATGATAATAGGTAGAGGTGATTTTTACTGAACAGAGTAACAGGTATTAGGTCAGGTTTCAACTGTGGAATTTTGTAAAATCCCATGACATCAAAATTCAGCCTTGTAAGTGGCCATATATAGAGCAGCACTGATTTTCATCTTGGGACTGACCAGGCCAGATTTAGCGAGAAGGATTTGCTTTCACAGTAATGAGCCAGGGTGAGTCAACACCCATTAAGAGAAAGATGTTCCTCCAGAAAAGAGAATAATCTACTCCAGGGTGCTAATGACATAATTCCTTCCCTGTAGCCAATTCATAACTATACTACCCGCTGCCCTCCACCCCTGCTCCACCCAAAATGAGAGGCTGGTAAAGAAGAGAGTGAAAGAATTACAATAAATGGCATGAGTTATATAAGATACATGTTTATTTTCCTATCTTAAAGATGTCCTGCCATTTAAAAATTGAATTGTAGTTCCAGCTAAACAATTGACTCAATTTCTGCTAAATATTTTCTTTGTGATTTTTCTGGAAATTAACACATAATTTCTTACACAGCAATAGAGTACCTTGAGCAAAGCACCGATGTCTCCCAAGAGAGGAAGTGCAATCTGTGGTTAAGAAGATAAAACCAAAGATATGTATTTATATATGAACACAATACAATATAAACATACAGTACAATATAGATATTTTTCCTCAAAATGCCATGAAGCTTCTAGTGTCTCACTTTAGAATCACTGGCTTAACATTATGTTTCGTATCAAGAAATGTGCACATGGAACTGATAGAATTCAGAACAAATTTTGAAAAATGTTCACTATTCTCTCATGAACGTGCAAACACACATATCATCATTTTGACTGTGCATCCCTATTTTGTATTTTCATGGCAACTTTTATGCCGTCCCTGGTATATTATTGGTTTTAAATAATACATAAAGATAAATTATTTATTAAAAGGAAATCACTCCTCTGGCAAACACATTATCAGGCTGTTGAGAAATATGAAAACTACCAGATAAGTTTGCCTTACAGTTATTTCTCATGGAAGTTCAAAAGAACCTACAGTTGGCTTAAGTGATAGGCAAGACAAATACTGAAGGAACTTGGACCACATTTTGGCCACATGTCTTCAGATGTTCTTTCAGAGAGACACTGTGTAAACCCAAGTAATATTTTGTAAGATTCCCAGAAAAATGCACAAGTGATTCACCCAACAGTGGCGTTAAAGTAATGCCAAAATATGCCTCCACACGTAGCTTATAAAGGCACATAAGGCCCAAACACTGTGGGAGGTAGAAAGGATTTGTGAGGCTTAGAACTGAGAAGCCAGATTTGGATTTTATTATACAAGACTCTTAATACAATGTCATGTACCATATGGCCTCTCAAATTATAACTGCCGAGTCTGAGGCTATTTAAAGGGATTTCACTGTTGCTCAAAGCAAGGTTTAACCTAGAATAAAACTTTGAAACACACATTTAGTGCCTAAACCCATTTTCTAAGAGCCTACTCAAGCCAGTTTTCATAATTTAATCATTGTGACATTTTAAAGCTACAGAATCAATGGATCTGTACCATATTGTAGGCAACTTACCTGCAAAATTTCATTTAGAAAAATGAAATTCATTTAGCCACTAGCATTAGAAAAAATAGAAATCGTGGTGATATATTTTATCTCAATTTTCAATGGGATTGAGACATTATATGCCAAGGCTCAGCCTGGGGCAAAATTGTACAGTTGAATTATACCCTTAGGAAATAAGTATTCATCACACACACAGAAATGCTGACCCAGCCTGAATTCTTTTTCTCTCGACAAAATAATGGGGATAAACAAAATCACCAAGCAGTCACTGAGCATTCTAATTAGTTTGGACAGCAAAACTTGCTTGGGAGGCTGTTTGGCTTCTGGGTGCATTTAAGATACATAAATCAGACAAGGTCTGTCTACATACCGGGTCACCTGGGGGGCCTGGCAGGCCTGGCTTTCCATCCCTCCCTGGAACTCCCTGAAAACAGAGGTGTCCATGTTCAATCTTTGCACATTGGCACAGATGCAGATTAAAATGGGGGAGGGTAGATAAAGAAAGTCCTTACATCATTCCCTGGAGTCCCTGGAGTTCCTGGCAACCCAGGAAGACCTCGAGGACCCTGGAAAAGGAGGGAAATAAAAACAGTTACTTATGAGGATGGTCTTTCAGTCATTTCCCCCAAGTCAGCAAGCTGGCTTTGCTGGGATAAAAAATCAGTTAAGTAGCTTACCTGAATACCTGGCTCTCCAACTGGTCCTTGGGAGCCCTGAGTACAAATGAGATTTTATTATCAAAATTCCACCAAGAATGTCCATAAATTATCCAAGTGACATAAAAGACTAAGCATTGTAGTTTTCTTAGAGGCACAACAGGGTTTGCCACCGTACACACGAGGAAAACTGCAAAGTCGGCCAAGACTTTCAGGTCGTAGGTGAATAACTTAATCAGATACCTGTTGCTGGAAACATCAATATGATTTTGCTCAGAGACTTGGGACATCTATCTCATTACCATAATCTGTCACTGCACATTCATGAGGGCACAAAGAATGCATCCAAATTCCATCTGTCAGAAACTGACCGCCCACAGGGGTAACTGGTTCGGGGGCTTCTTTTCTTTTCTGCTTTCAACTTTGAGTCATTTATCTCTTGGAAGAAATCACCAGAACCAGTGCTCAGTGACAGGAGTAGGAGGTAAAACACTAATCAATGATATTTTTCTACTTTTAGAAAATTGGAATTTGGGATAAATAAAATGAGGCTGGGAGATTATCAGGGAACTTAATGATGGTAGCTGTACCGCTCTTATGTAACCATGAACTTCTGTAAGAGGAATTTGCAACCTAAGTAAGTCAAGAGCTGGTTTCCTAGCAGTTGACTTCAGTAACTACTCACTGACTTTTCCTTTCTTATTTAAAGAAATAAATATTCATATCACTGCTCTTGCCAAAGCTACTTTTTTCCTCCCTTTCTATTTATCCTCAACCACTATCACTTCCCTAATTATTTTATTTTATTTTATTTTTTGAGATGGAGTCTCACTCTATCACCCAGGCTGAAGTGCAGTGGTGGAATCTCGGCTCACTGCAACCTCCGCCTCCTGTGTTCAAGCAATTCTCCTGCCTCAGTCTCTTGAGTAACTGGGATTACAGTCACCCGTTACCACGCTCGGCTAATTTTTGTATGTTTAGTAGAGATGGGGTTTCACCATGTTGGCCAGGCTGGTCTCAAACTCCTGACCTCAAGTGATCCACCTGTCTTGGCCTCTCAAAGTGCTGGGATTACAAGGATGAGCCACCAGGTCCAGCCTCTAATAATTTTCTGATATAAGTTTTTACTTGGTTTAATTTACATCTCCAATGGTCTTTTACATTCTTGCCCTGGCAAATCAGACAACCCTCATTCACAACATATCCCTTCACTACTTATGCTTTCTTTTAATTTTTCATGATAACTTCAATATAAAGATGTGATATTGTGATAAAATAATATTTGGTTTCTGCCCTCAGTTCCTGGCAAAGAGCTCCTAAAACCCTCATAAATTCCTTAACAATAGGTTGCTAACATAAACTTTTGTTCTAATACTTGTTTTTTGGCCCCGGTTGACAGAGAGCTTCTAATCCCTTGGGTTTCTTGGGTGACAGGAGAGTCTTTTGTTCCAATGAGGTGACTTGGTGGGCTCCTTGATAGGAGCTGATCACCAGAAAGACCAAGCCACAGTTAGAAACTCGGCCTTTCAGCCCACCCCGCTTTCTGTGAAGAGGGGAGAGGGGCTGGAAATATAGTCAGTTGTTTATCTTGCTGACATGATGAAGCCTCCATAAAATCCCAAAATATGGGGTTTAGAGAACTTCCAGGCTGGCAAAAACACCCATGTGCCAGGAGAGTGACACACCCCAACTCTGCAGGGACCGACACTCCTACACTCAGGGACCCTTCCAGACCTCTCCCTTTGTAACTCTTCTTCTGACTGTTCAACTGCATCCTTTACTGATACCATAAACCAGTAAATGTAAGAAAGAGTTACTTGATTCTGTGAACCACTCTAGCAAACTACAGAACCTGAGGTGGGGGTCATGGAAACTTGCAGTTTATAGCTGGTTGAACAGAAGTAATGAAGGCCCAGATATGCAGTTGGCCTCTGAAGTAGGGGTCGGTTTTGGGCGATTGAGCCCTTAACCTGTGGAATCTGACGCTAACTCCAGGTAGATAGTGTCAGACGTGAATTGACTAGTAGAACATCCAGTTGATGTCCATTGGAGAATTGATGAGTAGGGGAAAAAAACCCCACACATCTGGTGTCAGAATTGTATTATGTTGAATGTTAAGAGCATAATAGGAAAAAAGTTTGTTTTTCTATTACACCATACAGGACAATTTTCTAAATTAATGTCATTAGAATAACCATTTCTTTCTACTTTTCTTGTTCAAAAATATTTTATGTCTTTTCATAGTAAATGAAAATTGTATATTTATTATTATTTGGTCTACAAGTGTGGATATAGTGGTCATTATTAATAGGGGCTGTTCTAGGCTCTGTCCTTATAGTTTAAATACTTTAAAAACTACCCATTATTTGTTTTTACCATTGAAAACTCCATCTCTTCACTCTGAAGCCATTACTCAGACCTTTCTGGTGTCATTTCACCCGTGCGTACGCCATTCACTTTAAATATTAACTTCGTTTTAAATTAATTAAAAACAAGCTGTAATATATAATGACCTAATATTAGGCAGTCATACCATCTTACAAACATGTATTTGTGCTTTTTAATATATAGATTAGAGGTATAGGTTAAATGACTGCTTCTAATCCAAATTAGCGTATGTGTGACCAGCATCTGTAAGTTAATAAACAAACAACGGGTACTGTCTCTGTGCTTAAGTGATACAACCTCAGTGCCCATCACTCTGGATAGTGTTTATTTGTATTTCCTCCTCTGACCTTTCTATTCTTTTCACCTTGTTAAAATTTGACACTGGATTTTGTTTCACAATATTGGAATCAACAAGGACTAAATGAATTTCACTTACTGTTCTGCCAGGAATTCCTACCCCTGGTGGGCCTATGTCCCCTGGGGAACCGTGAACACCTGGAAGTCCTCTTTCTCCCTGTGAAATGCAAGGCTTCTGTTAGTGCAAGCCTCAAGAGACATAAATTTCTCTGCTATATTTTGTTAATTATTAATTTCTTAAAAATTAACTAAATATTTGTATACCTTTGGCCCACGTGGACCAGGTGCTCCAGGATTTCCATCTAATCCCTAAAAGAAAAAAAAGATGAATACATTGAATACGTATCTTCTTCTAGAAAGGTTATAAACACATTAGAAGTTATAACTAAAACGTTTTATCACTCTTCATCTTATTTGAATAAATCTTTTTCTATAAAAGAATAAGGAACAGGGAGTACACATTTCAATAGGTTATAGATTTTGTATAGTTGTTTTAAAATATAAAAGATTTTTATTTATAAAATGAGGCACCTGATATTGAGAAATATTATTATTATTTAATAACGTAAGTTCAAAGGAGATGAGAAACAAAGGCACATAAAGCATATTTTAAAAACATTGGTTATTTAGATTTTCCGGCAGTCCAGTTTTCAATGTCCTGGGAATAGTCTGGGTCACAAAGACATTTTCTGCAAATGACAAACCATGGTGATACCTGCAAAACCTCTGGAAGGGAAAATTCAGGTCGTTTTTCTGTTTTACAATACTGTCCTAGGAAGTTTTATGATTTAAAACCAGTGTACCTGACTGGGATTCATGGATCTCTACAGAATCCATGTGTAGGATTCAGGGGACCTAGGAATCTTCCAAAATCATATGCAAAATGATGTATGCATGTATATTTTCTTCAGAAGAAAGCCCTTTGCTTGTCACACATTTAAGAGGTTTTATCTCTGATTTAAAGAATAAGATGCCTGTAATCCCAGCACTTTGGGAGGCCGAGGTGGGCAGATCACTGGAGCTCAGGAGTTCATGACCAGCATGGACAACATGGTGAAGCCCCATCTATACAAAAAATATAAAAATTAGCCAGGAGTGGTAGCGTGTGCCTGTTGTCACCACTACTCAGGAGGCTGGGGTGGGAGGATCACTTGAATCGCAGAGGTCGAGGCTGCAGTGATCCATAATTGTACTACTGTGCTCTAGCCTGGGTGACAGATTAAAGACCCTGTCTCAGAAGGAAAAAAAAAAAAGGAATAAGATGAATAGATGAATATTTCTTTTTTCCCCTGACTTTTATTTTAGGTTCAGGGGTACATGTACAGGTTTAGTACATGGGTACATTGCATATTGTTCAGGTTTATTGTATGAATGATCCCACTACCCAAGGAAGTAAGCATAGTGCCTGACAGTTTTCAACCTTGCCTCCCTTCAATTCTCCCCTATCAGTAGTCCTCCACATCTCTTGCTCCCATCTCTACTATGCTGGTGTGCAACCAATGTTTAGCTCCCACTTATAAGTGAGGACATGCAGTATTTAGTTTTTTGTTCCTGTATTAATTTGCTTAGGATAATGGCCTCTAGCTGTATCCATGTTGCTGCAAAGCACATGATTTTGTCCTTTTTATGGCTGCATAGTATTCCATGGTTATATATATCACATTGTCTTTATCCAGTCCACTGTAGATGGGCATCTAGGTTGAATCCATGTCATTGCTATTATGAATAGAGTTGCAATGAACACACGAATGCATGTGTCTTTTTGGTAGAACTATTTATTTTCTTTTGGGAAAAGAAACCCGTAGTGAGATTGCTAGGTCAAAAGGTAGTTCTGTTTTAAGTTCTTTTTTCCTTTTTTTGCAGACCTAAACTTATTCCCATACTTGTGATCTGAAAACTCACAAGCAGAAATTAACGAACTTGCAAGAAATATATTAACAAAAGGGCTAATACTTACTGGTTCCCCTGGCAGGCTTTTCCCTGGAGGACCAGCCTCACCTTTTGGACCTGGAAGCCCGGGAGGGCCTATGATCCCACCTGGATCTCCCTGTGGAAAACAAAGTAAGATTCTTTCTTTGATGCTCAGGTTCATGGTGGGAAGAGAGGAGGTAGTGGTTTCCATTGTTTTAAGTTGTCATCATAGCCAGTCAAACTTCATTCACTCACTCACTCACTCACTCACCAACTCAATAATATTTATTGAGTACCTAATTCATGCCTGTTCAGTGCATTTAGATTTTGCAGTTAGTTATGTTAGCAGTATCACAAAACATATGCATGTGTGTGTGTATGTGTATATATATATATGCACAAAAGAGCATATTTATTAATAAAGCTCTATAGATGACCTTTATGTTTTCTTTAAGTTATTCCCCAATAACAGTTCAATGTTAATACACTGTTTCCATGTAGATATCAAGAAACAGGTCCTGCAAGATTAAGAGACTTCTTAGGTTTATATCAGAATTGGTAACTGAGCTTGACTTTCAGACTCCTGATATCTTCATCTCTCAGTTCATTTTGTCACATGGCATTCCTGTGCCAGAACCAGGGCTGCCAAAATGCACAACTCTAGGGGGTACCATTTACATTGTAGTTAATGTGAATGTCTGTCCCCTGCACAATCCCAGAAGCCCTGGGGCGTCCTTTCATCTCCCTTATGATCCTCTGTCTCTTCCTCCTATCTACGTAACATATAAAATGAGGAAAATGCAAACTATACCTTTTCTCCTTTAATGCCTTGTTTTCCTGGGATACCATGTTCTCCTGGCAATCCCTAGAAAACTCAGAGTGAATAGGAAAGAGCAATGAGAACATTTCTTATAATAACATTTCCCTATATCTGAATCTTTGTCGAGAGAACAGAATTTTAACATAAAGCCTATTAATACAAGGAGTTGGATTGATTTTGGCCTTTAAGACCTGGAAAAATATTAGTGATTCTACGTTGTCTATTGGTTCAAGTGAAGCTACCTGGATGCCATAGGAAAGAAACTAAAGTCGAATTGAACCGCATGTCTCACCCATATTATTGCCATGGAAGAGGGATGGTGGTTGGTAGCATCACATAATGATTCCGAAGGACTCTAGGGCAACTAGAAAAATATGTTTTTACTATGTTTTAGAAACAGTGGCTCTTTCTCTTTTGATTTTGTTCTCTTTATAGCTCTGGCCACTATCACTTAATCTCAGTTTTTGAGCATTGTGGCTCCACTTGTGCCACCAGGATTATCCCTCTTTTCATAAGATCTGTCCACTAGGTTTATCTACAGTGGCCCATTAGTTGGCATAGGGAAGTTATCAAAAGCTTTGCTCTATAAACTGGGTGTTCAAAGTACCAAGCAGAACATGTGCACCGACCAATAGACAGGAGAGGCTCAAGCGGTGAGCATGGAGAATAGAACGTGAGGTTAAGGGGCTGTTCTCAGGGCATGAAAAAAGGAGAGATCCTAAGAGTTGCCTGGAGGGAACTGTAATCACGGTCAGATAGTGATCAGTCTCCAAGGAGTTATGGCCAAGGATTTTTCCTATTTTGCTCAAGTGTGAACTGATGGAGAGCTCGCAGCTCCCAAGTTGTCAGAAGGCTAGGAAGGTTGTCCAAGGAATAGAAAGTTGATCCAGATAATGAATAGAAAGGTGCATTGAGTATTTTAGGTCCACTAAAGCTAGGTTATAATGCAATCTGTCGATCTTCCTTCAGATATACTTTTAGCTAAAAGACTTGCTTTTTTTGGAAGGCTTTTGCTAGAAAACAATGGAAGTTTTGGAAATGTCTTCCTTAGATGGAGACTTGAACTAAAAACTGTGAATATTGAAAATGTTTTCTTTCTCTTTTGGTGTTATTTCTATTGACATTTCCAATCTCTCTACTGCTGGTACAGCACTGACAAGCATGTCCAAAATGACAATTTAATTAACTTGAGCTCCAAAGACCAATTTATTAGGCTAATGATACTCAAAAGGACCTCACGTGAATATATGAAGGGCCTAGTCTTCCCAATAGCCCCTGACATTAGGTATAATCAGTTTTAGTGGCATAGATGACCCATGTCTTTGGGAAATGAGGGATAACTCAGTTACTTGAACAGATGTTGATGTTTTTAAAAAACATGTCCTAGTCTCAATTTCATTTCAAAAATATCAAAGACATTATACATACAACATCTCCTGGCGGTCCTCTGGGTCCCATGGAGCCTGCAGATCCCTGCTGACCCTAAAATAAAAGGTGGTATATGCTTTAGCTTTGCTAGGAAAAAAAAAAAAAAAGATTGTACCTGAGTATTTGTAAAGCATAGTGTGATCTTCATGTATAGGAAGACCGACTTTCCACCATCCCACTTTCCCACTTTATCTGTATAGTACTGAAATGTGCTTTGGGTTTACCAGGATAGTTTCCAGATGCTTTTATTTAATTTATGTGTTCTCTCCAGCAGGTGATAACTGAAGTTAGGTAACTTGCCCTACCCATTGTCTGTGAGTACACCACATTAATTTCTCCTGCACTTTCCAAAAGCTGCTTTCTTGGGACACTGGTGTGGAATCCCACTTGGGATACTCAAGCAACTCAAGGTTGCATAATTTTGGTTTAGAAACTGAATCCTGAATTCTGTTACTTTTAAGAATATAGCTCAAGGTCATAGATTTAGCTCATATTGTTTACTCTTAAAGTCTTTAGGGATGCTATTGTGAATATGCTCTGAAAAAGAGTTTAGAAATCCTATTGTGAACCAGAAGATAGTTACTATGTGTGTAATAAATGCAGCAGATGGGGAAAATCACCATGGAAACAGGATAAAGTCTCGAAGAGCATTTGTGAAGAAAATGAGTGGCACACCAAAGCACCCTGTTTTACACAGAATGGCTATAATTCCCAAATTATTTCCCAATAAATCTTAGTTATTTCTTATATACCTTTAGTCCTGGGCTTCCTATTAAACCAGGGGGACCAGGATCTCCAGGTTCACCCTAAACACATAGGAGGAAGGAAAGATCAATGTTGCTTTAATTTTCATAATCTAATTAAGGTTGGACATGAAATTGAAGAATGCCAGGAAATTACCTTTACTCCCTGTGATCCTATTATCCCAGGTTCTCCCTGTAAATAAAATAATTACTATAGGGGTAATGCTTAAATTCAGATGGAAATGGACATCTCTGATACTTTAATTGAATTTCTAGTAATTAACATACAATAAAAAGGGAAATTATGGAAGACATAATGAAATCAAGGACAGTTCATTCTAAAACATGATTGAAAATACTTACTACTAATGAACAATACTTTCTTGATTTTTTCATTATAATAGTTTTTCCCCCAATGCCACTTTTGACACTGTAATTATCATGTCCCATTAGCAATCACTGCATTCTCTACTTAACTGACATAGTTATAATTTGCCACCAACTAATCTTATGTCCCAGAGAATTAAAACTTCAGAGAAGGAATTAGGGAGAGTAGAATTTAAGGTAATATGTGTTGGTGATTCTACTTTTAGTTATATGTGCTTAATGATTAGTTATATGTGCTTAACGAAAAAAATCACAACAAAATTAAGGTTATACAAAAGAGGACAATATTGGCTATAACAAGTTTGCTTTTTACATTTTCTGTGACTTATTAATATATTTGATAAATCCACTTTGTGCCACTAACAGAATTTTTGGAAAAAATGTATCTTTTATTTTAATTTGATATTTGTGATATCCTACATGGATGCCTTATATAACATTCATGGCCAATCACTATTAGTAACTGGTTAAACAATGTATTAGAAAACTCATACCAATGTTGAAGTCTCCTTGTATGACAACACTTAACAAGGCTTAAAATTTCTTATTTATCAAAATAAAAGGTTAAAAATCACAGAGGAAAAAGTAAAATGCTCACGGACCTTATTTAATCAAATCTATTAGACTCCAAAGTAAACATACCAGAAAATCAGAGAGAAAAAAATCAATGAAGTAGAAAACCCAAGATAGTGATAAAATATCTACTTACTCTATCTCCTTTTTCTCCTTTTGTAAAAGGCTCTCCCTAAGGAGAAGGGGTAGAAGATAGAATTAAACACCCTTAGAAATAAACTCTCCAAACTGGGGTGTGGATAAACCCTACAGGCCAAACTCAGATCCCCATTGCAAAGAGACCTCTAAAAATACCCAGAGTGCCACACAGTCTGCCTTTGCAGCTTAAAGGAAATATATGGTAATTAATTTAAAAACTCCTTTATATTCCCAAATGAACAAAGAGTTAATCATTCTAATATCATTTATAAAATCCCAAGTGGCTGGCAAATCGGAATGCTGCCCAAGGCCAAAGCTTCCTACTGCCTAGTTCACATAGAAAACAATCACACGCACACATCCAGTTGGATGTGAAATGGGAGTGACAGCAAGAAATTGATAAAAATGTTGAATGGAAAGACATTCATTTGAATTCTTCCAGTTGGTTAATTGTGTGCTTAAATACATAAAATCATTATTTAAAATACAGTTTTCTAGTTTTCATTTTTACTTTAATGAAAATGACTTGAAGAGGTTAACCATATCTGTAAGTTCTGTGTCCATGGATTCAAGCAATTGTGGATAAAAAATATTTGAAAAAGAAAAACAATAAAAAATAAAACAGCAATAAAAAGTATACAAATTTTAAAAATACTATAACAGCTATTTACATAGCACTTACATTGTATTATGTATTATAAGTAATCTGGACGTGATTTGAAGTATACAGGAAAATACATAGGTGACATGCAAATAATAGGCCATTTTATATTAGGGACTTGAGCATCCTCAGATGTTGGTATCCTCTGAGAGCCCTGGAACCAATCTCCCACAGATACCAAGGAACAACTATATATCCATATCTAACCAACATGATGAAATATCTTAATAGTGGTTAATTTCTATATATTAGATCAGGGCCTTATTTATATTCTTATTTCCCTGCTTGTTTTTGCTTACATGACACTGCTCATGTCATTGCTTATTTACAGCCACTGTCAAGTTTAGTGGCCACATTGACTAAAGTAACTGGTTATAAAATAAAAAGGAAAAAGAAAAACCAGGGAGCCTAGTTGTCTAGATACTTGATATTTAGTCCTAGATCCAATGGCTACTATTTGAGGCAAGTCACTTAATCTTTTAGAGGCCCCCTTTCCTTATCTATAAAATCATGGGGTTCAACTAGGTGATCTCAACTATATTTTAGCTCTGATGTGTTACACATCAAACCATATTCTGAATGTCCTATGGTGGGGGAAAATTTGCCATTTTAGTTACCATTTGGGATCAGTGGTTCAGAATTTACCTTTGAATGAATACTACTCTTCTGTTTGGGCCTTCTGATTACTATGCAAAGTAAAGTCTACATCCTGTTCTGGAATAGAAAGGTTGAGACCATAAAGAGCTAAACTGCTCTCCATAATAATGTAAAATTTGTGTTGTTTTAATGTAGGGATAGGGGAAGGCAGCAAAGATGTATGGGGTGGTGGGATAATTGGGGGATGAATAGGGACCTGGTATGGAGAAGAGTTAGGAGGAAAAGAAGCTCTAGTTAAGGAAAACAGGGCTAAAGGCAGTTCCCATGAGGTACATGGACTGCCCTTGAACGTTAGTGGTAGGAGAGAAAGCCAGAGGAAATCCCTGCAGGAGGAAAAGGCCTATCACTCCTAGGAACTATTAACTCCTCCAACCCTTGCTGTTTAAAGTGTGGTCCACGGAACAATAGCACCAGCATTACTGAGCGCTTGTGAGAAACACAGACTCTCTGGTCCTGCTCCAAACCTACTGACCTAGGATCAGTGGGATTCAAGCGCACGTTCACATTTGAGAAGCAGTGTTCTAACTCACTGAAAGTTTCTCCTTTCTGCTCTAAAAATCCTTGATTTTCCAGTAAAATTTTTGTAAAACTTATAGCAAGGTCCTCCATGTGTCATGTGGAAATTAAGAGAGGGTGGGTGTCAATGTTCAGGTTTGGAGGGAAGACAGTGGAGACCTAGAGAAGCAGTTAAGAGATGGTGAGAGGAACTTCCAAGTGTGGAGCACCTAGAGAGTTGGCAGGTACCAGGGGCATGCACCAGCCTGGACTTCTGAGACATGAGATTTTCCAGACATTATTGGAAATACTCAGTTGGAGAACCCCATTAAAGACTGCCAAATCCTGTAGTTGTGTAAGAAGGCTTGAACTGAATACTAAGGGCAAGTACGACTCTCGAAAGTAAAAGAACTGGGGTATATAGGCTAAGGGAGGAGACCACCCCTCATATTGTCTTATGCCCAATTTCTGCCTCCAAAGAAAGAAGAAGTAAAAACTAAAAGGCAGAAATGAAATCCACAGGCAGACAGCCCGGCGCCACACCCTGGGCCTGGTAGTTAAAGATGGACCCCTGACCTAATCCGTTATGTTATCTATAGATTACAGACATTGTATAGGAATGCACTGTGAAAATCTCTATCCTGTTTTGTTCCGATCTAATTACCGGTGCATGCAGCCCCCAGTCACATACCCCCTGCTTGCTCAATCAATCACAACCCTCTCACATGCACCCCCTTAGAGTTGTAAGCCCTTAAAAGGGACAGGAATTGCTAACTCGGGGAGCTCGGCTCTTGAGATAGAAGTCTTGCTGATGCCCCTGGCCAAATAAACCCCTTCCTTCTTTAACTAAGTGTCTGAGGAGTTTTGTCTGCCGCCTGTCCTGCTACAAGGCCACAGACTGATTCTAAAGCTGCAAAAATTACTGTCATTGTTAATTTTTTAAAGTTGAAGCACAGGGAAAATTTGACTTTGTAACACTGAATGCTTTAAATAATGTTCCTGTTTGTCATGCAGGCAATTTAGTGACCTCTTCATGTTTTATCCCCTGATAAACCAATATCCTTTATTCACTCTTATAAAGAAAGAGGTAGAGTGGTTTAATAAGATGTATTACTTTTTTTTAAACAAAGATGAAACATTTGATAAGCCTGATTCTCACTGATTCTTGAAAACTGCTTTTTTAAAAGGAGCATTAAAACAAGTCATTTTTTGTACCTACGATTTCTCTTATCACTTTAGGTGGTCCTATTTGAATATAAATGATACTGTAGGGTTTTTCTCTTTTTCCCACAAAAAGAACTACATTTTGAAAGAAACTGGCCACACTAATACTGAAAAGTGGTTGGGAGCCACTTTGATCTTACAAAAATCAAGAAAGAAAAATAACTTCAGAAGGTACACTGAGAACAGTTATTTAAGCAGAAAGATGTGTTTCCAATTTCTTTCGGATGAACTTGTACTAGCCTTTTGATACATTGATTTTATTATTTCAGCTGCAGTGTGTAGTTATACCAGATGAGCATTGTGATTTTAAACTTTAGGTTCTAGAATCAGCTCCCCTAGGTGTGATTCACAGCTCCAATGCTTAGTACTGTGTGACTTTGGGCAAAGTTACTTAACGTCTTTATGCCTTACTTTCATCATTTGAAGTATGCAGGTGATAACAGACGACCTTATGGAACCTTTTTGTGGATTAAGTGAGTAAATATACGTGAAAGACTTAGTGCATAGCATAGCATAGCATAGCTAATACTCGCTTGAAAATCTGATCGGTTGTTTCCCACGACAGGATCAACCAAGGTACGTGGAATTGGGGCTGATTTGGAAAAACATTTTTAATCCAGTTTTTTAGATATTCTTCCTCTGTTCTCAAAGCTAAAATACTTACAGGTTCTCCTTTTTGTCCTTTAGGGCCAACAGACCCTGGAAATCCTGGTAGTCCAGTTTCACCCTTTCAAGACAAAGCAGAAGAGAGATTTTGCAGATGGTTAGAGAAGCCCTATTGTGACTCAGAACAGAATGATTGCTTGCTCTGCTAACTATATAGCATCCAACAGACAATGCAAAGTTCTGAATCTACTTAGACTATTTTTATGATAATGTGTTTGTCAGTACTTCACAATGGCTTTATGTCTTTTAGAAATCCATACATTTCATTATGATACTTAAATGTAATTTGAAACAAAGTTAATTATTTTTCCAGGAAAGAATGTCTAGAGGAGAATAATTATAATTTCGTTCTGGTGTGCCAAAACCAATTTTTTGTGTGTGATCTCAAAGACATCAGACTGTTTAACTGGCACAATAATCTAGACTCATTTTATTTCAGGCACTTTTTTGTTTAGGTGAGCAGAGTCAGTAGTCATATGAAGCAAAATGAGTCTCTCAGCTGTTTCCAGGGTTTATAATGCTACTTAGATGATTGGCTGTGGGCAAATAAGGCATTCTTGTAGATGTGGTGACGGCAGTAGCTTAGAAATGTCTAGGAGGTTCTGGTCAAAAACCTTGAAGAGAGATTTATATGTGACATATACAGAGTGTTTTTGGAAAATGTAATTTGAGAAGAAATATTTAAAGAAAGGAGTTATATCACTAATGAGGCTTCAGAGGAGTCTCAGCATTGTGCATCCTTTTAGTGTTTACCAAGATCTCTGAATACCTACACAATTTTTAAATTAAACGCAGTCCCTAGAAGATATGTAAGGCTACTTTTTTTTCCCCAACCTCAAGAGCATTTTTGCAAAATGATGTTCACCATTACATTTCTGAGCCTATACCATTTTTGCCTACCTGGCCTATTTTTTTACTTCAAAAGAATAAATACAGAAAGCATAAAGTAGAATACACTAACCCTTCATGTACCAGGTACCCGAAATGAAAGAAATTTAAAAATTTACAAAGAAGAAATCCCCTATATTTCCTATTTCCACCCAGAGGGAGCCACTCTCAATAATTTAGTATTTATATTTTCAGTTTATATTATTGTACTTTTACTGCATATGTGGAATCATAAACATTATTTTGGATATTTGAAGCAAATTCCATAAATAGCTTTATCTCATATAGAACATACTACGACTTGTTTTTTCCACTCAACATTGTTTTTAATATCCATCTCTATTGATACATATGATCTCATTCATTCACTGTAACAGCTGAGTAGCATTCTAACATGTTAATAAACCAGGGTTTATCTCAGCCCCACCGATGGGCACTTGAGTTGTAATCAGCTTGTCTCTATTATAAATAAGGCTGCAGTGAACATCTCTAATCCTGACCCCTGTGTGGATGTGCCTAACTGCTCATTTTGAAGTCTCAGTCTACCCAAAAGTGCTTCAAGTACAAATTTACTACAGCCCTAAAATCTTTGGCTTATTTTTATATGTATATCCTAATCCATATCTTGTGATTTTCTGTAATGGATAGACAAGATCATGTTTGTATTAATTAGTCTTCTAGATTTATGGGATATGTTTTGTTAAATTAATCTTAATTTCATTAAAACGTTAAAACCTCATGCAATACTGTAACTGTAGAACCAGCCCAAACAGGGCCTACTCTGCTGATAACAAAATGTTGAGTTACCTTTAAGGTATAACGGAGCCCAAAACTCCAAGTCATGCAGCCTAGGCACGCATAACAGAAAAAGCTTTGACTTGTAACAACAGCTGGAACCAACAATTCCTCCCCTTGGGTGGAATCAAGAAGACCAGGACATGACCAGAACCTGAACTCTTTCAGAAGCAAGGGAGTCCACTGGCCTGGAATATCCAGGGCAAAAATCTGCCTCAATATACCTTACCATAAATGGTCAAATTTGAAGCTGTCCAATCAGACCCTGCCAAACTAACATCCCTAGATCCTGTCTCTTGCCCTCTGATCCCTTAAAATTTGCCCCAATCCCCAAGTCCAGGAGGCAACTTTGAGCCTGACTCCTGTCTCTTTGCTGGCTGGTTTTGCAATAAAATCTTTGTTTTCTGAAAAGCTGGTGCCATAGTTATTGACTTCAGTGCACACTGGGCAGTGAGCCCATCTGCTTGATAACAATATTGTAAAATACATATTTGGTCTTCATCCCAGTTTCCTGGCATACAACTCATAAAATCCTTGGAATCCCCAAAGCAATAAGTGTCTTTTCGTATGTTAATGAGTTGACTGGTAGCTGGCAGCCCCTAGGGTAGCTTCAGGATTGGGCTGGTCACTAGAAGGACCAAGGCTTGATTAGAGTCTTTTCAGCCTCACCTCCAACCTCTGAGGAGGGGCGAGAGACTGAAGGTTAACTTGGTCACCGATGACAAATGATTTAATCAATCACACCTACATAATGAAGCTTCCATAAAAACCACAAGGACTGGGTTCAGAGAGCTTCTGTAGAGCTGAAGTTGTAGAGGTTCCCGGAGGGTGGCATGACCAGGGAGGGCATGAAAGCTTGGAAGCTTGGCACCCCTTCCCACATACCTTGCCTTATGCAGTTCTTCATCTGTAACCTTCATAACATCCTTTATAATAAATTGGTAAGCATAAGTAAATATCTCCCTGAGTTCTGTGAGCCGTTCCAGCAGATTAGTCAAAGCCAAGGATGGGGTCATGAGGACCCCGATTTATAGCCATTTGGTCAAAAGCACAGAAAAAACAACACGGGACTTTCAATTGGCATATGAAGTAGATGGCAGTCTTGTGGGATCGAGCCCTCAAAGTAGAAGGCAGTCTTGTGGGATCGAGCCCTCAATCTGTGGGATCTGTTGCTACCACCAGGTAAATCGCATCAGAATTGAATGGAATTAGAAGACGACCAGCTGGTGTGTATTGCAGAACTGATTGCTTGCTTGCTGTCTGTGAAAAATTCACATATTTGGTCATAGAGGTATTTTGTGCTGTGAGAGTTGATACTAGGAAAGAAGTGTTTGTTTTTATGACTCACCTCAGTACTAATTTTTTATACCATTAAGCTTTCAGTTAGAAATAGTAAGGCCCTGTTGGAGAGCCAAGGAACCAAATGGATAAGAAGCCAATTTGCAGACCTGTCAGTACAAATGTTCTAGAGCAGTGTTTCCCAAAGTTCAGTCATCCACATCCCAACTGCATAATATTCGCTATGTCCACATACCACCTATATATACATAGCTTATTTTTTTCTCTAAATTCACTCACATTCTTAATTTAAATATTCAATAAGCCTTTTGAAGCAGTATCCATAAAATTTAAAGTTTAGTGTGCTGGATACAGGCTTTTTCCTAATTCAGAGGAAGCTACATAAGTATTGTTTTTTTTCTATGATAGTATCTAAACATCCTGTGTATCATCAGTCTTATTCTTACCACATTGTAAGATAAGCCATTTTTTTCTTAGACATAGTAAATCATATTCAAGGTAAGGAGAGGGAGAAGTTGGTGGATACATTTAGGGACCAATTGTTGTTGGTTTTATAGAGAAAATAAACAATTAGCCTTGTATAGGCATTAGGGTGTAGAGTGAAGTTCATTTTACCCATCTGGTAGGTGCTACAATCTCCATTGCATAGGTGTGAAGGAAAAGTACGCCTACTAGTTACACTTGCCTAATGAAATAAAAGTAGAAAGCTAAGAAGGGGTCTAGAAATTGCTTGTAAAAATCAAATCTGCCAATATCAAAAGGGAAGGGGAGGAGAATGTACATGGCGAAATAAGGGTAATTATATTCATAGCTGCTATACAGGTGAACCAATGTACATAGGTCTCCTGGGAAATATAGAGGAAGGACAAAAAAGGGGTTGTGGCTCGTCTGTCCACATAGTCATTGGATGACATTGGGCTGGAAGGAAATCTCAGAGACCTCTTTCCTCATAAAATTCTGCAAAAAAAGCATTTTCCACCTAACCTTAGACACATATGGGTTTGTATTTTTTATTTAAATTGAACGTTCAATGATTTATCACTGTAGAGATGAGTTGACACACAAGTGATGAATTTACGTTGCATCAGGAAAGACTCTTCTTCAGTTTGACACTTTTGATGCTATTCAAAAAGCTCGGGGCTGTAGCGACTCCACCTTTTCCCCGACAGTCTTCTCCCACAAGACACCTGCTATTTTCTCAGGAATGCTTAGATATCCTGATATTTTGTTCTACTGTCTCTATAAAGCAGTAGTTCTCCTCAAGTAACTTGCAAATACATTATCCCTTCTCCACATCCTGTCAGTCCCAGTCAAGCCACAGAGCAGGGATCATCCATCATTTCCACACTGGTAGACAGGTCATGTGGACAGTCTCCATGGTCATTTACTGCAAATCGTGGTTTTCCCTGTATCGTAGCGTTCTTGATACAGGTTGTGGCTGCTAAACCAGGGGTGACTGGTGTGTATATTCCAGTACTGTTTGTGCTTGTTCTGGTGCTTCATTGTAGCATCAGGTTCCAAAGGGTTGACTCTTTTAGGAATTCTATTTTGCTGGTCAGTGCATTGAGAAGTAGTATATTATAAAGGAATGATGAATCACTTATGTGTTTAATTATTCTTCTCGTTAAATATTTTATTCTACAGCACAAACTGAGTCCCTTCTTTGTCAAAATTACGGTGGAAGATACAAAGATGAGCGACACCAGGTGCTAAGAATGAGAATAACAATCCTCAAAAGTGCTAAATGAGACCTCATGAGAGGAAGGAAAGATTGAGGTGGGTGAATAGAAAAGAACAAATCTTTAGTGAGGGCTTTATATATGTTTTAGTTATCGTGCTTTTGAGTAACTTCCTATTATTTAACTTTAATCCTTCTATCAAATCTTTGTGTAGATACAGTTATGCTCATGGTGTGAATGAGGAAATGGATACTTAGAGAAATGAAGTGACCTTCCCAAGGTGACCCAGCTGTTAATGCCACAATCAACTTTTTGTCTCAAAGCTCATGCTCTTCCTATTACTCAGTGGTTCTTAGCCCTGGTTGTATATTAGAGTCATCTGAAACACTTTTAAATAGAGCTACAACCCCTACTCCAAATCGGAGTCTCTGTGGATGGAGCCCGGGTGTGGGTATTTTGTCAAAGCTTTCCATGTGATTCCAATGTGCAGCCAGGATTCAGAAGCACTGGGGTTCACCACAGGTGCAAGCAGAGATCTGTGAGAACAGCTTGATGGAGATTTAAATTATAACAGTGGTGACTTACATCACATTAAATTACATTACAATTTTTAAAACTAATGTATTGATTCAGAAGAGATAGTAAGTAGACTTGCCTAGGTAGTTGATTTCACCCTTCCAGCAACTGCTATGCTTATGTTTGTGTTTGGTTGGTTGTTTTGAGACAAGGTCTTGCTCTGTTGCTCAGGCTGGAGTGCAGTGGTGCGATATGGCTCACTGCAGCCTCTATCTCCTGGCTCCAAGTGATCCTCTTGCCTCAGCCTCCCTGGGAAACTGGGACCACAGGTATCTGCCAGCATGCCCAGCTAATATTTTTAACTTTTGTAGGGATGGGGTATCACTATATTGCCCAGGCTGGTCTAAATTTTGGGCTCAAACGTTCTTCCCGCCTTGGCCTCCCAAAGTGCTGGGATTACAGGTGTGAGCTACCACCTGTATTTTTTGTTTATTTTATGCATTATTTATTGGCAATTTCCTGTTAATCACGCTGTTTAAAAGTTTTTTTTATGTGTCTCTTTATATCACGTACGGCATCAAGTTCCCTGTAGACTCTTCTATGTTATTTATTTGAGTGAGAGGAGGGAACAGTTATGCCACTGGCTTTTCCTAATTCTACTTAAGATTCTGAAGCAATTAGAAAAGATTTTGAGCAACAGAAAAGGTCCTTAGAGTTTGAAATACACCTGTTTTACAGACTCAAATTTCTCATCAGTGAGGTCTTAAGAATGTCTAAGTAACATATGTTTCCTAATGAACACGGCAAAACAGAAGCCAGCTGCTTTGTTTCAAGAAATGAATCATCATTTAAATACTTTAAAAGTCACAACTCTCTTCTTTGCTCAGCTGTCCTATGTGACAAGCTTTGTGGCTTTCTTTTCCTTTTTTGTTTTCCCCTTAGCCTGCATATGTCCAGAAGTCATTGCTTAAAATGTAATGCGTTTGTTATGGTGGCGTATGGTTTCTGTTAGCTATTAGGTTACAGGAAATAATGCTAATGTACTAGCAATAAAATCTAACTCACACAAATGACTTATCATTGCTGTGTAATCAATTTTTGGATGTCTTTTTTCAGAATGTCAAGGTTTTATTTATGATTTATTTATTTAGCAGAAAACTTCATTTTCAATCATCAATCTGTAAGAAGCTCCTAGTTTCTGGCAAGACTGTCTTTTAGTAGTAACTTCTGGTGATGAGTGTACGACTTTTTGAATGGATTGGTTGCACTGATTTATAAGACACAGAAGTCATATTTTCTTGGATTCATGTCAAAATACCCTGCCCTCAATCTAGAGAATTTTTACAGGTGAATGAATGAAGATAGCTAGCACTCACAGGTCACATTCCCTCAGAGTATTTTCAAACCTACTCATCTCTGCCTGTAGATTTAATGTGCATTTTTTTTCTGACAATGGCACATTTGCATGGAATCCAAGGTCATTACAATTTCAGAATCAAACAGGAGTGAAACATCTTATTGAATGGGGAAGTGAATCTGTCATCTTTACAGTTAAGATAATGAAACCTGCGAATGACAAGGAGAATGCAATGGAAACTTATCAGTGTCTTAATTTTAAAACTATTTTGAAATAATTACTTGGCTAAACCACTACTGGACAGTATAAAACCCCACCAAAATGGCTGCCAGGGCAGCTTACGTTTTGGTACTTAGGAAGACACAAAACAGTGAGCCTGGGCCTGAGGCATTTTGCCAAAGGGGTCTTCAGATTGTTTTTGCCACCTACACGGATTCACATTTAATTACAAAACAAGTCTTGTGTCATGATTTCATTTATCTTATTGCAATAATTTCCCCTTGATATGTTCTCTTTCTTGCAGCCAACTGCTACTCAGCAGTCCTTGCTGGACCCTGAAGCAGATTCCAATCCTACTGCCTGGTCAGGAGGCAGGCAGAGGCCCCTGCCCACTGCAGGCTGGACACCCTCCCAGAGATGCAACCCAACTGCTGCCGGGGGGCTACCCCTACATGGGAATGTGTAAATCCGTAGAAAATACTGGACCCTTCTATTCACTTTGAAAATCTGATTACCGCCGGGTGCAGTGGCTCAAGCCTGTAATCCCATAACTTTGGGAGGCTGAGGCGGGTGGATCACCTGAGGTCAGGAGTTCAAGACCAGCCTGGCCAACATGGTGAAACTCTGTCTCTACCAAAAATACAAAAATTAGCCAGGAGTGGTGGCACATGCCTGTAATGCCAGCTACTTGGGAGGCTGAGGAAGGAGAATCACTTGAACCTAGGAGGTGGAGGTTATAGTGAGCTGAGATTGAGCTACTGCACTCCAGCCTTGGCAACAGAGCAAGACTCCATCTTAAAAAAAAAAAAAAAAAAAAAAAAATTCTGATTACCTTGTCTCCTTTCAGGCCTCCAGCTTCATGTTCATCATTTCCCTAGGGAGGAAAAACAATTTAAAATTCAAAGAAAAATCCACTAATTTTTAATGCATTTAATGGGTAACAGTATAAGTAGTCAGATAATAGTACTGTAACAGCTTTTTACGGATACTAGGTCATTTGTGCAGACATCTTTGTCTCTCTCACCTGTTGTTAAATATTCCTGTTAAATATTCTTCCAAATAATTCCAGCTTTGGAAACCCCATGCATCTTCTTTGTGACTTCTTAAGGAGATTGCTTCCGGAGAAACGCCACACCTCTGGGGATAAATACTCACTACTCCAAAACCATATCTGGCCACTTCAACTGGCCTCTCCATGTATCTGAGCATCTCTGATCTGCTCTCCCTACTCTCAAGTATGCTTTATTGTTCTCAGACCACTACATTAGACTCTACAGTCCCAGGCAGGTGACCTGCCTGTAACTACACTGAAAAAAATACAAGTTCTCAGACATCACTTTTTTTTTTTTTTTCCTTTTTGTGGAGAATGGTGTCTCGCTATATTGCCCAGGTAGGTCTTGAACTCCTGGGCTCAAGCTATCCTCCTGCCTCTGCCTCCCTAAGAGCTGGGATCGCAGGCATGAGCCACTGCGCCAGGCCTCAGATACCACTTCTAATTCCTGTCGATGAATGTACCAACCCATGTGCATACACACCCGGCTGTGGTTAATGAGCTGTCTCATCTCTTATCAGTGGCTGTTTCCTCTATAAATTCTCTGATTCCCATGCCCTCTGCCTTCTTAGGAGATTTTCCTTATTAATGTTACCCATTGCTATGAGGTGAAATTGGCCAATTTGGTAAAGTTAAATAAAATGTAGCTAAAATGGGCCAATTTTTTTAACACTTTCTCTCTCTACCTACCTATTCTGCCTTCTTTAAACTTAACACACAAAAAGCATACAGTTCCCCAGCACACATTTCCCTTAAGTTACTCTCTTTCCTCCCATTTCTCGACAATTTTCTCAAAAGGGTAGTTAGTGCTTTCTGTGTCCACTGACCAAGACAGCCTTTAATGTTTCCCTCAGCGGGAATCAACTTTGGACAGGCTTGTTCCTAATTCCAGACCCCGACCTCTCTTTTTCTAGACCAATTACTTTAGAAATCTGTATTTGTAAGTTCTTTCACTATCCTTTTGAGATGTAAATCTTTCTAATAGCCTCCTATTAGTTTTACAATCTGGGAACGTCTTTCTCAAGGACCTGGGAGCCATCCCTTTAAAATGTAATCATGGAGAAGATAGTGCCACCATCTTCCAGGCTCTGTGAGAGGGTAGGGGCCTAACTTCAGCCTTGTGCCAAGTTGTAAACCTTCTTCCTGTCACAAAGATATGAGAAAGTTTACCCTTCCTTTGGGTAGAGCCAATTAGCAAACACAAGGAAGTGTGTTCTCTCTCTTACATCAATACTTAAAAACTCTCCTGAACTTTGTTTCAATGGAATTGAGCTCAGACTAAGTCTGCCCTGTCTCTCCTATTGCAGTAGCCTTGAATAATGTCTTCCTTGCCTGTTTAACTTTGTCAGGTACAATTTTTTATTTGACACTACTTATTCACCTCCTGTTTACTCTTAAACACATACGTATTTGACACTGGCCCCAACCAGTCCACTGATGTGGCCCTCTAACGTTATTAATAATCTCTTTGCTGCTTACTCTAACGGACTCTTCTTTAATTGACCTTGCTACACTTGTCACTCTCTTGGCTTGTATGATAGCTTACTCTCCTGGTTTCTTCCTATCTCTGTGACTTCTTCTTCCCTCATCTGTTAAAGGTTGGATTTCCTCAGGACTTTCTTCTTTGTGACTCAACACTTTCTCCCCAGCACTCTTATTTACCTTCATGGCTTAGGTAATATTTACACAGCCAAATTTATAAACCCAGTATATACTTTTCTTCTGAGTTTTAGACCCATATATCTAATTTATACACCCTGCATATACTTCCTTGTGAATTTTAGACTCATACTACTTGATGTATGTACTTGTAAATTCTAGAAGCAATTCACATTTAACAAGTTTAAAACTGAAACAAAAAATGCAACAAATACACATATATATGAGAGAAAAAAATAGAGTTACATTACACTGCTAACATTTTTTAGTACAGAAGTGGGAGAAGAAGAATCAGTTTTTTCTAATGTGTCTCTGCAGTTGTTCTTGTTAAATTGAGCAGGAATTCCATTTTACAATTGAAAACAATTATGGAAAGAAAGAAAACCTGAATTCCTCCTCTCTGTCCGAGTGTCATTCTCAATACCACTTGGTTTGGCTGTGTCCCCACCCAAATCTCATCTAGAACTGTAGCTCCCACAATTCCCATGTGTTGTGGGAGGGACCCAGTGGGAGGTAATTGAATCATGGGGGAGGGTCTTTCCTGTGCTATTCTCATGATAGTGAATAAGTCTCATGAGATCTGACGGTTTTATAAAGGGGAGTTTCCCCGCACAAACTCTCTCTTCTGATGTCTGCCGCCATGTTAGACATGGCTTTCACCTTCCACCATGATTATGAGGCCTCCCCAGCCACATGGAACTGTGAGTCCATGAAACCTTTTTCTGTTGTAAATTGCCCAGTCTAGGGTATGTCTTTATCAGCAGCATGAAAACGGACTAATAGAATCACCCTCATCCTTATTCCTCGAATGTGATCAGTCATCCAGTTTGGTTGACTCTGTCTCCCCAAATCTCTTCTCTTCTTTTGAGAGAAAGAGTCAACCTGCCTACACCCAGGCAGCCCACCATCATGTTTTGCCAGGATTATTGCAGTGAGTCTCTAACTGGCCTTTTACAATCCACTCTTGCTTTCCTGACATGCATATTCTCTACATAAGATTAGAGAAATACCTTCAAAAGACATTCTGACATCCATTTCTCAAAACTTTAACATCTCCAGCAAATCTCTGCATAACCTGAACTCATTTCCCTCTCCAGCATCATGTTGGCCACTCTTCTTCCTCAGAAGCTTCGGTTGTCATGGTCTTCTCTCAGCTCCCTAAACTGACAAAGGTCATTCCCATCTCAGCCTCCAGATCACCACTCTGTGTCCTCACCTTTCTATCTGGCCGGAAACTAGTCATTAATCAGGTCTCAACTATTATGAAATGCCATTCATGAAAGCCTCCCCTGGCATTCAATAAATATCTGTTGGGCAAATGAGCCAGTAATTCTAATCATGTGGTTTTTCCATTAAAGTTATTTTTCTGATTAAAAATACATGTGCTGATAGAAAACCTAAAAGGTCCAGAAATATTTAGACAACAAAAATATACAGAGGTACCCATTCAGATCACTATTGCTATAGTTTGATATTTTAAATATTCCTTCCATGTTATTTTGCTGCTCCAATAAAAAATCAGTAGTTTATAACTGATATTATTATTGGTCTTGTAATGGATATTCTCTCATTTTCTTCTGTCAACTTTGGTCTGTGATATCTAAATTGAAAATAAAAATTGTCTCAAAATTTTGTTCTAAATTATTACAACCAACAATATTTGAAAATGAAGTGTGGAAACACTAAGGTATATACGCACGTTTATAAAGAACCAGCAGTTACAAAATGGCAGGTTGCTTGGATGCAACCTGCATAGAAACATAAATCTTAGAGATGTCTCAAAAACACTAGTCATTTGAGCATGGTGTCAGCACAAAACATCAGCATCTCCCCCTGGCTATGCTTATGATAGGATCCTTTTTGGGAAACTGGAACATGCTTTCATCTGAGATACGATTTGCCTGGAGATGGTCTTTGGCTTGGAAGGCCCCATGCTCTTTGATTGCAGAGCAGGAAAGCACCTAAACGGCCTCTGGGGAAAGCATGTTCTAGTGTAGCCCACCTCACTCCCAATAACCTACAGGGCATCAGAGATGCTGTGGCTGGGATGAAGGAATGCCTCTGCAGCACCAACTCCTAGTGTCCCATCAATAGGCTTTATTGTTCTAAAATCTTGATTTTCTGATGGCTTTCACACCCAGAAAAACAACAGGGCCATTTATTGCTGATCAGAGCACCATGTTTGCTTCACTCAACAGCAAGACCAGGAAATCCATCTAATCAAGGACTCTTGGTGGCCTTTAGTGCTGTTCTCCACTGTTGGGTTAATAATACTCAAGGCAGATTCAAACTCGAGCTTCAGTAGCGTTTATTCATTGACATGTGAGCTGCTTCTCCCTGCTATCTCCAAGCTAGCTGCACCAGACAATTGCCTGGCTTAGTGAAAATCATAAGAGGCATAGTCTTTGTGTTTCTGGAACTGCGGTTCTGCCTCCAATGCTATTCTAATTTTATTAGGTTATTTTGTGTCTTGGTGCCATGTTAAGGGTTCTTGTAAGCCTTCCAAATACAGTTTTGAATGTGTTTATATAAAAATTCTTGTGGTGATGTGGTGAGGGTTGTGGCATGAGGATGCTAATCTGCATGCCCATCTCAAGAATTCTGGGATGTCAGCACTTGTTCTCGGGTCTGTGTGGGAATGGTGAATGCAACTTTGGAACGTATGGTCAGGCAAGTGAAAACACTCAAGCTACTCAAAGTCTTAAAGAGGATTTTCTCTGGAAAGAAGAGAATGTACCTAGATATATCATGGATTGAACCACATGAGATGACCATTTTTATAGGCCCCAGAGAGTAAAATATCAGCAATTTTCTACTGTTCAACTAATAAAAGAACCTAAGGATATGAACTCCTTCCTAGGGTATGGAGTCATTACAAATCCCCAGGGTTAGCCTTTGGGGAACTTGCTGTAATATCCTAGGCATGAGGGGACATAAAGTTCAGAAAAACCAGGTTGTTTTTTATAGGTTGAAATTGTGTACCTCCCACTCCGATATATATGTATAAACTATAACACCCAGGACTTCAGAATGTGAACTTATTTGCTAATAGGGTCATTGCAGATGTAATTAATAATTAGTAATAAGTAGTTAAGATGAGGACATGCTGGAGTAGGTTGGGCTCCTAATCCAATAAGACTATATCCTTATAAAAAGGGAAACTTTATAGAGACATGCACGCAGGGAGAACACCACGTGAAGATGGCCAAGGAACGACCCGAGGCTAGGAGAGAGACCTGGAAGCCATTCCTCCCTAGTGCCTTTGGAGATAACACGGCCCTGCCAACACCTTCGTCTTGACTTCTGGCCTCCAGAACCGTGAGATGATATATTTCTGTTGTTTAGGTCACTCAGTTTGTGATATTTTGTTGTGGCAGCTGTAGCAAGTTAAAACATAATATGTGGGCTAGGAAAGCTGTGCTCGTTTGAAAATAAGGCCTAAGGCTGGCTCAAAGCCCAACTTCTTAGTTAACTGTAAAAAACCATTTCACCAGCCACAAGTGTGGAGGGTCATGAAAGGAAGGGAAGACTCAGGTGAGTTGGGAGGCTGGCTGTAATCAAACCAACATCTGAAAGTCCATATGTCTGTGCCTAAGTCCACAATGTTCCTCAAAGCCAGTGGAGCCTGGGGCACAGGGAAGGAAAGCGATGAAGTTAGAACCTAAACTTTATTTCTCAATCTTCTGGGCTCAGAAAGGTTGCCTGCAGTGTCTCCAAGGGAGTCTTCACTTTATATGCCATCATTGGGTTTAACTCACTGCTTGGAAAGGCCTTGAATATTGGATTTTGGATAAAGGCTTTCTGTCCTTTCTAGTCTGTGGATATTAAAGTGAAGTTATGATTTAATATGTGAAAAGAAAAATAGATTATTTTGCTAGCAAATTGGTTTTATTTTTGGATCAACAATTTGGAGAAATGAATACAAGAATTGGTTGCTGGGAGGCACTGCATCAATCTCCAACAGCTGAGACCGAGTGTGGTGATGTAAGATAACACAACTCTGCATTTTCAATATGGATCTTTAAAAACAACATCAAATGTAAAATCCACCAGTACTTGGCCTCCGCAGATAAAATGTGTTTTTTTCCTCCATCTAAAGTGTAGTAAGGAACTGTGGGTCTGTGGCTTCGGTAGTTGACAGAGCCTATCAAATTTTTATTAAAACCCCCAGAGCTGGAAACAATGAAGTGCAGTTTACTGGATCATGAGCAGATTTTCCTTGAGGGGAAGAATATGCTCAGCACTGTTGCTTCTTTGCAAACAATTTTACAGAATGGGAGCAGCTGTTTTGCATATTATTTTTGTGGTAGAGAGAGAAATCTAGTTTTTATTATTTGCATCCATAAGTGGGCATGCAAAAATCCACATAAACACACTCATATCATCTTCCTAACCTCACTCCTTAGGCGGTCTCTCTATTCCTCATTTGCTTTTTCTTTCTTCCTCATTTGCTTTTTTTTTCTTCTCCATCCCCTTTTTGATTTGTGCTGTGAGGAGAGAGGGTTTCTTATACCTGAGCTTCTCCCTCCCGATGACATGAGGAAAATAGTAGAGGAAAAGATCAGTTCCTGTATGGGGGCCAGAGGGGAAGTGAGCATCCTGGGACCGGAAAATGAACCATGGGCTCTTTGAGTTCGGAATGAGGAGGGGCAGTTTATGAGTAGTCTGTTACTCATTCTCCCATGGGTAGTTGCTTGAGCAGAATTTGGGCTGTGTGACTGTTGAAGCCACTGTGAGTTGAAGAGCTGAGGTCCAGGGCTCCAGTGCAGACATCACATAAATCAATGCCAATTTAAAAGGGAAGATTATTTTAACCTTGGAGTGTCACTTGCTATGTCTCAATACACGGTCCATTATTTAATCCTTAGGAAGGTTTCACTTAGGCCCCGCTTCTCTCTGTGCTTATTTGCTACAGTCAGACCATCCGACACGCTACAAATTGCAAAATGAAACAACCTCAGTGTCCAAAAACAGACAGGGGTAGGTGGTGGAGACAATGCCAATGGAAAACATGCATCGTGCTAATCACAGCACATCTGGCTTTTCCTTTGTGAAGCTGAGGGCGAGGAGGAGGTGGTTACAATACAGAAGCATGGGGCAGTGTGGGCACTGGGAAGGTGGGTCCCGCTACCTCCATCCTTCCCAGTGGGGCCTTGGTGTAAGAGCTCTAACTACTCTGAAAGGAAACAGAATAAAGTGTTTGGTAAGCTATCTTCCCTTAATTCACAGATGGATCTAAAGCCTCTAATGTTAAATGGTTACAATGCATCATTTGGGATAACAGCTATACTCTCTTCTCTTTACCTAGTTGTACTCCAGCTTTAAAGTCACATTTAAAGAACATGTGGACTAAATACCTGTGAGCCTCTATTCTGTAATGGCAATAAGAGTAACAGGTTCTTTCAGGTGAGTTAATAACTAAGTTCAAAGTACTGGTTTGTTACTAGCAAGATTTTCCACTCAGTTGCTCTGGTCAGCCTCCAGTTTTTTTGAAATATAACCTTAAAGTTTAAAAATTTACATTCTCAACTTTAGGCTCTAAAATATAAATGCTCTATATATCTTCATTTAAGGGAAAACTGACTCATCAGCAAGATAAACTGTATAGAGAAGTACTGTTGGGAGACCTGTAAAGATGAGAGCTTTAAAAGTTTTGCAAGGGATAGCAAATATTTAAGTAGCTGAGTAGCAACTCGGTATATTTTATACCAAGGGCGATAGTAATACAGTGTGTTCTTTAAGTTTTTCTAGCTGACACTGTGTCATCAGAGCCAACTTATTCTCATTATTTTGAAGCATTTATGATAAATCCTATTTTATAACAGCAGGTGTCATTATAGGTGTCATTAAATTGATTAAATTTAAACATGCTTCAGCATTCTTTTTTCCACTTGTGCTAAGCCTTAATATTTTGAAAAAGCTAGTACAGTTCTATTAAAGAAATGTCTAATAAAGAAACATGAAATATATCCCAAACATTCCTCCTAATATAATACTCCCTGGAAAACCTAAATAAATGAAGGAATTTAAAATAGCATCACTATCAAATTTATAAGGTATAAAAAACTTTTCACATTTGATTTTAAATTTGTCAACCATAAATTATCTAAGTCTTTATGTTGACCTTGTTCTGATGAAAGAGAAACTGGATTTTATAATTAGTTAGCTAGCCATTTAACAAATTTTTTTGGCATATAGTGTCTCTTTGGGATTTCTAAACACAGAGGAGTAAAAACTCAGAAAAAATTACAGGAAGGGAAAGTAAGAACATAGGAAAGAAAGACATAAAGGTAAGTGTCTCCAATTCTTCCTGTGGTGCAAGAAATCAATGATGAACCATTAGGTATACAAGGTATCCTAATTAGTGGACAGAATGCCTCACACAAAGTGATCAGACCACAAATATTTGTCATTGAATGATGACTCAATCAATGATCTCACCTAGATCTTCTCTTGGCTGCCACTCTGTTGTGCTCCTTGTAGAATCTGGAACAAAACTCTCTTGCTTTTGCCATTTGGGTGCTTCCACGTCAGCATTCTACCTATCCCAAATGTAATTTAATAAAACCTTGGGGAAATTAAACGTAGTTCCCCCTGAAAGGTGGGGACTCTCATTCTTGAACTGTAGTATGGAAATATTTGCTTGAGATTTTGGTGCCGCACCTATTGGTTTTGATAAGAAGTCTATCACCTGTTGTGCTACCCAGAGCTTCGAAGTATCAAATAATTTCTTTCTGCCCTCAGAGAGGCTAGATCTATGATATCATCAATGGCAGAATGCCATGTTTTGCATTAACAAACTTTGAACAAAATTTTTAAAACACTTACTAGGATAAAATCCTAGATCTGTAAGATACTGAGCAAAATATTTTTTTGTTTTTGTTTTTGAAAACATAGCTTTCAGCATGGAAAGATGTTTAAATGCATGTGATCATGTATAAAAGTCTGAGAAGTTAAGAATTAATATGTTTTTTTCAAAAATACAATCACATAAAATTTCTATGTATTATAAATTATGGGAAAAAAGAAGCCATACCTTGTTATCATTGTTATAATATCCACCAAGAGTCTGGTGTATTCCTTGTATTCCAGGAGGTCCCTGTATTAGAAACAAATCAAAGACAAATATATACACATTTACCAAAACAATGCATATTTAAATAATATATCTAAGAACTCTTGAAATCATATAGTGAAGAAAAAGGAAGTATCTATTTAGTCAAATATTCTGATTAATAGAGAAATACATGGGCATTAACTTATCATCAGGCTCCTAAGATATTTCTAGGTTAAATCCTGCATGAATCCAAAAAGAGGTCCTAAGTGGGAGCATGTAACATTTTACCAGAAGGTCAGCCATCAGCATATTCTTTATTAAAAGGAATTATACCCATAAGACCCTCCCAGAGAAGAGGTTATAGCTCTTCTGTTTATTTTTGGCACTTCTCACAGGATTTTGATCAATGTACTATAGAACTGTGTGTTCCCACATGCTATTAACTTAGTAAATACGGGAAAAAATGTTTTTCTATTGCTTTACTTTTTTAAATTAGTTGTATGAAAATGGGGTGCACATGGACTTTTGGGCCAGAAAAAAGATGTCTGCTATAAAATCTCAGACTTAAGAAATTTAAATATTGATAGTTTTCAGTTGACCTGGAAATAATTCAGTAAGCACTATGCTGGGCTTGGAGTGGATAGGAAAGAAGCAAAGACATTTGGCTGTCTCTAAGGCTTCTAGGAAGAAAGGAAGAGAAGACTTTTCCAGGTTTTTCACGGATTACATTTTGGGGTGAGAGCCATAAAAACCACAAAGGTTAGCATTATTTTAGATTAAGTAATTCAAGTCAAATAGGTTCAACTATCTCAGAAAAGAGATTGCATATTTCATCCAGACCTCAAAAGCTAGGAGGAGAGAAAATATTACAGAGACCAAGTTTTTAACATGTTACCTTAGAAGATAAGACCTAGAAGGAAGATGATTAGCCAAAATCAAACAGCACCATTATACAAAGATTATTATTTTTCAAAGGGAATGAAAGTTTTGAAAAGTGGAGAAAAATTTTAAGAAGCAATCGTTAGCTGTGCTCACTGATACAGGTAACACCTTAGGTATACAGAAAAGATTAATGTTGGTTAACATTTACACCAGGTGTTTCTTATGAGCAGCTTGTGACTGAAGATCTCTTCTAATATGAAACCTTTGCATTGTGCCACTAAACATAAAGGGCACAAGAATGAGGTGATGGATACTTAGAAGCAGGTTGGTATAATTCTTGAGAAAATAATGGGCCTCAGGAGTAATGGTGTTGCCTATGATTGGAAAGACAAACGATGCTGTTACCTTGCTGAAACAATAACGGAGCTATTGTAAGAAGAGAATTCTTATGGCATTATATATTTTTCATGAAAGTTTTCAGCAGCCAGCATTGTGTAAAGAATTCTAGGTCAGTTAGAGGAAGTAATGAAGAAAGTAATCATTGAGTTGGGGGTGGGGGTTGTTACACAAAGTATCTAGCCGAGAACATGCAAGTTAAGATCTTATTCTTGAAAGTCAGGAGACATGAGGTTCCATACATATTGATCCTTCTGCAAATATATAATGAGGCAAGGAGGAATTTTAGACACGATATATAGTAGCATTAACAGGTGGCTTAGGAGTATATGTATAGTAGGCATTTGGTGAATGTGTGTTGATGACAAGGCTGATTCGATCAAAGAACAGTGATGGAGTAGGTAAATTTAACTTCATACATATTCAATCTAGTTAAAAGAGAGAGTCTTAATTATTACGGCTCTTAAATATAGCATAACAATTAATAATACAGTCTCCCAAATAGAGTAGCAGAATCAGTGAAATAATACTAGCAAACTTTTTTTTTGTTTTTTTTTTTTTGAGACAGAGTCTCACTCTGTCACCCAGGTTGGAGTGCAGTGACACGATCTCAGCTCACTGCAACCTCTGCCTCCCAGGTTCAAGGGATTCTCGTGCCTTAGTCTCCCGAGTAGCTGAGACTACAGGCATGTGCTACCATGCCTGGCTAATTTTTGCATTTTTAGTAGAGGTAGGGTTTCACCATGTTGGCCAGGCTGGTCTCGAACTCCTGACCTCAAGTGATCCACCTGCCTTGGCCTCCCAAAGTGCTGGGATTACAGGCGTGAGCCAGCGGGCCTGACCAATAGCAAACATTTATATAGTGCTTATTATGTGCCAGGCATTACAGCAGGAGTTAACTAATTTAGTCCTTACTAGGACACATGAGGAATGTCCCATCATTCTCTCTGATTCAAAGATAAAGAAAATGAGGGTTGGAAATGTTTAACTGGTCCAAGGTCACACCGCTGGCAAGTGGTAGGGCTAATACTTAACATCAGCGTTGGGCCCAAAGCCAGCTCTTGTCTACTCTACTGTCTTAACTTAAAGGCAAACTAGGCAAAAAATCACTGTTGCAGTAATTTTCTTATCATGATGATGTGTGTACCCTAGAGAACACTGGGTGATCACTCTTCTATGTTCTGTTTACTGAAATTGAAAAAAAATCAACAAAACTTGTACATAGCACTTCTGCCAAGTACCACACTCCTGCACTGTGCTTGGTGCAGGAGGTGAGAAAGTAAGCACATTACCTTTCACTGTAGCCCTACCGTGTAGTTGAGAGAGGCCCCTTTATCGTCTCCTTGTATCTCCCATCTGTGTTCATACAGTGTCTTAACCCATGTTAGGGAGATTGTCCCTGAATATTACAAAACATTTCTCCTAGTCTGTGACTGTATTCAAATGTATCCTATATTTGTTTGTAGAGGGTGGGAGAGCAGGTGGTCTGAGATACAAGAAGTGTGAAGCCCCCCAAAAGGTTCTGGGAGGCAGTAAGGAAAAGAAGCAGGAAAGCAAATGTGTGGTAGGGTTTGCATAGCATAAAACAGGTAGCAGGGTAAATGAGAACAGTAAAAACAATAGAACGATAATGATTTGTAAAAAATTGGATGAAAGATCCTTTACAGACTGGTCATCTGCAAACAGAGGATAGCTGTATTTCATAAGCAAAGTATATACTTCTCATTCAGGATCCTGATCTGGCTGCTGCTGAGCTTACCACTGGGGGTGGAGTGGGAGAACATGCGTGGCTCAGTACAACTGCTCCCTCTAAAAACAAAGGCAAGGGCAAAACTCACTAAAAACAATGCCAAGAGCAATGAGGCTACAGAAAAGGTTGAACATTATCATTCAAATATCCACAAGATTAATAAACCCATAACAATTACTTCTACATTTTCATATGTTCTGTTTTTGTCACAAAATGTCATATCTCCAAAGTAGTACTCGAAATGGGTTTGATTTGCAGTTTTAGGTTCTACCACTTAATCTCATCATGAGCATTTATGATGACACTTTCTTTCTCACTTTTTTAGTCACTGGGATAGTTTGGGTACCACGAATTCCAAGTTTAATGTAACAGAAATTTACAGCCAACAGTCTACCCTGCAGGCAATACTTTATACAAACTCTCCTAGTGGTCCAAAGGAACCCTTCAGAGACTGGAAAGAGGCACCAATTAGAGTCTTCTGGAAGCCCCCCTCTACTCTGACTATAGACAGTGAGGCACTGTCTCACTTGGTTGCTCTAAAGCTGTCAAAGATAGTGGTCATAAATAAGCTCTATGCATTTAAATGGCAAAAGCAACTCTGTTTACAATTGGAAAACAACCCTGGGGTTTCAGAATTGGTGGCTATCCTACCAGCCACATCCCAAGAAATGTGCTATTTTTCTATCTTCTTTTCTGGTAGGAAACATGGCTGGAGAAGATCCAAGGAGTTGTTTCCAAGTTTAGCAAGAGTTGTCTATCTTGCAGACTGTTAACTCCAAGAAAGAAGTTAAAGACTTGTGGTAAGTGACAGATCTCTCGGCATCACATGGTGTTGTAGATGCTCTAGGGCAGTTGACAGAATCCTTTCTCTAAGGTTTGCATTTACAAGGACCCATCAAAAGACACTTAGACGACCCAGGCCCAGTGGTGAAGAGAGGCCAACTGCAGAGGGTATGTCAGCCTTGGCTAATGCTCTTAGGAGCTCTACTAGGAAAAGTGGTTAAAGGTTTATGGAAAGGAAAAATGTCCCAATATCTTGCTTATAATAGTGACCCGCAACATGGTTGTACACAAGTCATGGTTATACAATGTCTACCTTTTATGGAGATTTGCTTTACTATATTTGTATGGGATTGGGAGATATAGGACATCTGGATTAATGTGGTGAGTATACAATTACAGAGCAGCTAAAAAATGCTAATGAACTCCAGGGAGAAACAACTGTTCAGAACCCAACTGTACTGATTCATAATTATCTGAGAGGCCTATAAACCTGGTATGGATAGAGATCCTGATGTCGTTTCTTACTGCAAAGAACTACAGCAGGTGTGATAAAGTGAATTAAAGCTATATTCAATTTGGGAAGTATATACTCTCAGCAATAGTTCTAGCAGCTTTTAAATAGTTTTTGGCTTAAATCTTGCTGGAGGTGGAAAACAGAAATACCATGATGTCTGCCACCGGACTTGTCAGACGCATAGTGTAAAAATGATGAGCTATTTGCATTATCATTCCCTTAGTAGATTTCAGTTTTGGCTGCACATTCCCAAAGTTTAGAAGTTGGGAAAAGTTCTCTGTTAAAAACCATAATCCTTAGTCCTAGTCTTAGCTGCATTTTCACTTTTTAGCCAATTCACCAGGTATGCTCAGCTTAAAGAGCAATATTTTTGCCTTTTTTCCCCCTCATTGTTCTTTGCCATAAGCTGTCTGTTCAAGTCAGAGTTTGAGCCTTCTGATCTGGCTTCAGCACAGCCTGCATACTGTGAATCAGGGTCTCTGTGGCTCCTTAGTCAAATCCCCTGCTCACTTCCTGATCTTCAATCCTGAACTCTTTTCCTTTCTCCCTTATCTCTAAAAGTACCCTGTACCTCTTCATCTCTAGTGACTGACTCTCCCTGAGCCATCTGAATGCCACTTATGCACCATAGCTCTTCAGTCTCCTATTGGAAGCATTTTTCAGGACTCAAAAATACATATTTTCAGGTTACATACAACTGCTTTTGGCCCTGTGGGT